ATGAAGAGAACGATTTTTTGAAACATTTGTCATAAAAAGCCTTCACCCCCCTTCAACTCAAATAATTTATTTCCTCAGCCCCCTGTTTATTTACAGATTTTTATTGAATCCTCTGTTGCTGATACAGTATGTATAATGCCTTCCACTTTTTGCACTCCTTGCAGGTACAGAGCGAATCAGTCAATCTGTACTGAGCCATTTGCTGTTCTTAAAGAATTGTACTTATTATTCTAAAACAAAACTGTTCACTATATAAATACTGTAAAACAAACAGAGGATTAAACTACAGATTCTCTTAACAGTAGGTTCTGGACTTTAGTAACTGTTTTCAGTCTGTTAAAGTCATTACCCTTTTTTGTTGGATTTTTAGGGATTCTTAAAAGAGGAGCTTCTAGATTTACTGTTTGAGTTGTATAAAAGAATTGTAACTGAAGATGTACGATCATAATAATGGAAATTAGGTGTTGTACGCATTGTAGCTATTCAAATCCTGCAGAAAAAGGTGTTTAAATGACTGAACTTTGCTGTCCTCTATAAGTAATGCTATTTTTTCAACTACCAGTAATACTACCAGAATGGTTTGATTTTGCTACTTGTGTGGCCATATACAGTACACCCAGTCATTCCTCCTACCTTTCCACCACAAGATCATTAGTAAAAATCAAATTGCTAATTGTTAATTTTTTGAAGATGTTTGTAAATAAAAGTTACGTTTTAGAAAAGCAGGAAGAGGGTTCAGCCTTTTCATCTTATTCCTAGATCCAGGTGAAAACTAGATAAAAACACTATGTGGAACATGCACAAGCATTCAGTTAAACTTATTTGCATACTTTAAAAAGTGTAGTGATGTCTTTTATGAAAGAGGATTTGCACAAATATGAAGTTGCCTATTGTTCTGAATAAATTTACAAGTCTGTGTATGACTGTGAATGTGATAAAAGGTTTTGGAGAAAGATTAAATGTATTTTTTTTTTCTGTTGTTTTTGTCAATTTTATGCTTGCTGTGTATTGTTATTGTCACTCATGATGTCCAAAGTCTCGTCTTCTCCCTGTGGAGGTACTTTACCAGATTCCACAGTCCAGCGGTAGCACATCTTCCAGTGATAGGGAGGTAAAGGTTGGCAACAATTGCTGTCTTATCTGGCACTTTTAATGGAAGGATCAAAGACAGAAAAGAGAATGTAGGTCTGACGCTGTTTTTGAAGCTCTGGGGAGGCTGGCATTTAAATGTACTGGTGTGGCAGCTCTGAACTTCTGGTGCACCCAATAATACTGACCTTAAAAGCTCTCTCTTTTCAACTCTTACTGCAGCTACATAATCTAGATCCTCAGAGGATATCCTAGAAGAAATAAATGGCTGGTTAAGCCTGACTCAATTTTTAAAATGTCGAAATTCCAAAAATGTAGGCGGAGGATCTTGATTTTTGTATTTTATTTCTGAATGGCAGGGCCAGGATACCTGGCTGTTTATTGTGTGATATATATTTTTTTCTGCTGCATGTTTCTCCTATTTTCCACTTTTTTTTTCCAAACTATAAATCCTTCTTCCTAAACAGTGTTGCAATTATGTGTCCTCTGTACCAGAAATCTTTCTAATTGTGTTTGTGGGATCTGGGACACTGATGTTGATTTGTGAAGGTAAATGAAAGCAGTAAGTGTCACCAGGCAACCATGCACAGACTACAGGGCTGAGCTCATGCTTCAAGAGATTGACTTCCACAAATAATACCAGGGCTTCAGCTAATCATTAGCCCATGGGGGTCGAAAACAATGAGCACATTTGCAGTTATCATTTTTCTTACTGAGGTAGCAGCTTAAGTCTGTAAAAAAAAAGTCCTTGGTTAAACAACAGGGTGGAAATTGAAAGAACCGTGTGGCTGTAAACAGGCAAAAACACATCAGCAGTGAAAGGCTACCTAACAGCTCTCTGACTTTGAATGGGGTCAAGGCATTTTGTATAATATGCTTCCTCTTGCCTGCACCTTCCATTAGCTGAAAAGACATTGTGTCCGTAGTCTGATTACTGCTGATCCATGCTGATGACTCTGTTGCAGGATTATCTCTGTTAGTATCAGCCATCTGTTACAGTGTTGGATAATAAGGAATTGGGCAAGACGCATTACGATTGTTGCTTTTCGTTGGGGTGCAGAATCATGACTGATACAGTTTGAGGCAAAATATTTGACATTTTGTCCATGACCAAGGGTATAATGATCCGAGGGCATTTAGGTTAAAGTGGTGTTCGGAGGGGTGTTTACATTGCAAACAACTGCGCTGCTCTTAACTGCAGTTTTGAAGAAGCTTTTGTATTTTCAGTGTGGCAGCTGCATTGTGTTTCAAGTAATATTTGTGGACGTGTTTTTGATTTTGGTGGAGTAATGTATACTATAAATCATTCTGAGACCATTAGCATAGATTTCTCCTTTCTTGAAATATGCAACGTGTTGTTTGTTATGGCTGCACAGTGTAATGTGCAATGCATTCTGTCATGAGCTCAAGATTAGTTGCACACTGAAGCCAAATTAATTCAGCTGCTTGTGGAGATTATGCACAATGAGCTAGACAAATACTATACGATAGTGTTAATTACCTATAAAAATCAAGTTAATACTGATGATAAAGCCATTTTAATTGTTAAAATTTTTTCAAGTCTCCGTTTGAAGAAATGGGGAGGCAATCTAGTTGGTAGAATCAGTTTTTTTTACTTCTGCTGTGCTTGGGGAATGTATCTGTGGCTATACTGGTTTACTCCTTTTGCTTTTTATGTTATGTTTTTTTTTTCAGCTCGTTTAAAAAAAAACAATTGACCAAACAGGCAGAATAATCATCTTAATTTAAATCATTAACATAAACATGTTAATAAATACTGTTACTTTTCCTTTATGTGCCGTCTACCCTAAAAAGAGGGGAGTGCACGTGTTCCGTGACAAAAACAGTTAAGGTCTTACTTTATCAACAGTAAAAAACATACAGTATCCATTTTTTTGTTCTTTTTAGTTTTGGAATACTACTTTCATATGTATGACATCTTTTCAGTATACATTTATGGTTTGTGTTATTTAAAATCTAATAATTTCTGCTGTTCCGTTTTTAACACCTGTTCTTCATATAATATGTACATCACTCAAATGCAGTGAGAATTCCTGAGAGAAATTAAGGAAATGCCACACATTGTGGAGTATGGCAAATATAAAGATAAAATTGCTCAAGAGGAAATGATTGTTGCAGAAGTAATCATTAGCGAATTATGTGTATTTTTCTTACAAATGCACATATTAAGGAAATAACTTTGACTTTATAAACAAGAATGTTAAGGTTTTTAACCTACGAGAAACAGTCATTATGAAACAATTGGTTTAAGGTAATTATACTTCAGTCTCTTTAAAAACCTCTATTATAAAAAATTACGTATGTTAAAAAAATATTATTGGAAAACCATGTTGCGTTGAAGGCTGTTGTCTGAATTGCAATTGTGGTTGTGTCTGAACATCATCTTGTATTTTAGTGTTTTGAAAAAGTCTCTCATTTCGTGTTACTCTGAAGGACATGGCCTCCATAATTGTTGTTAACAGTAACAAGATGTCTGGTAGAGAATTGCTGGTAATTAGGCACATTCTGCCAGGGAAAAAGATAGTTTTCCAAAGCTCCTGGTGTAGGTTTACCCTATGGTGTGTATTTGTTCGATATTTTAATGTAAAGTGTGCAATAACCTCTTTTCCATTATTTCCCATTTTCCCTATTTTCCATTATTTGTATTTTGAATTTTCCATGTTGTATTGTTGTGTTGAATTCCATTTACATTGAGTATAGTCTGGCAGACATTTTAGTCAATATAAAGGGTAAATTAATGTTAAGTATAAAATATTATTTTTCTATGCCTTTTCAGTGCATTTTAGGGAATCATTTGTAATTTATGTTTTTTAAGATGGTGTGGGGGGTCAAGATGTATTAACATACTTGCTGATTATGGTTGCTGCTAAAGAAGAAAAATGCTCTTTATTATGCTGCCTGTGTCCAGGTTTCATATAATTTGCGTCTCATCAATGCTGTTTCTACTGAGGGGCTGTTACTTGATATTCAGCGGATAGCTTTGTTTCTGAGATTTAATCACCAATTCTGTTACTGCAGCAGAGCAAAATCACTAGGGAGATTTAGAAATTGTTTATGTGTAATGATACAATAACAAGGTTGGACTGTAAAACAGAATCTGTTACTATAAGTTAAGGACAATTTTAGATGTGGCGTTGTGTCAACACCAGAGTGAAAAAACAAACAGGCAGAATTTTTTTTATGATCTTAATTATTGAAGAAACCCTGCAGTCTGCATAGCCCTGGCAGTAGTTGAAATGGCTCTTCATGACGGCGTTCTAAAGAGCTGATGTTTATGAAAACTCGTTAGAGCATCGTTAGAAAACAGCCCAGGGTATTCCTTTTTAAAGGTGAACGCTCCAGCAAAAAAAATAAGTCAGGCTCATAGAGGGCTGTCAAGAGTTCAATGTTCACAACCAGTTAAGACTAAAAGCACAGGTGTCAGAGGTTGAAATCACGTTTGAAACTGATTATTGTAGTTTTTGTACTTTGTGTATTTTTATTTTCTCCTTTGGAGAAATGTACGCGTTTCAGAAGCGCCATCAACAGCTCTGTTAACTGTTAACGTTTTGCATGGCAGGAGATGCCAGGGAGTCAAAGCCACGCTTTGGCTTCTTCCTTATAAGTTATGACAGTAATGTGAGAAAGCAAACATTGAGGTGGGGGAGTGGAATTAAAGAAACACCTGCAAGAGGTGTCATTTTCAATATTGGCTCCTAAAATGGCAAACTCATTAAATAGGGGGAAAAAAAAACGAAAGCTGTGAAAACCACCTTACTAAATGGGAATATTGTTCAGGGTAATTCAGATGTAAACGCGAGAGACCCAGTAGGGTGTGCAGAAGCAGCTTTTGCTCCCCCTCTTCCTTTTCTTTCTCTTTCTAAAAGTGCTGATTGAATTGTGTTTGACAGATATGGAGTCTGGAGAGCGGCTGGCCTCCCCATCAGCAGCCTCGTCCTCGGTGCACACAGCCTCCTCCACCGCCTCGTCCCCAACCCCCTCCAAGAGCAGCCTGGCCACAGGCCCCACCGCACTGAGTTCCACTCTTGCCACCTGTGGTAAGCGCTCACACGCATGCACTCGGCACACACTGGGGTCAGCGGGGCTCCTTAGCCCCTGAGCTGGACTGGGATAACCAGCACGTTTATCTTTGGGTTTGTCTGGAGGCACCCCGAAACAAGGCACAAGTATAAAATATATAGTTGCCATATTTAATGTTAATCCAAATTAAAAAGATCATTTTAGTGAGTCTTCCACTTCCAGTGGAGAATCACCTACACGTGTGCCCTTTTTTTCCTCTATCTGTGCCACAAATGGCAAGACCCCCCCCACCATATTAATTATGTGGGTAGCATTAAGGCTAGGCAGATGTGTTCCTTCCTGAGAACCTTTAGAAATATCATTTTGAGGAGAGGAGAGTTTTAGACAGTTTTTGAGAAAATTGAAATAGCTGCACATTAATGAATACCACACAATTAAACAGCCCCTGTAAGATCTGTACCATTTTAGATGTGTCTTGACAACCTTTAGCTCTGGTTTAGCCTGTGTGATTTGACATTTCTGTCAGCCTCGCAGAAAGTGCGCAGAAGCTAGGGTGCTCTTGGTTTTTTAGAATACTAATTGTGGCCAAAGCTATTACGTGACGGATGTGGTTGATGCTTTGAGCTGTCAGACTACTCTGACCAGAAAATAAAATGCAAATTTAAAAACTGTGATTTGCAAAATTTGTATTTCGATTTTTAAGAGGAAAGAACAAACGTATAGCAATTTTCTTTGCTTGTGTCATTCACTCTCTATATAGTCTGGTTGAACAGATAAGCAAGCTGGGTTAAAGAACTGAATTTCATGCAGCAGGTACACAGTTAATTTCAGGTTATTGGACCATTGTAGTAATCAGACCATTTGACCAATAGTAGTAATTATTTTCTGCGAAATTTGCCATCCTATTGAAGATAAAATGAAGATATTGCACCTTCTGTATTTGTAAAGAAGTATGTGCCCCCTTTTCAATTATTACATTCTTTAACCATAACACTCCTAAACATATACACACTGTACACTGTTGTATTTGAAACTATACCTTACTGACTCATTACATTACAGTCAAAAAAAATAAAAAGTGTTTATTTCAGAATGTAATCCACTTTGGTCTACTTGCTTGATATTTTGGGTGGGAGTACCTCTTTGAAACCTAATAGAATTTGGATAACAAAATGTGTTTTTTAAAGTAATTTCTCTATTATACTAATACAAATTATATTCTGTACTAGTAATCCAATCTTGAGACACTAAAGTATTGCAAGCATTTTTTCAGATACTTTTAAGTTTCTAGGATAACATTTAAACAGGCTTTACAGGATGTATATTAATATTCGGGTTTCATGTATATTAATCTTTAAGTTTCAATGTACCATGATTATACAGGAAATACTAATAATATTAGAGCTGAAATATGTTTCTTCCTTGCGAGTTGATCAAATGTAAAGTTAATCGTTAGCATCAAGTTCATATTGCTCACACGAAAGGCGTTAATTATTCTAAGAATATTATAGACAGTAAATAAGTACATAATTTCTTCCATGTGAATTATACAATCCATCTTTCAGATACAATAATATATTCAAAAGAAAATAGATGCAGTTTATGTTAATCTTTATCCACTGATATTTGTCTGGATATTAAAATACACACCCATTGCATTCCATTTTGTTCCATCAGATCTGTGGTTTAACAGCATTTCAGTTTGATGGCATTAATATAAAGAAAGTATCAAGTCATCCTGTGTCTCTCCTCTCTTTTTTGTCCTTCTTTGCTCTCCTTACAAGTCTGATTTAATTATTCTGTAGCTTGAAGTGCATTAATATTAAAAAGGCATTTGCAGATGTCGTTCCTTGTTACTTGGACAGCAGTGCTATAGAAACGGATGCTGGCCTTTTGGGTAATACTTTCAGTCATTTATCTCTGTATCGGCTGCTAGAGTTTCAAAAGCCAGACTCTAAATATTCAGGTTATTATAATGAGATTCAAAGTGTAGATTTTCCATTTTGTAAGTAAACTGAATTGAAGCCAGGACAATGAGTCCTTTTCTTATTTCTGAAATTCAAGCACATTTTCCACTGATGATCAGGGATTCTCTCTTTCATTGGATTTCCACGAAGCCACTTTTCTTGGTTTTGAAGATCAGTACGTGAACCGGGCTTCAGTATTTTTTTTTTAAAGAATTTCAGATGCCTTCACCGAAGTTCCACAATCATAAATCCTCGCTACTTGTGGTAGCGATCATAAACTGTACAAATCTTATATATTCAGGTTCAGGCAGTGCACTTGCAGTCTGTAGCTTTTATATTTCTAACATTTCACATATTTAATTTTTTACATTGTTTTTCTCCATCCCTGACCTGCATTTGTATCTGATAACTTGCATACGGTTGCCATAAGAGCTTAGGAATAAATTAAAGACTTTATGGCCACCAAAGAGTCATAAAGTTTTAAAAAATGTGTACATTTTTAAAGAATAGAGGCTTTGTTTTTGGTCTTTACTAGGTGTAGCAGCTGGCAGAGCAAGAGAAATGTGAGTACAGACAAATTAGTTCTTGTTCCATTTGCTTTTATGCATAATGGATGTTTAAAATTATTTAACTGACATACAGAACAGGGATAATTGTAGGCAGAAATTTTGAAAGTAGTGGCTCTAAACATACAGAGATGCATTCCTGTGGAATTTGCTAGTCTTACCTAATTGGCAAATATGGACACAGCCCTTCTTGAGAAATGTAGGGAACTGTTTGTCATTTGTGGGCTGTTTTAAAACAGAATGTGAAAGAAAGGCCATGTAGAATGTAAAAAGATAATGATGCAGTTTTGTATCTAATAAAGCACACTTCACCTCATGATATAACTAGTCTATAAAACATAATGTAAGCTGTCACACATTTGACTTTTATTGACTAGAATTCTTTACTCATCACTTTTATAATTATTCCAATTACCTGGCGCATTGGAATTTTTTTCTTCTTGTGATGGAAATCTCATTTGCATTAAATGTTTTCCTTCCTTTCTGCAACAGGCTGTCTGAAAGACAGTATACTGCGTATGAAGCTGGCTGTTTTCAGCCGACTCTACTGTTTATTCAGGGACTCATTCCTTATGCAACAGACTTATGATTTGCATACAGAGCTTTCATTTTCATTTAAGGCTTGTAAAAAGATACCATGCTAAAGCAAAAGAGTGATAAAGATGCATTAATGGGAAAGGTTTGAGCTCCGCACAGCATATGTTCCTACCCTTCAAAATGTAGAAATCATGTTTGCCTATTGACATTATTGCAATTTAAATTACTAGACCTTGTAGAAGTTTAGTTTTTTTCTCTATCGTCTTAGACTTCAGACACATACAGCCTGAGTGCAGTTGTGAGTTAACTTCTTGCTCTTAATATGGGGTTTGTGTGTATGTATACAGTACTTGGTGTTTGGTTACAAAGAGCAGTGATAACTGTACTGGTTTATCTCGTTTGGCACAAGTGTCAGTTTGGTAATATGCATTACAGCTGCACTAAAGGAAAATAGGTGCTCTCAGGATTGCTGTGTCAGGAATGACATCATCTCATAACGACTACTTCCACCCAGACAAGCCTTTTGAATGCCATTCAGTAGTTCATACTGGCCTTATGGTTGTAATACTGACAAATGTTTTACCCTACTGTCAAAATACTGCAGAAATTACCTTTTGCAGTTCGTAGAGGAAAAACATAACTGGGTAAGACAAGATCTCAATCAGTTACCATTACCATCACCATACAAACATAAAGACTGGCTTGTAATGGTTGTTCTCAGTGTTTCTAAATGTGGAGCTTCACTTCAGTAGTGGAATGTGTTTTATTCCACATTGCCTACATAGAATGCGGTTTGTATGGCTGTCTTACTCACTGCAGTGTGTGTGTATGAGGCCTAAGGCCATTGCTTCACACAACATGGGGTTAGGCCATAATTTGATTTAATGGGTTTCTATGAGCCCAAGCAAACTGCAGTGTCTCATTGCGTCTCATTGCAGAGCAGCACATCCAGATTTTCCCAGAGAACTGTTTAATTCACCACCTGAGTGTGAACTCTTGACCAACAACCACAAACCTCAGTGTGACATCCAACTGTCTCGTTTCTCTCACCAGCTCCTGCACTACCTCTGGTAGTTTGATTTAAATCATTCCTTGTCTGACGCTTAACTCTTAATATAACTTTTACCAGTTTTCCCTAGACTTTCACATTAACCCATATTCTTCCTTCATTTTTGACCTAAGATACTCAACAATATTTATGGTAAGTGTTCCTCCGCTGGTGTCATAGTTTCTGATTCGTCATGAGATATAGCGATTTTCTTACAGCGTAATGAGCTCCAAAAGCCAAGGCTTGCCAGAGGGTTTTCCCCAGGAAAAGGGCTTTGACGCTTCCGTTTTTTGACACATTGGTGTGACAGTCTACTATCAAAACAAGGAGTGAAATGGTGCAACATGCACGTATGTTGCTGGCCTTAGTCTGTTCCCTGCATTCTCATTACAGAAATGACTGACACCTCACTCAAGTTCACTCGTTTATAGGAAAATAGTTAAAAGTCCTCCAGAGAGCTGTGACATCAGTAAACTAGTGTTAAGATACTGGATTCATGAAATAGAACTAAGTCTCAGGTGGGGCAGTGCTGTTGTACCCTTGAGCAAGACACTTCACTCAGATTGGTTCTGTAAAATGCCCACTTGTGTAAATGGGTACAAATGTAAATCAGTTAAGATAAGCGTCAGCGTAGCAGCGTAGAGGTGGTGGTAGTAATAATAGCAACAACTACGACCTAAATGGGTCTGCCTCAGAATTATTTCATTAGCTGTCTAATTATTGTTTTAATTCCTTGTGAATTATTTTAGGAAATGTTAAGAATTTACAGAGTAGCTTAGAAGGTGAAGTCTTAACATTTGCACTTTCTGAATTTCTTTTCAACTGGTGAAGAGATTGAAAATGAGGTACTGTGCTGCTTATCTTTAATATTCGGTTTCCAGTTATCTATCAAGTGAATAACTCCTAAAGAAATCCTCTCCTATCCTGACTCCTAAAAAAAACTATTTAACTATCGAAAAATAAGGGGTTATGACATGTATTTTCCAATGCATACTGTATTTCAACATTAACTTAAACACAATAAATCCTAACAAAACAAAAGTCTTTTCCTAATGAAAAGTATCCAAGTCTTCCAAGTGTGCATGTTTTTTTTAAATGTTTTAAACAGATGGAGTCAAACTTAGTGGAAACATTGTCCTCCAAACTATTAGCTAACTTTATTGACTGTATATTAAGTTTTTTTAGCAAGCAGCGGTCATACAGCCTGCAATTACACGTAGGTGATGAAATGTAATGGAAATGCTGAAACAATGTCTGTATGTCTTAGAAATATGATAAATCTGCTGTACATAACTCAGTTATACAAGTTTAAGGAAATAATCTGTATTCTGTAAACATGTAGTCTTTAAATTCCTTTGTTTTCTGTTTATTTCAGATTTAACCTACATGTTTTGTAAGTAAAGACATTGCATGGGCTTGCTAACACATTTTGTTTTAGTTTTTCATTAATGTATATATTTTTTCCCCCCATCTATTAGGACATTTGTTTCGGGCTGCTGGAGATCAGTCCTTTAACCTGTCTACTGTATCAAGTGCCTTCCCAATGGTCAATCATCCAGCCTTTGGTCTATACACTACAAGCTCAGGGCGCTCAGAGTTTGGAGGCCTGGGAACACTTGGTGCATCTGCAGCCTTAGCAACACACCCTCAGCTTGGAACTTTTCCGGGTAATAGCTGTTGTCTGCCTCTCCATGGGTTTGATGTATGATTACATTTTTGAAAGCAGCGTCCAAATTGTTTATGTGTTTTGGACAAAAAAAAAAAGTACAAATGTGGAAACTCTGGTTGCTGGGACAGCTATAGTATGTAGGCGATATGGAAGTGCAGGGGACCAGTATTGAGTATCGTTAAGCATGCTGTTAACTCATTGCCAGTGGAAATAATAGGGGTGGCATTTTTCAAGAGCTATCTTCTATATTGTAGGATATTTTCAATAGCCGTAATTTGTTCTCTATCAAGACATAAAAGTTAGATGATTGGTGGCTGTAACTTTAAGAAACAAGTGTATTCTGTCAAAAGCAAACATTTTAATATCTATTTTTAATGTATTCTCGTGAGTATGCAAATTGTAAAATACATAATCTGTGCATTTATCACAACAAGGTTTTGCAAAATAACAAATCAGTTTTAATTTTTCAATTTTTTAATACAGCAGTTTTTAAAGCAATGCATTTTGTGTGCATCTCATTTTATTTCCTGAACAAGTCTTCTAAGTTTCAGTCTTAAAAACAATTACATTTCAATAAATTTTTTTGGTGGATGCTTTATCAAAAGCAACATGAATTTATACCGTTATTTATTGGAGAAATCTGAGTGAAATATGTTGCTCTCATGAGTACAAAATCCACCTGGGATCTGAACCCACAACTTGTAAGTTACAAGTTCCAGGGATAGCTACTCTACATACTGAAATGTACTGTATATAATAGGCATTTTTCAAGAGATCTGTTATGTCCTGTAAAGCTGGAAATGTTCAGTAGCTGTAACATTTTCTTAATCAAGATGTTAGAGTTTTACTATATGAACCACCTTTTTTGTTTTTCAGTTTGTAGTGTTCTTGTTCTTTTGTGCTGCAGCAATGTCGGCTATAAGTCTGTATTGGTATAGCTGTGAAATGTCTAAAATGCTTTGTGGTTTCTAATGTGAAGTGAGTTTACATGATAAGATCATTAATTCTGCTTTGAGTTTCCAATATTCAATAGCTTGATAATGATGTCAAGAAGTCAGAAGTGATATAATGTTATTGTGATCTATGCAGATTGTAGATTGGGAAAAAAAACTGTATTGGCTTCCAACATTGATGTACCATCATCGAGATGGATAGAGTTAGAAATGAGCATGTAAGATGGGGAAATTAAGTTTGTATGCAAAGCAAATTGTGATATTTACAGCAGTTAACAGAACTTTAGAAGTTGCATCAGGCTATTTGACTTAAATAACATAAATTCTTCTGTTTTGCCATGTGTCATGTGATAAACTGTACAGCGTTGATGGTCAGCCCAGGTGATATTGTACTTTGAGAGCGAAGAAAAAAATGTGTGAACCTGTACCTTAGAGTACTGCCTGGGGCCGAACACCTTTGGCCACCAAAGTGTGAACTGTTGAATCATTTAGACTACAACCGAGATGAGAAATTTTACATGTGGTCATCTTTAAATAATTAAGACGTATATTTAGAAATAAAGATTTCAAGAACTGAAATGCACAACATTCACTTAAGGTTTTCTAAAAAGGTTGCTGGAGAAGGCTGAAATCATTTCTCCGTCTTCTGTCTCCTCTTCTTGGTGAAGAATGGTGGCGGACAGAGGCTCACAGCCGTGGTGGGGCGACCTTCTTTCCTCCTCTTCTGGGCATTCCATCCATGTTCGCTTCTCCTGTCCCGAACCACGACTCGAGCTCATTCCAGTCCCGCACGGCAAGCAAGAACGCCCGTGGGGGTCAGAAAGGTACTGTCATAAGGCAGACACTGCTGTTCAGATTCCTTTCCCAACATTCTGCCTAAAATAAGGAGGAACCAAAGGACCTGACGTACAGAAACAATCCCCCACGAAAATAACCAAAGCCCTCACAGACAAAACTGCGGTATTAAATGTATTTAATTGTCCCAGAAGGCATATGTAAGAAATGTAAATGCCTTAATCGTTTCTGGCAAGCAGGTGCTCAAACTTTCACTGCGAATATAATAAGAAAATGCTCTCAAGCTTAATAATAAGTATATTCATGTTGAGAACATTTTAATAACTTCCAACTAGTTCTCTTTATCACATCCCAAAATATCTTTTAAAGTGCCCAAGTTTCCAAAGCCTGTGAATAATATTTAGGTTTATTTTTTTCTATTAGTTAAGATAATACTGTGGTGTTGGCTATGACGTCTGAACAGTTTTTTTTTAACAGTACCGTAGTGTGCAAGGGCACGTCCAGTTTTGTCTTACATGGGAAAACAATTAGTGAAAATGAAGAACAATTTTCAAAATACTTAATCGTTTAACTTTATTGATGATTTTAATATTCAACACCTGCAGATAGTGTGACATGAGTAGTGAATGTGTAATACCTTAGCAACAGGAGTAACTATATTACTTTAATTGTAATATAATAAAATAAATCAAGTAATTTAAGTAAAGTGTTCTATGCAGTGCTGAGTCTTCAGGAACCTTGAGATGCTCTAATGAGTGTACACACCCTTTGTGCCTGGGCTTGTTTATAAGATCCGTTTTTGTTTTTGATTTCTTAACTGCCTTTCAGGAAATATTTAATGATGAATATATGCATTTCACCATAGCTCATAAAGGCCTGACATCTCAAAACGCCTATCTCTTTGTTGCCCCATGTTCTCACGGACACAAAATTGATCTTGAAGGAGTGAACGGCGCAGTAAATGGGAGCAGTATTACAACCTCGACGGGAGCGAACACTGCGACAACCACAGCCTCAGCGTTGGCATCTTCAGGGCAAACAAAAGCAGCACACCCTAGTGGACGCAGCCGGAAGAGCAACCCAGAGCAAAACAGCAGTCAACTTCAAGAGAAAACTGGGGAGAAAAGTAAAGACAAGGTAAGCGACATGGCAGAAGAATCGCAGGCTGCAGTTCTCTCAGCAGTTCTGGCCCCTAGTTGTATTACTGTGTTAGCCTGTTAGTACTCACAGAGACTGGATCAGGGCATCATAATGACATGTATGTTCTACATGTCTGTCTGTTCCTTACCTGAAAGCCATTTATCTTGGTGAGGGTCATAAGTTGGAGCATATCCTGGAAACACAAGGTGCTTGACGGTAGACACTATGTTCATCCTCTACACTAAACACAAGTTCATCACAGCAATGATCTACATGTATATATGTTCAAATGTACTGTAGATAAAACATACTGCTTAAATTGTAAAACAGTACTAGTTACTTTTGGGAGAACATGTCATCAAAGAGTTTGATTCCTTCCAGGCTGACTTGAGATCTAGACCGTTTGACACCTGATCCAGCTGACTGAAGCAATGTTGTGCTCTGATTTATTGATTCATCACCGCTTTGTAGAAACTTCGAAAGAAGCCAGTGGAGAGCTCCAGTAACAGTGATAGTGAGTCAGGTTCGTCATCAGATACCTCAAGCGAAGGAGTGAGCAGCAGTGACTCTGAAGACCTTGAAGAGGATGATGATGACGACGAAGAAGATGATGACGATCAAACCAATGAGGAAAGTGAAGATGACTCTGATTCCGAAAGTGAAACTCGAGTGAAGGGAAAAACCAAGGTAAAGTTACAATTAAGATGTGTTCTCTTTTTCACTTTAGAACAGCAGAAACAATATCTACTGTAGGTATTACTTGACATCTTCTGTTTTGTGTTAATAACTTTGAACATAAGGGGAAAGTTTCCCACTGTGTACAGAATTTACTCTCTAATGTAAAAGTCATTATAGGGGCTTTTACTTCTATTAATCACTGCTCATAGTAATTGCTGGTAATGCAGATAATGGTATATTCTAATACCTCCTGTATTATTTTGTAAAATAATACCACAATCTCCGTACATTATGTTGATTGTATGGTAGATCCGAATCTGTCTCTCTGTTACAGCATTAACATCGAGTCATGTTTTTAAAATAGTTTTTGCAATTATTTTGCTTTTCTATTTTAGAGGAAAGAGTAAAATTCAACAGCTTGTTGACTTCAATAATGATCAATCTGATGGCTTTCTGATTGGCTGTTCATAAAATGGAATCAGAAATAGATGCCAGCAATTTGAATTGCATCCTGCATAAATTTTAATACAGAAGTAATGCTTATGAAAAGATTCAGGTGGTATATATGCAAGCTATCTTTTTTAAGGTGTAGAAATAGGCCTGTGTTACCAGCAGGATATTTTATTGCCAAGCAACAATATTGAGATCTTTAAAACAGCAAGAATGTTTAAACTGGTAAGTAGGTGGCACAGCAGGTTACTGCAGTAGCCAAGAGGGACCCATGATTCGCATGTGAGGAGAGAATGACACAAGCTGGTGATATTCCACTTCTTTTCTGTAGGTGTTAATGCAAAATCTAAATGAAGTCAAAAAGGATGGACAAAAACCTGCTGAAGAAAAAGAACCCCAGGACAAAACGAGCAACCCACCGCGGAATTTCACAGCTGACCCCCCGACTCCTCCGTCTTTCCAACCACAGCAGGCGCAGCCTCAGGTCTTGTCCCAGCAATCCCCGCTTGTATTCCAAAGCTCTCAGGCCAAGGAGGAGGCCATGAAGAAGCACCTGAGTGTCATTCACTCCACAGGACTGGCAGCCAGCAACAAACCTCTGGCCCTGGTCACTCAACCAAGGAGAGAGGCTTCTCCCAAACCAGTTATTCCATCACCAGACGTCCTCAAGGCAGGCAACAGAAGCACAGCAGAGGAGCCCTGCTCTCAGATCAGCGATTTAAGATTGAAACAGGTTTGTTAGCTTGTTCCATTATGGGATATACCTTTCTTCTTAAAGGCAGCGAGGCTTTTCAACTGTTACTAAAGTAAATTAGAACTGTTTCATTTTCATTTCTTCTGGCGCTTCAGCAAGATTTGTTTTGATCCATTTTGGCTTTTATGGTGGTGCTTCTTTGAGTAGACATTGCTATTGAGCAGCACAAATAAATTTGTTTATATTCAGTATCTGCAGTTATTTTATGACTGTTACTGTTTCTGACATCCTTATGTTAAAAGGTCACTGAATTTTTCCAAGACAGAAGATGAACCTTCTAAGTATTCTTATCAGTTGTTTGATTATATTTTGTGTAGTGTGGCTGAGTACATGAGTGAAAGTGACAGTGCATTTAGGCTTATTTGAATTGCTGCATAAAGCAGACAATCAATTAACTGGGTAATATTTCAAGAAGCCAACAGTAATCAACAAAAAGCTCTGGTGTTTTTCAAACAATGTGATTATTATGCCGATTATCTAGTGTATGGCTGCAAAAATAGCTGTTTCTGTAGATGACACTACCTGATTTTTGGAGCAAGATTTTTATTGTTTGAGACAAGGAAAGGTTGAACACAAAGTGCTCCAAGCTTAGGGAAATGTACAGAAGCTTATCTATGTGTTGTCTTTATACACATCTTCTGTGTTGAAGATCTGTTTTAAAAATATTTACAGTTTTGTTATTTTCTGTAACCAAATAAAATGTCAGGCAAACGTTCTGGTCACGTTTGACTCATAATAGTACTGCCCTCTAGAATGCGATGTATTCTTGCATGAAAAGTACTGGTGCCTTTTGTTCAGTGCATGCCATAATAGATTAATGAGATTTTTATTTTTGTAGATGAATTCAATTATAATGGGAAATCTTGTTGGCAGTCCACAAGGACCTCTTAGTCTTTTTTGTTAAGGGGTTCTTGGGGTTCTTCCTGCTGTGATAATGTATAGTTCTGAAATATTTAATTAAGAATTGCTTTTTTTTTCTCTTGAAGCTATTTTATACATTCTTTTCACAGGAACAGTTCAAACAGACTTTTCCCGTGCAGTTGAAGAAACAGCAGGAGCTCTACAAGATCCAGAAGAAACTGGTCGCACCTGTGCTCACTCCCAAAATCACCCGTGACTCGCCTAGCAACCAGAAGCTTGCCAACAGCAACCATTCAAATCTCTTCCTTTCAAACACACTTCTTGGGCATCACCAACCCAATGGGGTGATCCAAAGCGCAATTCAGGAAGCTCCCTTAGCACTTACAACCAAACCTCGCAGTCAGACCAAGACCCCTGACAAGCCACTCCTCACTTCGAGTGCTGTGTCTTTTTCGGCCCCGGTCAATTTGAGTACGGGTGGAAAGAATCATTCCACCACTCAGATGGTGCCGGTTAGGCCATCTACCTCACCTGCTTTGCCTCATGTGTCTGGGAAAGACAAGGCATCCAGTGCTAAGGTCACTCCAACGGGAAAAAGTTCAACCCAGAGTCATCTGGTACAGTCGTTAGTCGATCTGTTTCGAGGAGCCGAGTCGGATATTCCTAGCAGCAAGGACTCGGACGACTCTGCTGAGGATGAGGATGACGAAGATGACGACGATGACGAAGAAGATGACGAAGATGAGGAGGATACTGATGACAGCCAGTCAGGTATGTGTAAGAGGTGGCAAAAGCTCTTTCGTTCAATGCAATTCTAATGCACTAAATGTAATGCACAAATTTGCCATATCTGGACATTCAGAAAAGAGGTCACTCTGTCAAGAAGAGTGATAGAGGTATTTGTACTTGTATGTATAAATTTGTGTTGTATTGATACTATATAAAGTGTTGGATTATATATAATATATAACAATTTGTCTTGTTTGTCAAACAGATGTAGTTACGAAGTCAGCTTCTCCTTCTTCTCTGCCACTTTGGAAACAAAATTTTGTCTGTAGCACTGCAGTGAATTTGTGCTTTTGTTTTGTGTTATATCTAATGCAAATCTCTTGAAGTAACGCTACTAAGCGCAATATGGAATCAGATAAATCACTGAAATTAGAACTTGGAAAAATCATACCTGTTCAGAATGAAAATTGAACAGGGCATTGAACTTGACAAGCCTATGAGCATAATCAACACAGAGTCTTTCTCTGAAATGATCAGCACTCTCAATTCTGAGAACCATTCCGCACTGACAACCTTTTCTTAAACCCAATCCTTTAAGATATTTGAAATTTGCTCATGGACAAAGATTTTATGTATGTATAAAAATGAGTTTTTATATATGTTTGAATGTTTAAACTGTTTGAATGTTTATATCTTTTAAAGAGTCAGAAAGCAATTTTGAGAGTGACTCAGATGGATCAGAAGATGATGAAAAGGACCATGATGAGACTGAAACTGACACAGAAGGAGAGAAGACACCTCTAAAACTGAATAAATCTGCTCCTGCTGTGCTGAACGCGTCTGCTAATTGTACGCCTCTGAACCTTCAAGTGATTAAAAGTCCCAACCTGAGTCCTACCTTAGTGACCAGCACTGGGACACCGGCCTATCACAGCACTCCCTCTTCATCTTTCTCTATATCCACACCACCAGGTAACTCCTGATACTGTGCTGCGCACTTCATTAAGAGCACAGTGCTATTATCTCAGTGCTGACAGAAAGAGTGAACATGACTCACATTACATAGGATTGTGTTTTTCCCGCATTAAACATCATTACGTTAATGAACAGACTCTTAACGTTCAGCGTAGTATTGACATTACCATGTCGACCGGTTGTACTGTATAAAACCTGCTTTTTAGTCACGTTCTGCCTGTGAGGACATGCCTCTTAGTCTTGAGCTGGGTTAATGTTCTGTTTTTGTTTATGAATGGCAGTTGAGGGAGTTTTCTCCCTGGTGAGGTTAGAGTTTGCTGTAATCAGGAAAAGAGGAAATGGAAACTGGGGATTTTCCACTACTGTGCCTAAAATGAGAGCTGAACAAAATGGTCACAAGGAATATCATTGTATTTTAGTATCTATAAATCAGTAGGTAAAGAATATTTTTTTGTTATAGAACATTGATTACCATAGTCACATAGCCGATTAAAAGATACTAGATTTAGTTCCTTTGTATATTGCCTTAACATAAATGTGTTTTTTTCATGAGTAGTACATTATAATTAAAACATTGATTAACACCTTCAAACGGTGCATGGATTAACTTAAGTAATACTTTTTAGCTGTTTTATATTAATTATCTCTGACTTCCCAGCTCATTTCACTCACTCACACTCATTCTGGAACTCCCGTTTATATTTTGTAAAAAAGCAAAACTGAATCAACTGGAAGTTTAGCACAAGGAAGAAAAAATACCCGTCGAAAGGAGATTCCTTTTTTAATGGGTACTCGTTTTTCAGATTATTCTTACATAAGGGAATACATTTTTAAGTATGTCAATTTAAAAGTGCATTCATGTTTTGGATGAAAATGAACAAGAGTTTAGAGCACTCACAATGGGGAAGATTTCACATTCACCGTCGGTGTTTATGACTGGTTCTTGATTTCTTGCAGGGTCTGGTAAAAGAAGAAGAGTAACAGATGAACGGGAGCTCCGAATCCCTCTGGAATATGGGTATGTTTCTGGATGTTCTAACGTCTGCTGAATTTCAGACACATTGACAGGGAGACTGCAGTGACACTGGGAATCATGTCCATTCTCTAAGCTGCAGCCCTCAGAATTCTCAGTGCCTTTTGAGAGATGAATCACATTCTTATAAGCCTCATCCACAGCTAGTTTACTTGGGTATGCATGATGTTACTCCAGCGGGCACAATCACCCAAATCAGTGTGGATCAGTTCAACTCTGGGGGAACGTTATCTTCTTGTTTCTCAAGATTCTGCTTTAGACACTTGGGTTCTGAAAGCAATGAACAGCAAAAGACACTTCTCTTTTGCTCAGAGGGTCCGTCCTTGCAAGAGAAGAGCAAGTTCATACTGATTTATATTTGACTGATTCATATTTATGAATATGGGATACTAATATGAGAAAATGAGCCACTGCAGCCAGGTTGTGAGGATGTGTGTAGTCCTATTGAATCCTGTGAGTAAAAGTGAGATCAAAAAGAAAGGCAAAACACGCATTTCTGTGGCAATGGCAGTGGTTTTGTTCATTTTATTAGCAAATTTATTCAATACAGTCTTGCTGAAATATGTTTGAATCTTAAAGTTGTGATGCTATGACTGATCTGCAGATTAGAAGGATGGCAGGAAAACTGACTCGGTAATGGCTGTTTCATTACCAATCTGAGACCAAGATTCACAGGTCTGCAGAAAGTATAAGGTTGCAACATTGCATAATGTGGCCCACATTCTCACAGCAGCAGACATCTAAGCAAAGTAGAATACACAACACGTCTCTAAATGGTCAGTTTAATCTTATTTCCTACTCTTAAGAGGCTAGACTGTGGCAAGACAGATTCAGCTCTTGAAAGCAGTGGTTAAGGCTATGTCTAGCCTCCGGACTCTTCCTTCGGCATGAAACAAACAATTCAGTGTCCTAGTATCTGTGTTTCTTTTTATAGTTCTACCTATCATCTAAATATCCCGCCTAAAAAGAAGAGTCAAATGTCTTGCTCACAAAGGTTATCCAATTCCTACTTCCCAGAGATGTCAGCTTTATAACCTTCTGTAATCAAAGTTCTTCTGGCAGATATTCGGTGGAAAGGGCTCTATCTGTGTGCAGAGTTCACTTTTCAAGTATAAACTCACATTTTTCCAGAGTTACATAACTACAAAGGCATCTAAGCATTCATTACTGTAGTTTTTATTTTTGCATTTAAAAAATGGTGTCTTTTATTAATTCAGAAAAAACATCCCTCCGTTATGTTCAGGCATGTGTTTGCTTGAAGGAGGATATCGCTGTGCCAACAATTTATAAAGCTGCCACTAACTGGCACGTCTGTTTTGTCGACCATAAATCAAATGGCATAGCAGTAATTTGCTATTCACTCTAATGTAAACTTCTCTGTTTTTACAGGTGGCAGAGAGAAACCAGAATAAGAAACTTCAGTGGTCGTTTGCAAGGAGAGGTAGCTTATTATGCCCCGTGTGGGAAAAAACTTCGGCAGTACCCTGAAGTTGTGAAGGTAATTTGAAAGTTAATGAAGCTACCCAGTGGTACAAGATTAAAATACAAGAATGATCCACAAAGGTATATTTATAATACCATCTTAACATCCTTATGTTGCAAAAGGATAATTTTCTAGATCTTTTCTTATGGTTGTTACATTTATATTCCTTGACTTTGAATTCCTTTAATAATGAGCCAGTATGTAAAATCTCAATCAACAGTTTGTGTGTAAGCCACACTTTGTAATACCATTGTAAATCACCCCCTAGTCAGCAGCTTGTGTGAAGCTTAAAGGTTTCTTCCTGAAAACTGGATATTTGTCTCATTGAAGCCATTATTTTCTCTTCTGTAGTATCTAACCAGAAATGGAATTACAGACATCACACGAGATAATTTTAGCTTCAGTGCAAAAATAAGGGTTGGTGACTTCTATGAAGCCAGAGATGGACCTCAGGTGACTGTTTTTATATCTATTGACAGTTTTCTTACCTTTAGTACCAGAGTCAGTCTCCAATAATGCAGCGACATAAAAGAATGAACTCACAACCCATTTGGAAGTTCACGTTGGAGACACAATGTTCAATTAATCAGCTTACATTACTTTCACAGGTATTAGCCTAACGTTTACCAAGGACAAGTGGAAAATATAGCGTAACTAGAGGTAAATGGTAACCAAAAATGAGACTGGGAACATGATGGCTCTTTGTTGAAAGAATACAGCAGTCAACAGTACGACCAGACCCCCTAGTAAGAGATGAGCTAGAAAAAAGTACTTGAGATGCACTTCGTTTTTAGAATCCATTCATTCTACCTAGAAGTAGAAATACTTTTGTTTATTTTTTTGTCAAAATAATCAGTGAAATTATTAGGTGTGATAGGGAATTTTAATTCCAGTCTAATACTTTGTCAGATGCTGGAGAGATTTCTAATGGCAGTTTCTCAAAATGCTGGAATGTAGTGAATTTCTGTAGTCAGACAGGGTAGATGGCTTGTGCGCTGTTGGTGAAAAGCGTTGTAACAGGGACACTCGACCCCTTTCTTCTGTTGAAGGGCATGCAGTGGACTTTACTGAAGGAAGAGGAAGTCATTCCTCGTATTCGTGCGATGGAAGGGCGTCGGGGGCGCCCCCCAAACCCTGAGCGCCAGCGCTCTGGTGACGGCTCCAGAACGAAGCGCAGGAAGGGCCGGCCCCCCAACGTGGGGGCCACCGAGTTCCCCAGCCCCGCCGATGCCAAGCTCCTCCGCAAACTGGAAGCTCAAGGTGCAAATTTTAATTCCTGATTTTTTTTGCTATCTCCTCAGTCGTGGGATTTACAGGTTTCAATTTCATTCAGTCACACACCCCCCCCCCACCACCACCACCATTTCAGAGGTTGCAAGCTAAACTCTTTTTTTTAATGCAGAAATTGCTAGACAGGCGGCTCAGATCAAACTGATGCGGAAACTTGAAAAGCAAGCTTTGGCACGAGCTGCTAAAGAGGCAAGGAAACAGCAAGGTATGCAGCTAACTTCCTGTGGCATTGTAGAGCAGTCTGCCTTCAGATCAGGTTTAATGTCATGCAGTTTTTGTTGCAAAAAACCCTCTATCCTGTCTTTTAGCAATCATGGCAGCTGAGGAAAAGCGGAAACAGAAAGAGCAAATAAAGATTCTGAAACAACAGGTATGTAGCGCTTGACAGTTGTCAGGTGTTTCGCACACATATTGTTCTTCATAGAAATCCATCCTTTTTTAAATAATGTCATGTGGAATTTCAAGCATAGAAGCTTCTTTTAAATGTCAGTTTTTCAGTCAGCTTGGTAGTTTGATTTGGACGGATCTAGAAGCAGACAACACATTTTGACACCGATATCACGGCAAAGGGAGCACCCCAATGTTTTGGGGTGGTGCAGTGGCTCTGTGGCTAAGGATCTGCGCCTGGGGCTGGAAGGTTGCCAGTTCGGATCCTGCGGCCGGCAGAGGAATCCTACTCCATTTGGCCCCTGAGCAAGGCCCCTAACCCCAACTGCTCCAGGGCCGCCGTATAAATGGCTGACCCTGTGCTCTGACCCCAGGCTTCTCTCCCTGTCTGTGGGTCTCATGGAGAGCAAGTTGGGGTCTGCGAAAAGACAAATTCCTAATACCTCATTCCTGGAAGTATTCCCTGTCAGTGTTGTAATATAATAGCGAGAATGTATTTCACTGCAAAATTAGAGGATCCCACACAGCTGAAAAATTTTTTGAAGCGATATTTCAGGACTTTCTGTGTTAGTTTGTGTCAGGATGTAGATAAGTTATTCGTTGAGATGTTCTAATTTTTAACCCAAGCAATTCTACAAAGTACTTACACATCAGTGTGATATCTCCTGAAAGATCTTAAAAGGAAAGTTTCTTTTTTGTAAGCGAATAATAAGCCTCATTCAGAGCTTTTAATAGCTTCTTCAACTCAATTCAAAAAGATCTACTTTTCCTCTGGAGTTCACTTGCCGTTGCAAAGAACATGATGCTCACTTCCAGCTCTACACCTCTTTAATCTCCATGGCATTACTTTTAATTCATTTACGTACTTTACAGGAAAAGATCAAACGAATTCAGCAAATAAGAATGGAAAAGGAGCTTCGAGCACAGCAGATTCTTGAGGTATGTCCAAAAGGAGGTTAAACATAGCAGTAGCATTCTTAAAATACATGTTTTGCTTGGGGCGTGAATGTTTGAAAACTACTAAGGGCTATTCCTGAATCATGTTGTTGCAGATTGTGTTATGTCTTATGCATAATTTTACATGGGCCCAACACTAAATTGGCTTTAGTGTTACTAGTACTGAATATTAAAAGTCTGTCTTTGCCTCTTCACACCATGGGTAAATTGTACATAAAGGATTTTTTTTGTCAAACAATTGCAACAGTTTTGCATAAGTAGATGGGGGAAAAAATGCTGTTTTCCATACACATACAATTATAGAAGCTCCAAACTGTTTTAGCAGACCTAAATCAAATTTGAGTTGACACGGTTGGCAAGCCATTCTTAACAGGATTTTTCACAGCTTGTAATTACATATTTAAATTTTACATAATTTATTCTCACTCAGTTTTTCTCCTTTGTATGACTCGCTGGTTAGGTTTTTTTTTTGTTTATTTTTTAAAGGTTCAAAATGGAAGCAAATAAGTTTGAAACCATAGTCTCCCTTTGCATTTTATAAACGTTTCCAAGTGGTCTGTTGATTGTTTGCAGGAGACACAGACAAAAGAGAATCTCTGCTGTCAGCTTTTAAGTGATTGAGCGTGGAATAAAAACAGATTAACATCTGGTTTATTTACAATGGAACAGGTATATTGCTCTATGCAGATCCTTGGAAGTTAATCTAGCGTTATATGAAAGCAGAGTCGTAAATATCACAAATATTATATAGTATGTTAATTTTAATAAATGGAAAACCTTCCATACGTTACTGTTTTTTAGGATTGATACCTTCTTGACAGGGGAGTGTTTTGATGTCTTGCTGTACATATATGACATTCGTAGTCATCGTTTATATTTCTCTAAACTATAAAACATAAAAATAACAACTAAAATATCTACTTGCTGAAGAGAAAGAAATTCATAAGCATTGCTTTTTTAATTTTGATTCTGGAATAGCCCTGATAAAAAAAAAATCTGTCCCGGTTTTATTTCAGTATGGAGGATGAAGTAATGAGCACAGTGGAATGTTTATGATGTCAGTTGTCTTTCTGTACTTTCTGTAGTGCTTGCATGGTATGATTTTAAGAATATCTTTTAATGTTAATCTTTTTCATAAACCTAATATAAGGGGAATAGGGTGTCCTCACAAGATCTTACATCAACTCTTCTATTGTTAAGAATGTATGCTTGAATAGCTTTAGTTTGGTATCATGCCAACACTACAGCATTAGGTCCACAGCAGTTAGAGGGTTTTATTCAAGCACAAAGTATTGTCTGTTTTTTTTCTGGTTTGTTGTCTTAATCTTTGGAAGCATGTTGATGTGTTGTAGACTGAGATGTTTTACAGCTGTTAGTGGTACTGTTGCATGACCTCCAGACCTGTTTTGCATGCACAGGCTAAAAGGAAAAAGAAGGAAGAAGCAGCAAATGCCAAAATTTTGGAAGCTGAGAAACGAACAAAGGTTAGTTTAGATGGGCCGCAAAGACTTTTGGGGGGAAAACTGAAGACTGTGAGTAATCTGAATAAAACAATCATTGTTACATCAAGCAACATGCCTGTTTTTTTCTGTTTTTTTTTACCGTACATGTTTCTGTGCTCAAGTGCCTCATTGTCATATTTTTAAGTGAATACAAAATAATGTTTATTGAAGCTAAAATTTCCTCTCAAGATTCAGGTGAAGTGAGTTTTGTTGACACTGTGAGCTTGTGTTTTCTATGTAAATCAGTGTCATAGAGGACATCAAAATTCAGAGCTCAGTTTACCTCCACCATATGTCAAACAGTTTTGAAATGACTGGGTCATTTCCATTTCACATTAGTTCAAACTTGGCTCAACTGTAAGACTGTCAATCTTTTTGCTGTCAAACAGGGGGGAAAAAAGGAAAAAAATGTTTTCGCTTGAATTCCCAGTGAAATAAAGAAGGAGAAACATTATTGTGTATTTGTGTCTTCTGTTTTAATAACAAAAATCAGGTATGTGTGGATTTTTATTTGGTTTTGTTTTTGTTTCAAGGAGAAGGAAATGCGACGACAACAGGCAGTTTTGTTGAAGCACCAGGTAGGTATCCTTCAGTTTAGCACATCATCTGACATGGCGCTTAAACAGTTTTCTGATTTAAACCTTTTTTGGGGCCTTTTAACTACATATTTGTTCTATTTGAACTCCTTTGTGGTTTTCTTTTGTTAATTTCCTTGCTTTTTGGTATTGGGATGTCTCTTGGGGTGTGTTTTTTCTAATAAACTGGTTTTTATGACTTTGTGATTTCTGTTTCATAATACTTTGCCAACTCTTTCTACCAGGAGTTGGAGAGGCATAGACTAGATATGGTATGGGTATGTTTATTTTTGTACATCTAACACCGCATCGTGAATTGGTTGTGATATGGTTGTCATAGCAATGCATAAAGTGTAGCACTGGCTGCTGTCATACTACATTCTTCTGCATGGCTTTACAGCACAGTGCATTGCATACATCTGCTCTATGTGTCCAAGAAATACAATTGACTTTTCATAATTTGTTGATTACTTTTTGTTTCTTTACAATTATATTATAGGCTGCAATCCATATTTTCATGTTCCAAATTACACTTCAGTGATAAATGTCATCCATTACATTATTATTCTTGTAATTATTATTGCTTGAACTCCAGTATGAATGTAGTCAGTGTTTGTCTAAGGAGAAAATCACGTGTCCATTCAGTTCTCAGCTAGTAAATTACTAGTCTGTCATTTTAGAGGCCTGGTTGTTTACCCTTTTGGTTTCTGAGCCCAGTTCAGATCATAATACTCCAGGAGGAAGTGTCCCTTCCTTTTTTTGGATAATTTATTTTTAATTGAGACTTTTTTTTATTTTCACAACTTAAGTCATGTTCACTTAGCCTACATTAGCCTTAAGATGGGCAATGACAACATTGCTATAAACCCATGCCATATTGAATCTAGCAGTACAACGGGAACACAATATAATTTCAGCGCCCATCTGCAAGCATCACAGGCTTGATATTGCTCCCTGCACGTCATCTGCCTCAGAAACTTTAAGCAAAATCAGTGCACACAGGAATAATGTTAACACCATGTAACTTAAGGCCCGCTCTGTTACAATGCTGTTTGGTAAGAGGGGCATTGAAAATGTATAAGTTCCTGTATCTGCAACTCTTTTGGTTTATTTTTTAAGCAGTTCTACTGCCATACACAGAAAACCCAAAATAACTAGCAGCCTCTTGTGTAAATTCTATTTTTTTTTCGTAGCAGATGTAACATAACTGATCTGTACCAGCCAACCATTTTGCTTTTGTATCTGCCGGCTTATGAGGAAGCATCACAGCTGACCCTAACTTAAAGCGTATGCTTCTGTTTTTGACACTGTCCTCACATCTGTTGCTTTCCCCTTTTGCTTTTGGTTGTCATTATATTGCCTTCTAAACTTCAACTAAAACATACACAAACTTGGCCATTATTTACGTGATTTGTCTTTTTTTTCGCTAAACATGCTGTATTGAAGTCAGCTGTTGTGTTCTATGTTCACGTTCAAGTGCTTTCGCTCCGGCTGTTTCACCCTGACGACGTTCTTTCTGTTCCGCTAGGAGCGGGAGAGACGACGGCAGCACATGATGTTAATGAAAGCAATGGAGGCTCGCAAGAAAGCAGAGGTAAGTGATTTCCTAATTAGCTGCCTCTCTTGGAAACAACGGTGCAGCTTCAGAGCCAGCATTTCTTCTTTGAAAATATATGAACTGTGAACAAAACTAAGAATCTTGCTCAAAGCGATTTTCTTTGAAAGAAGTGCTGCAATTTAGAAACAAGCCCTAGTGTCTGGCGAAATTATAACGGTATAATCCTTGATAGCATGAACTGTTAACTTGTCTGTGATATGTTCAAGGAGAAAGAGCGACTGAAGCAGGAGAAGAGGGATGAGAAACGTTTAAACAAGGAAAGAAAATTGGAACTTAGGAGACTGGAACTGGAAATTGCTAAGGAGATGAAGAAGCCAAATGAAGATATGTGCTTAGCAGATCATAAGGTAATCACATTTCTAATTGATGTAATAAATGAACCCCACTATTTTAAGCACATTACAAAGTTCTATGTTTATTAAACTGTGTCAATGCTTTTGATTGAGCATTGGACATTGGAGGATAAACTAAGGTTATACTTAGGATTTATGAGGCAAAGAGCATGTAGTATTGTCTGGTCATTAACAAATCCCATAGTTAGCAAACCTGCTTCATTTTAGTAGTGCACCATAAGAATGTTTAGTCATGTATATGATATACATTGAGTTCTTGAGGCACAAATGCTTGAAAATACCTGTTATGTTCGTTAAATATCTGCACTCTGCTCTCACAATAATATTATACATAGAGAAGCAGATGGGTGGAAAAGCATGATATTCAAAATAGTAACTTTTTCCTTACTATCGTATTAGTACAAAATGCTGCCATCAAGTGGCTATTGGTATTGACATTTAATAAAAGACTATTTAAAAACACGTACAGGATTTTCACCTGTAAATCAATAACACGTATTAGACTTAACATAGGAGACTGGCAGAAACAGAGGAATCTATGAAAGCTATTAGCTGGGTGGTGTGAGATTTGGCATCACAGAAGTGCTATATCCGTAATGCAATTTTAATTTTTTTTACATTATATTGGTTGTATCGATTAATCCCTCGCGTTCAAACATTTCCGCATCAGGGAAAAATGTGTTGTGACGAGATGTCAAGAACAGGGCAGGATTGACTTGCTAATGTATTTAAGTATATATGGCCATTCTGTTCCCTAATGATATCTCAAATGGTGATGGACGAACTGCTGGATCAAAGAGTATCAGAACTGCTGAATCACTTTATTTTAATTTGCAGCCTCTTCCAGAGCTGTCTCGTATTCCCGGACTGGTTTTACCAGGGAGCACGTTTTCGGACTGCCTCATGGTGGTGCAGTTTTTGCGGAATTTCGGGAAGGTTCTGGGCTTTGACATCAGCGTGGACGTCCCCAGTCTGAGTGTGCTGCAGGAGGGGCTGCTGAACGTAGGAGACAGTATGGGAGAGGTGCAGGACCTGCTCGTCAGACTGCTGTCTGCGGTGGTGTGCGATCCCGGACTGCCGCCTGGGCATCGAGTAAGGAAGGCTTCACATCGGAGTTCTATGTTGCAGTCTCTTACAATGTCCTAAATTAATCTAGATCATCACAATCATAATGAGTCGTTTTCTTGTAGTTCAAAATGTGCTGTAAAATAGAAAGTATTTTCTGGGAAATTTCCATCAAAATGTTTAGGAACATCTCATCCACGTATTGCTTTCAAAAGTACAAATAGAAAGTACAGTTATTACTGAAGTCTAAGCCACAAATTTCATTCCTCTGAATATAACTTCAGCAGCTGGCCAGTCACTACAGTGGTGAAAATGTGACCCAGCTTTAGTCTCAAACCAAAGTTTTTCAATCTGGTAACGTCTTTTAACGTTATATCTCCAAAGTTGTGGAAATAAAAAATGTTGCCTCTTTTTTAGAGATAGTCAATGAGATTAATTAATTAACATTACAATTTAACCTTCAAGAGCTTGATTTTGGGAGAGAAGGTCACTTTCAGAAAATACGCATCATAAGGAGTTTAACCATGCTAATCAAGAAACATTAGTCACACTTCTTTTTGGCCGTCTAGTATTTCTCAAAGGAATGCCACTGACTGGTTCATATTATAAAGTATTAAATGGCAGTATTTATTTTTTTAAAGAACAGTTGCAAAAGAAAAGCCCTTCTGTTACTTAAAACTTTTTATCTCCAATTTCAAGGCCAAAACAGCTTTGGGAGACCATCTGACAAACGTTGGGATAAACAGGGATAACGTTTCAGAGATTCTACAGATCTACATGGAGGCCCACTGCGTTCAGACAGAACTGACCGAGAGCCTGAAGACCAAAGCCTTTCAGTCACACACTCCAGCACAGAAAGCCTCAGTGCTGGCATTTCTTGTAAATGAGCTGGCATGCAGTAAAAGTGTAGTGAGGTAAGACACTGCAAAACTTGATACCAAATTAAGGCTCCAGCATTCAGTACTCACTGGAGTGTTATTTATGCACTTGCGTGCTAAAGTGGTGGTTTCAGTTTCTGGTCCTTGGAGAATTCAGGTAGTATAGGTTTTTTCCTTTATACTCACACTGCTCCTCCGTGAGAAGGAAAAAAAACAACTCGATTTTAATCTGTCTGCAAATTCTGTGGTCATTATCAAACTATAGTGTAAACAGAATTCTGATTTCTGGTGAGGCATGCAAAGTGTTAATTGGTTCAGCTGGCAGAACTTTCGGTAAATATGACTCAGTATTTCATTTAATACAATGGGTACACTTTGTATTCAGCAATTACATTCTTGCAGCTAGTCAGAATGGTAATTGATTTTAGTGACTCTGAAACATCGGCAGTTTTCTTCATAACATTTTTCTAAGTCAGCATTGTAAAATGTGGGTAAATGAAGCACTACAAAGAAGTGAGAAATGTCCTTGTCATGGATGACAGTTATTGAGAGATGTATGCTAGAAGATGAAATTAGAGCCTTATGGAAATTGTTGTTATTCTGACTGGGGGCCACAGTGGCGCAGCGGTTAGCATTGCTGCCTCGCAGTGCTGAGGCCCTGGGTTCAAACCTGGGCCTGGGGTGCTGTCTGTGTGGAGTTTTGTATGTTCTCCAAGTAATTCCAGTTTTCTTCCACAGTCCAAAAACATACTGGTAGGTTAATTCTGGAAAACCTGGCCCTAGGTATACTTGTATGCGTGTCCATATCAGTGTGTCAGCCCTGTGATGGACTGCTGTCCTGTCCAGGGTATACCATTGCTTGGGATAGACTCTGCCTCCACTGTGACCTTGAATTGGAAGAAGTGGTTAGAAAATGCTTGGATTGACAGTTATTCTGACGACTTCTTGTATTCACCAGCTTGTTCATTTATTCAAAGGTTCAGAAATTCAGAATTGTACTGTTTTTTTCACATATTATTTCCAATCATTGATTATGTACCGCATGTGCTGAAGTAGTAGTTTTATGCCATAACATATAAAAGGCTTCTGCATTCAAAATTTAAATCCTTTTGAGATGTGTGATTCTTTGTTCCTTTGCACAGGATCTAGAGATGATGATTTTTTCTTCTCACTTGCTATATATTTATTTGTATATATAGCGGTACTTGGTTATTCCTATCAGTCATGTTCTTGTCCATACTGACTAAATGCTTAATTAAGTGTTCATCCTAAAATTAAACTGTAAAGAAAAAGCTTGAAGGGCAGTGTGCCCTATTTTATTCATGGGCATCTGAATTTTTAATGTCATTGGTATTAAACACAGAAGAAAGGAATAAAAGGACACTTGTTTGAAGAATACAAGAACACAGTGTTTAAATTGTGTGGTGGAAGCAAAAAGTAGGCATAACAGTTCTTCTGATGTTTCTTTCCAGTGAGATTGACAAAAACATTGATCATATGTCTAACTTAAGACGAGACAAATGGGTGGTGGAAGGCAAGCTCCGCAAGTAAGTACATTTTCACAGTAATTATCAAGTAAATTTGGGTCTCTTTGCTTATGTTGTCACAATGTCCGTATCTGGGTCGCATATATTACACAATTATTTAAAGATTTTCTTACAATTTAACCACTTGCTTGTGATTTAATGGTGCAGCCACATAAAGTACCCCAGTATTATTGCATGTTCTACAAGTGACGCACAGGAAAATGACGGCCCAACATTTTTCACTTAAGTTGGCCTTTTGAAGAAGGTGATAATTCCCTTAGGATCAGTTTCCTTAAAAATACAAGCACATAAAGTTTATCTGTACTTGGGAAAAATGCATGACACTTGGATTACTGCTGAAGCTTTCCAAAATACACATACTGTAGGTGTCAGAAATAACATTAACTTTTAGACTAAACCAGAAAAGCAATTAAGCTTGCGTTACTATGTATGAGCTTTTAGCCGAACTGCCCAGCAGGCCAGATGAGCCAAATGACCTCTGGTTTGTAGCCTTTCCTATTTTCTTATATCATTTAATTGGTAGCTACTCATTGTTTTCCATTTTATATTTAATTTTGTTAAATGCATTTAACATTCTGTATTGTCTATGTTAAACATAATCTCTAAGATGTTATTAACTCTAAAACTTTGAATTTTATTTGTTCATTCTACAGTGTTGGCTAATTCTCCTCTTTGATACAATATGCAACTTGACTAGTTTACTAATTACACCTGTGTAAATGATAGAAATCAGAAATATCACTGGACCCTGTGGTACTTCACTGATTCCATTGCCCGAGCCTGGATATTGGCCCCATATCTGTACTCTGTGTTTTCTTTTCAATAATCAATGACCATTATTTATATTAACTTGCTTGTCTTTAATTTAATCATTTTCTAAGAATTATAATCGAAAGCCTAATGAAAATATATACCCTATCATACACTTTATTTGTATCCATTACTGCTGTTGTTTGATCAAAGAATTCTAACAACTTTTTCTTAAATCCATGCTATTACTTAGACTCCTATTGCCATATATCCATTTAGATGTACTTATCATTTCCATAATCTTACATGGAATACGAGTGAGACTTATTGGTCTGTACTAAATTGACTCAGTTTTATCTCCCTTTTATGCATGGGTAAAACATTAGAAATACCATTATATATATTAACTTTCTTGCCTGTAATTTAATTATTTTCTAAGAAATATTATCAAAAGCCGACTGAAAATAGATACCCTATCCTGTCTGTTCAGGCTGCGAATAATTCATGCCAAGAAGACTGGGAAGAGAGACTCGAGCACAGGGGGCGAGGGTGGGGAGGAACAGCAGGCCCTGGGCACACCCTCGGCGGGGCGGAAACGCAAGCGGAAAGGAGGGGACAGCGACGAGGATGAAGACGAGGATGAGGACAGTGAGGACCAGGGAGAGGATGACGATGAGGACGAGGACGACAAGAAAGGAAAGAAAGCGGAAACCTGCGAAGAAGAGGTACACTAGCTCTTCACTTCTTTACCCCTGTAGCGGTAGCCCTGCTTTTAGAATGACCTCAGCCTGGTGACCACCAAAATCCTGTTTGTATTTGGGGAAAAACAATTCCCAAAAACAGAACACAAAGATTTTCCATAGGCAGTTTGAGTTTGCTGGCTAAACACAATCTGACACCTTTGTATATGGAAAAAGTATACAAACCTACAGATACATAGTGAGAGTGCATTTGTTTTATGGGAAGCAACACAAATGTGATTTAGTAGAATAATGATTTCTGAAGTATACAGTACCTAGAATGATGTTAAAATGCCTTATTACTCAGTGGGGTAACTTTATAGGCTCTCGTGAGCAGTAGTCCAGCCTTTGTTTGATTAATATTGCACAGATTTGTAGTAATGAGGATCTGTGAAATTGAGTAAGTCTGTTGTTTATGTTGTTGCAGGATGATGGGGACCAGGCAGCTACTGTTGAAGAGCTGGAGAAGCAGATTGAAAAACTGACAAAGGTGAGTAATGTCGGAAAAACAAAAGCAAGAGTCTTTGAGTTTTGCGAGACAGAAAAGAAAAAAAAAACATCTTGTTTGTGCTTGTTCAGCAACAGAGCCAGTTCCGAAGAAAGCTCTTCGAAGCATCTCATTCCTTGCGGTCTATGATGTTTGGCCAGGATCGCTATAAACGGCGATATTGGGTGCTACCTCAGTGTGGCGGAATTTTTGTTGAGGCTATGGAAAGTGGGGAAGGTAAGGGCAAACCTGTGAATTTCTTGATGTATGTTTTCTGAAGTGATAGCTTAAGTAACCATTTTAAGAAACAAATTGCATATCTCACTGGTGATGCAGATTAAGCAATCATGGAAGGGCCAGAATAAACTCCCATCGAATTTTGCATGTTTATAATACAATTTAATGTCCACTGAAGTATGATTTCTTGTAGGTACTACTAGTTCATATTGCAGCTTTAGGGCTGGTTTAATTGAAATTCTGTTTATTACAAATTTGTACATGCCCTTACCTCTAGCTGTTTGCCAAAGCATATTAAATTTGTGTTTTAGGACCAGAAGAACTGGAGAAAGAACGGGAAAGGCTGAAGAATGCAGAAACGATCCAGATCAAAGAGGAGGTAACGGAAGAGAAACCTCTGGACATCAACCTCGACCTCAGCTTCAGCAGCGCCGTGGGCCAGGAAGAGGGGAAGGACACCGATAACCCTAACCTCTTCTTGCAGAAACCAGGTTCCTTTTCTAAACTCAGCAAACTCCTGGAAGTAGCAAAAATGTCGCCCGAGTCAGACGCCCTGAACCAGAAGCAGAACGGAAGCAGCCCAGCCAACATCCCTGCCATCATTTCTTCGCCGACTCACTCTAACTCACAGCAGGTGTTGCCCAGCCCCCAGCCAGCTGCCTCCCAGTGCTGTCCAGACTCTAAACCAGACTCCAACGCTAACCTCTTCAGCCCCATCCACGGCAGTCCTGGAAAGATGTACAATTCTCAGATCCTTCCTAATGACCAGCTTTTCAGAGTGCTGACAGAAAGGAGCGGACACTGGTTTAGTCTTCTGCCCAGAACACCATGCGATGACTCTTCTCTTACTAGTACCACAACCCCTTCTGCTGCCTCTCCTCACTTGTCATCAATGAGGCCTAAGTCTCCTTCTCCATCCCCGACTCCTCCAGCTGTGTCTGCCAGTCCACAGAATCCTGTGGGGATGAATAACTTTACATTGTCAGCTCTTCAGGTACTTGACCCTTGGGTTTAGAGCTATGACAGTCTTATCTGCAACATTACCCATTTACTTGGATCCAGTAAGAGTCTCCATTGAAATATGTATTTGGCTTTGCCTTACTTAGCTTCTGAACATTTAAGAAACTTGTTAAAATATTGGCATGCAGAAAGAAAACCAATAAATGATTTAACCAAACAAATATGGGGGTGAGTGATCTCCCTCAATTCTCAGAGGTTGCAGTTTATATATTGTATATATTGACAATTTTCTCTCAGTCAGGCCCTTGGTTACCAGTTTGCCTACTGTACCTACAGTGATTGAGGGATCATGGGATTGTATCATCCCCTGTTTATCTCCTGTCTGGATGTATGCCTTTGTAAGCTATGTGTTCATGTTGCATTCTCCCTTTTTCCTTTAGGTGAAGCCTGGTTTACACTTAATGAGTGTCCCTTTTTGTGGATGGCCTACCGGAATTATGAGCCCAACGTTGCCCTTCTCTAGTAACCACCTGCCACCAGCATCAGGTCCTGGATTTGGAATGGCAGATGGAAATGGCAATCCTTTCCTTGTCCCCAGTGTTTCCACCAGTAAGAGTGAGTCTCCGGTGCCACAAAATGAGAAGCTCCCATCCGCGCCGTCTCCAGCAGTGGAGGTAGCCAAACCTGTGGATTACCCCAGTCCAAGGCCCATTCCAGAAGGTGAAGAAAATTTTCACTTTTTAGTGCTTCCAATGCAGAGTCTACAACAGGTACCCTTCAACTCTGCTTCTGGAGAACCCCGGTCCAGCAGGTTTCATAAGTAGTCATTAAAATAATAATTTCTAAAGATTTGGAAGACTGGGATCAGTTACAAGTGAGTGGGTGAATTAAACAGTGTAGAAATCATTTGGAAAATATGTTTTCAGTTATTGAGAATAATTGAAAACTATAATTGAAAAATAGTTCCCTTGATTAAGTTGTTTCATTGAGGAATAACTTACAAGTGTTCCCAGTCTTTAGAAACAAGTGCATTAATGGAACATTTAAGACGTAACTGGATTGGAGCTCTCTAGACAAGTGGTAGAAACCTGTGGTCTTCAGCAGCAAGAGAAGATTGTGAAAGACTACAGCAATAAAGTACAGCACTATGTAGGGAGGTTCAGGTCCATACAAAAGTATTTCAAAATAAACCTGGTTTCATTAACAAAATACAAACCTAATGCTAACACATTTTCCTTTTGTACAGGGTAATACTGATGCAATGTTCTATATTACTGATTCTTCCTTTATTTAAAATTTCTTTTTAAATTCTAGTTCATCTGAATTTTTCCCTACCATGAAATTGATCAGATCAGTCATAATATTTCTATGGATGGGGGAGAATGGCATACCACTTTTTGTAGAAAGTGAATTATGGAAATGCTAGTTGCTTCTGATGTTATAAAATTGAGTATTACCTCTGATGCACTCCTGTTCCAAGGGTTAAAAATGTTTGCCTTTTCTTTCTCTTTGATGCAGAAATGCTGACAGGATGGTGGAGAATAACAGATGCTGAAGAGCTAAGAGCACTGGTGAAAGTTTTGCATTTCAGGGGAATAAGGGAAAAGGCTTTGCAGAAACAGATTCAGAAACACATGGATTACATCAGCCAAGCCTGTGCCAAGAACAAAGATGGTGCATTTTTTTCACTTTTGTTTGTTTTGTGCTCTGCTGATCTTGCAATCATTTTCTACATTGTTAGTTATTGTATTAAAAGTTAATCTTTTTGAAATATAATATAAGATGGCACCCCTACATATTTAAATAAAGCTTCTAAAGACAAACTGAAGCAGTATGTTGGAGTGCAAATATATACTGAAAAAATAGAATATTTAGAATTAAAATAACCTTCCTTGTCAGTTACCCTCCTTTTCAACTCCATAGCCATATACTAAAATACAGCAAGGAAGAAAAATGTATGTATTCTGTTCCTGTCTAAATTTGAAGGATTCCACCCATCATTACTGGATTCCAAAATATATTTTGAGAGGGCCTATTGAATAATTGAATATTATTTGGTTTGGTGTTGTATACATTCCAAAGTCCATTACAAGAGATTACAACATTGAATTGAGCAGATATAAGATTAAAGTAACACTTAATGTGTGTGTTGTATTGCATGTTTGCTTTAGGGGTGTGTTCATATTTTATTATTTAACTAGTAAAAATGCATTATATTTTCTTGCCAGTTGCCATCGTTGAGATAAATGACAATGAGGAAAACCAGGTTACTCAGGAAACATTGGAGAGCTGGTGTGTTGAAGAACAGGCAATGGAAATGGACATAGCTATTCTCCAGCAGGTGGAAGAACTAGAAAGGAAAGTAGCGTCTGCTAGCCTGCAAGTCAAGGTAAATACCTAAGCCATGTCGGCTCAGAACGATAAAATAGCTACGTGTTTATTTGCTTTAGACCACTCCATATACTGGGCATCAAAAGAAATGTATCGCTAGTGGGAAAAAAATCAGTTTTACCAGGAAGGTGCCAATCTTTTATGTACTGTAAGTGGTGCATTGACCTTTACAAGAAGTAAATTCTTTATGCTGATTAACATTTGTCATCAATGGGGTTCATCAACTTGGAGTCTATAGTGAAAGTCACAGGCTAATGGTGTGTGTGACTGTATTTGGAAGCAATATGAGCTGTATATCTGCGATGCATGCTTTTTACCAGTTTGCAGTTGTAGTCCTGTGGATTTCCGTTAAGCTCTTCTCGTAGATTCTGGACAAGTATCTGCCTGTTCACTGGCATCTGAACCCTACATGCTACGCATCATTCCAGCTCATCCCACAAATAGTCATTCAGTGGAGCTCCAGTTGGGCGTCCACAGCATAACTGTCTCATTAAGCAAGCAACATGAGGCTGTGTGTTTTCCTGCTGGAATGTCGTCATGTAAGGATGAGCCCAAAGGTTAGGCAGCACATGAGGTCTCACAGCTTGAACCAATGTGCAGTAATAGTCAGGTTGCCATCAATCACTAATGAGTGAAGTTCTATAGGGATACACCTGCCATGACCACCACACTTGAGCCTCATCATTGATTGGTCGGTTGAACGCAACAAAAAGCATATCCTTTGGCATGTCTGAGCCGCACTTGTTGGCAACCATTTTGGCAGTCTTGATTCATTGCTAAAAAGACTTGGTTCCAATGCTGGCAAGACCAATGGAGAGGCGTTGGCCCAAAGGCATTGCTCTCTTGAGAAGTAAGGCGTATTGGTTCCTCTGTGCCTTTTTTGATTTTCACAAGACACAGTATTCAACAGATTAAATCACTCTCCACCTTTATCCAATCAGCTTTTACTCAATATCTGTATACTTTTCTTGAAACCTACATGCAAACGTGAAGTGCTATGTTTGTTTTGATGCTCAGTATAAATTTAAAAAAGAAATATCATTCAGGTGCCAGGCGCTAGCTTTTATAAGAAGTGATTTGAAGATCTAGCTGAAGCACTGCTTCAAGGTTAACATTGTCTTTCAATGCACAGGGATGGATCTATCCAGAGCCTCACTCAGAGAGGGAAGATCTTGTCTACTATGAGCACAAACCATTCGCTAAAGAGCAGCAGGAAGAAGACAGTGTTCAAGGAGAAAATGAGGATTGCGGTGATGGCAGCATTATCCGGAGAATCAACAACCCTCTAGATATAGCTGTAACCAGGCTGGCTGAATTGGAGAGGAACATAGAGCGAAGGTATCTGAAGAGCCCCTTAAGTACCACCATTCAGATCAAACTGGATAATGTGGGCACAGTTACTGTTCCTGCTCCTGCACCATCTAGTAGTGGTGATGGTGATGGGTAGGTCATCGAGATTAATTGGAACACTTATTGTGCTTCTCTGCTGATTGGAGCCTGTTCTGTTGTTGTTTTTTTATTTGTTTGCTGTGCGTGTTGCCTGTTCTTCCTGCTTTGCATATTTTGGTTTCTTTGATCTCAAGTTCTTTTTTGTAACTTCTGTGTGTCTGCGGTGCTTTTTTGGAACTAGTTGTATCTTGCATGGTGCATTGTATCATAAAGTTCTTTCAGGGCTATGGGTTTCTCATTTCTAAGCACTGCCCTAGCACGCACTTTTGAATGTATGAGGCATGTTGCCAGTCTTAAGGCACAGTTGTGTTGAACCCAGCTGCTTCCAGTTCGCACCTCATGGCTTCTTGTGCACTGCTATTTTTGGTTTTGCTTTATTCTGAATTGTTTTGTTTGATGTTGCGCCTGAGCACATCTCTGACCTCGCTGATGTGCGCTTCCCTTCACACAGAGGGGAAGAGGACATTGCCCCTGGGCTGAAAGTGTGGCGCAAGGCCCTCAGTGAGGTTCGCAGCGCAGCTCAGTTGGCCCTCTGCATACAGCAGCTGCAGAAATCAATTGCCTGGGAGAAGTCCATCATGAAAGTTGTGAGTATATGCAGTTTCTTCGGACAAGTAGCTCAGCATTTCTTTGCCGAATTTCATAGTTACAAAGCCAATTTTCATATGTTGCAGTACTGCCAAATTTGCCGAAAGGGAGATAATGAGGAACTACTCTTGCTTTGTGATGGTTGTGACAAAGGATGTCATACTTACTGCCATAGACCCAAGATCACCACAATACCTGAGGGTGACTGGTTTTGTCCTGCCTGCATTGCGAAGGTAATATTGGCCTTCAGTACAGAGCAATACAGCTTAAAAAGAAGTTTAATTGGCATTATGTAGACAGATTTGATCCCGCTATTCCTAGGAAGTAGTTTTTGTTTTACAGATTGATGAGATTTCCGTATCATAGAGTTAAAAAAATACAATTCCAGTAATGCAGTAAGTAAAAAAAAAAAGGTAACTGATAACATTGATTGTAATATGTAGGCAAAAAAGTTTGTTCTTAAGGAAATGTATGAAGCATGCATTCAGCATCAGGTGTCTTCTGTGCTATTCAGGCAAGCGGTCAGTCCCCAAGGAGTAAAAAGCTTCAAAACCGAAGTGGAAAGAAAAACAATGAAGTAAAACGGAGTAGGAAACTGTCTGTGGCTGGAGAAGTCTCAGAGGACGATGCTGCAAGTACAAGCAGCACTCCAAAGAAAGGGAGCAAGGAGGCCAAAAAGAGAAAAGGGGAAGAAAATGCGTCTTCAAACCAGAGCAAGCAGGAAAGTCCTCTATGTGTGAAGAAAGCTAAAACGGCAAAAGACAACGCCAAGGATCTAGCTATGTGCAGGTAAAAACTTCAGTCTACGTCTCTAACCTCCAGGGAATTTTCTAAACTGGTTTAGAAATAGTTGGCAGCTGAAGAGCTGGCAGCTACGAAAATCTGATTGCCAGCAGTTGGATGCAATCGTAAGACACTTTGGTTCAGAGGGTCTGCCAAATTACAAAATGTCATGTAAATGTAATGAAGTTTGAACATTTCTCTCCAGAAAGCTAGGACTGTGGCTTTGTAGTCAATAATCTGGAAATGTGGTGTGCAACTCCCATGCCTGTAACCATATAGATCATGATGGTAACAAACAACCTGTGAGAGTAATAGAGTTTGCTAATTGCCAAACGCACTTGTACTGATTTCAATGGTAGTTTCTTGCCAGCACCATTATTTTTTAATTACCTAATGAGAGGGCTGTGCAGAAGTAGTAATGTTTGGAAAGATGGTAATATGAATAATGATGACTATGTATAGTCTGTGACACAAGGTCCAACTGTGTATAACAACACTAAAATAAAATTTCACATTTTCATTTTGTATTGCGCAGCATAATCCTTTCTGAGCTAGAAACCCATCAAGATGCCTGGCCGTTTTTACTTCCTGTGAATTCGAAGCTTGTGCCTGGATACAAAAAAGTGATCAAGAAACCTATGGACTTTTCTACTATTCGTGAGAAACTTGGTAGCAGCCAGTAAGTATTATTTCCCCGATAGGCTTATATAATAGCAGATATGTGATTTTATTTTTCAGACAGTAAGAAAAGAAAAAAGCAGAGAAGTGCTTGCATTATTGCAAATGATTTATATTTTCAGGCAATTTTTTTTTAAATTTTTTAACATTAACATTCTGCTTTTAATATGTAACAGTGTAGTGACGTAGAATATAGTATCAGCTCCGTTACTATATGACCACAAGTCATATAGTGCTTTCTAAATTTACCAGATCCATAGCTCTTTTCCACATCTACGCTGCCTCTGTCACAGGCTGTGGTCTATTTTAGCTGGCTGACTGATTCCTAGTACTTCATTTAGTGGCATTTTTAAGAATATTTGTAACAACCTATCAAGTAACATGCCTTTCATTAAGAATTCTAAAATTCTCTCTCTTTCTATTTTAGGTATCAGAATCTTGAAGCATTTATTGTCGATGTCAAATTAGTGTTTGATAACTGTGAAACATTTAATGAAGATGATTCTGAGATAGGACGAGCTGGTCACAACATGAGACGATTTTTTGAAAGAAGATGGACTGAAATTTGCAAATCAAACTAGTCCTGTTTGAACATTATCTTCACTGTCTGGGACCAGCAGTCTTCATTTCAGTTTTCAAAGTGGAACACTTGGGGAAAGTATATACTCAAGAACATCTCTGTGGAATGATGCTCGAGTCTCTACTTCACAAACCAGGGCTCTGAAATTACATTGTTCTGTTGATTACGCTGGTTTGGTTAGAACAGGGAAAACACACCCAAAGAGTTCCAGATAATGGGGTGTCATAGTGCAATACCAATTACAAATGAAATCGCACTGAATTTACAACCATCAGAGCTGTAATACGGAAAGAAAACTTTCCACTACTTGTAAATAATTTTTTTACAGTTAATATTATAGTGAATGTATTTAATTTTGTTAATTATTTATGAGTAAAAAGGTCCAGTCTTCATTTTCTATGAAAAGGAAGAAACAGCAAAAACTGCTTTAAAATCTTAAGGAATGTTTTTCAAATATAAAACAAAGCCAAGAAATAACTGTTTACACTGTTCTGTGTCTTAAGGGCACCAGAGAATCCATTACGGTAATACTGTAAAGCTGCATTTATATATAAATATATGTTTTTGCATCACTTAGTTGCAAAAGAACAGTGAGGCAACAGTGACACATCTGTATATACTGTTCATTAATGTTAATATTAAGTCTTGTTTGGAATATGTATGATGTGTACATATTGTTTTCAGACATCAAATATTGTTTATGCCTTAGAATGATTGTAGCATTTTATTTTAGTCTTAAAGTGATTATACATATATTGCTTGTACAGTACATATCCTCTGCAAACACTGTGGTCTCCTTAATCTTGGTAGTGCCTGCCTTTCCAACAGGGTGTAGGGGATATTATTTTTTTCCCATTTTTCTATTTTTTTATATAATTTTAACCCTCCTGGGCCTCGAATTCTAACATAATCATTTTTATCCATATAAAAGATATTGCAACGCACACAGTATTTTTCATAAAAGCATTTCCCTCCATCTGCCTTGCCACAGAACTGAGGACACAAGGACATTTGTAACCACTGTGTTTGAACTGCTGTGTGTTGTGGCCTACTGGAGGCAGCTAGAGCAGATTTTTTTGTACCTAAGTCAGAGTACTTGAAGTTATTTTATTTAAAATATATTGTGGAAAAAAGGTAGCATTCTTTTTGTAGGAGCATTATTTTTCACTAGTGTGTGTGGCACGGATCTAATAAAAGGATGTTTTTCAACCCAGTATTTTTTTGGTGTGTTTATGTACAGTAGCTCTTGTGGTCTGCATGACATTGCTCAAGATGAACTGAAAAGACTTCCTCTCAGACAAGCCTGTAATTAACAGAAACTGTGAAACTGTGTTATAAATCCCTTTTAACAGTTTCCAGTGACATTGATGTCATAGATCACATCACAGTGTTATGTTACTGAGAACTGATAAATGATTTACATATTTATATAAATGACTTTCCATTCTATTAAAATTTTCACAAAAACAATTTGTAAATTGCTACATTTGACTAGTTTTATTAATAGGTAAGATGTAACCCATTATACTCTTGTGGTTTCTTTAAGTTAGGACTCTTGTAGTTTTGGTCAGTTCCTTTGTTATGAATATTTTTTATTTTTATGGAAGACATAAATTCTTGACTACCTTTTGTAAGCATTTTCCTTTCTTTTCTAAGCTTTTTTTTGAAGTTCATGAGCTGTTTTATTACAAAGACCCAAACAGGTTAAAGTCTTCTAAACTCCTAAACTAACAGGATAACTGCAGGAAAGAAGCATGCTAAAATCCAGCACATATCTGTTAAGAATGTGAAATTACATTTAATGAGTAAAACATGCCTAATACGGTTCTCATACAATGAACACAATATGCTAGGGTGTGTCTTTTTAGTTAAAAAAATAAGTATAATGGAAATGTAGGATTGAGCTAACTTTTAATTCATTAACAATAATTCATGGATTTGTTTTGCAAAGACTAGAGCTCTCAACCGCATAACGGAACACTGCTAAGAATCAAGCTGTTATGTGAACTCTGTCCACACTGAACAATCAATCCAACCAGAAAGTTGTAAAGGTCACACATAACTGTTATTTTGGCTGATTAAAAATAAAAACTGAGAATGCTCAACGTTTTTAAATGTCACGATTTCTTCAAATGTTCATTAATGTAACCAGCGGTTCATCGTGCCCATTCTGTTTATTACTTCTTGCCGTCCATCTTGAGCACCCTGACGACTGCGATTTAATTCCCGGATTCCTACAAGTAAAAAAAAAATCACCATTAGGTATGGTACACTAGTCTCACGAGAGAGAAAAAAAAAACATGTAAATTTTGCACACAGGGGTAATATTAATTTCAGTGTGGGGGAAAAAGACAGGAAAGGGCCATTTTTACGCAGAACCAGCTGTGATAAGCAGTTTGCAGTAGCTCATGGCAACGACGTACTGTATAACGCTGCTTACGACTGGAGTGTCATGTGACGAGGGCCGAATGAGGGGCTGCTCTTACGGAGGCGTTTTCTGTGTAAACAGGAAGTTCTCCCATGAATAAGGTAAAATTAAACGTTTCCTTCTTTTCATATGGCGTTAAAAGTTCTACGTCTTGATTTGATTCCTTTCTTACTGACCAGTTATTAACTTAGTGTTCCCCTTGATATAGTATTTTAATTTCGTTTTGTAAAAATGTTCTTGGTTTAACAGCGTTATCAGTAGTACCTGTTTCTGTCCTGAAATGGTAAAAAAACAAAAATGCTGAATGAATCGCCGCATTATTTGCTCCCCAGTGTGAAGATCCCAGCACCTATTTCACAGTGAACGACCCATCACTCTCATCCTTTGTTACCTTTGCACAGTTTTGGATAGTTTGAATATACTGCTTCTGAAATTTTAGGATGCAGCTAAGAAGTTAAAATTTTAAACATGATTTGCTAATACGCACGTATCAGTTTTTGAAAATAGCATTATGGAGTTTAGGTTTTATTATGACTATCGCCGTAATAACCACTTTTCTTTTCGTTGTAATGCTGCGCCACCTTGCGTTGAGAAGTGAAAAATGAATAAAATGGTTGTTTTTCAGGGGACGTCTGGGTTTTGCGGTCAAAATGGTCTCGCTGATTTGTACCCTCGAAGATCACAGAGACGACGTGAACTGGTGTGCCTTCTCCCCTACGTGTCTGGCAACTTGCTCTTTAGATAAAACAATTCGGCTGTACTCAACTGATGACTTTTCGGAGCTCCCCTTTTCCCCTTTAAACGGGCATGGCTATGCGGTCCACTGTTGCTGCTTCAGCGCCTCTGGTGAGCTCTTGGCTTCCTGTTCAACAGATGGGACGACTGTCCTTTGGAGCATGGACACTGGAGAGATTGTAGCGGTCTTGGAGCATCCCGGGCGCAGCCCAGTCAGGATCTGCACTTTCTCTCCGAACTCCTCCTATCTGGTGTCTGGAGCATCTGATGGGACTGTGATGCTGTGGGATGTCGAGTCGAAAACACTCCGCAGGTAAAGTCACTGCTACTGCACAAGAGCAGGTGTTAGGACTTTAATCGGAACCAGTGCAACAAGTTTATATTCTGTAACAATTGAAACTCAAAATTGCCACCAAATATATTTCGGTTCCCCATTTTCACGTTTCGTGCAGTGTTTTACTTTGGTGATTCGAAATGCTTGCGATGCGTTTTACTAAAATTAGTTAATTAAACAACATTCAACTCTATCTGCTGTAAATTGATTTCTGGGTTGTAAACCAGTGTTGAGAGATTTGGTGCAAAAATTAATAGTCTGTAAAACTAAACAGATTGCTTTTGGCAAGGCTCATTAGACAACTGATAAGGTTTTGACATCAAAATTAACCATTCTGCAGCTCTGTAAACTGTTTTTGGCCCTGTTTTAAACAAACATTCCAAGTGAGTCTTCAGTGTCCCGGTAAATATAAATTCCAAAGAGGGAAGAATTTTCTGCTCAACATGATGATCTTTAAATCTCTCGTCATCAAGAAATATAGTGTTTACACCATAAAAGAAATGTGTGTAAAATTTAGATTTGCATTGTTTTGTAATTGTTAAAATTAATGTTCTTTCAGGTCAGGCTCTGTTAAAGACAGTTCAGTGGTTGCGTGTTCATTTTCTCCTTGTGGCCAAATGTTTGTAACTGGATCCACCTATGGAGATATAAGAGTCTGGGATCTTGAAATGAATCACCTTCTTGCTGTGAAAAATGCCCATGACCTTGGAGTGACCTGCTGCCATTTTTCTCCTCAGCCAGTCAATGGTAAGATTAATATAAGTCAGTGTGTTACTCCTTTATTATATTTTAAATATGACACAGAGTTTACTAGCTTTAAATTGTTTTCTCACTGTCAAGTGCCCTTCATTAAAATTTCAGATTGTGTATAAGGACCTTTTTTCTTAATAGAAATTATTCTTTATACTCTATAAGAATATCATTATCATATCTTATATCAATATCATATATACAGTATATAAAGAGAGAGAATATCAGAACCACTACAAGCGAGAGAAGGCCATTTGGATCATCTACGTACCAGCTAATTTATCCAAGCATCTCCTTTAGTAATTATTTTAATGAAGCTAGGTTATTGACTTCAACAACAAGGCGTGTTCCATACTCCCACATAAAAATGCCCCCTGTTGTCGATTTTAAATGTATTTCTATGTAGCTTCCATTTGCATGTACTTGTTCATGTTTCACTGATTATGCTGAAGAAGTCCAATGCCTTGACTTTAACAATGCCTTTGAGGTTTTTAAGTACTTGTATCATGTTCCCTCATCTCCTCTGTTGAAGACTAGAAAGGTTCAGTTACTTAAAGTCTGTCAGTGTAGGATAGTCTCTTAACCTACATAATGTTTTTGGCTGCTCTTCTCTGGACTGAATGCAGATCACCAATATATAATTTCTATAATGTGATAATCAAAACTGTACAATTGTGTAATGTTATGTATATGTATTATATTACAGTATACTAAATGAGGCCTTACTAGTGCATGAATCACATCCATTAAAGTTCTGCACAATTCATTGTATATATTAATTGTGAACATTCATATTTTTATTACTTCCCCACACATATAGAACATGTTAATGATGTGACATAATACGCACTTAGAACTTTTTTTCATGTGTACTCAGTATTTCCCATTGCATACATGTAGTTCAATTTTACTACATGCATGCAAAACCCTGCACTTATCTAGAATCTCCATCTGGTCATCTGCCAAATGTTTGTCCAAACTTGAATTTTATCTTAATCCCTTTGAAGTTAATTTATTCTTTCTACGGTATTTGCTAATCCTTCTTTTTTGGTATCATCTTTGAACTTGACTAATTTACTAGCTGTACCAGACTTAAGAAGAGCATTGATCCTAGTATATAACTCTGACGTACTCCACTAATTAAATCATCCCTTTAGAGCATTCACCCATATCTCTACTCGGGATTAAAAACAGTTGAATAAACAGAAAACAAACACGAACATTTACCATATTGGCTGCCCCTTTTAATTTGGGAATTAATCTTTAATGAGGATCTTTCTCAAAATCTTCTGCAAATCTAACCCTTAATATCCCAATTCATATGCTCTGTGCGTATCCATTTTTTTTTGCTTGTTCAGAGAACTCATAACAAATTGGTTAAGCAAGACTTAACTTTTCCAAATCTATATTGAGTGTTCTCTAATGGTTTCCCTATAGGGAATCCTTTGATTTAGTTCTGATATTTATTTCTATAACCTTAAATACAATAGAAATCAGACTGATTGGTCTATATTACTTGGATCACTTTTGTCACCCTTCTTATGAATTAGAAATATATTTCCTTAGTCCATGGTTAATAGAGTTACATCAATGGCTTATATATAACATCTCATTTTCTCAAGGATAGTTACTAAGATACCATCAAGCCATCAGGCACTGAAAATTTATTAACCTTTAGTGGTTTCTGTACCTGAAACAACTCTGCCTTGTATATGCGAATACTACATAATAAAGACCTTTGTCCTTTCACTGCCAGAAGCATGTTGTTGATTTCTTTCTAAAGTGAACACCTGAGTGAAATATTAATTTAGTATATCAGACATTTCCCTTTCATTGTTGGAAAATTCCCATTTTTTGGACAACATTTTTTGTCATCTACAGCATTATAATTAAACCCTTATAATTCGGTTTCTGTGCATTATATAGTTAAAGAAACCAGTAGATGCTATTTCCCAAAGAGAAATAGAGAAATTAACCATATTTTTGTTTCTTAATGTATTGGAATTAAATTCTGGTTGTGTCTTTGCTGTCCACATACTAATGCACCTCTATATGCAGTCTATAGATAAATATGGTGACACTTTGTGTGAAACTATTTAAAGTGTAAGACTGTGAATAATGTTCATACTAACAGAGTTTAAATTGTAAAATCAACATGACTAATTGTTAAAAAATACCACACTTGCCCATTTTAAAAAAAAATGTTATTGATGGGGTAGCATACATTTAGAAATGAATGATTGGACTGTCACTGCTAATTAGTTGCTTGACTATTTGAATTAAAGAACAGCTTCAAAATTAATATGGAGGTATAAAATGACACCGCCCAACCCAGCTATTTACAGCTCACCATGGTTAAAAATGAGTGGAATTGTAGGACATCCTCCTACATGTGCTTCTGAGAATATTATAGCTCAAACTCATTTATACTGTCGCATGATATCTGCTTTCATATGAAAATGGATGTGGATTTCCTGTTTTTAACATGATTCTCACAAGTAAATAGAATACACCCTGTCTCTATGTATGTTTTTCAGTCACTAATCCTCTTTTTTTTCAAATGTGCAGATATATCATATGTAAAGCAATAGTCCTCCACAAGAATGTTGTCATATAGATAAACATGAGCAGAGAAGGTGTTCTGCTAGAACAGTTACGTTTTGACATTAGCTAAGAAAGCTACCTCTATTAGCCACTAATTCCAAAAAGACTTAGAATAAAAATGGAGGCAATGCCACACAGAAATGAAGTGTTATGGATTTTTAAATTCTCAAAATTGATAACTTACAATTTATTTAACCAGGTATACCTGAGAACAAGAGGTATGGAGTTGTGGGCATATGGAACAAGTTACCTAGCTGCTAAAACCTAGAGTAACCAAAACCAAATGAACTAAATGGCTAAGTGCTTTCCTTTTGTTCAAAAGCATTCAAATGTATTAAGTCGATAGAGGACAAATCCTTGTTTTCATTGATGACTTAAAAGTAAATATTTGTATGGAAGATCATTTGCTGGAGCAATTCGAGTGAAGTATAATGCTCAAGGGTATAACAGTAGCACACTCCCTGGATTTTGAACCCACAAGCCCCTCTATCCATGAGTTAAGTAACCAGGCATTGCTATTTCTCCTTTATTAGGGTTCATAAGCATGACATTATCACTACCTCTGTAAAAAATAGTTTACTGGCATGTTGTTTGTGTCTTATGGGCCACAAGCTGCTGAATTTCAGGCATGTTGTATCAGTTGTTTTGCAGTTGAAGGTACCCTTTTAGTTATAAATTGACACCAATGGTAAAATTAATCTCTTCCACTGCTTCTGTAATGGAGCAGGGCAGAGGTGTTCATGTGGCTGATTTAGTTGTTACAGATGTATTTTGATTTGGCTGTGGATCTGGATTCAGTAGAGGGTAGTTCTACATTTACTACTTTACATTGTGACTACAGATTACGAATATTAGAAGTGTTGTTTGGAATGATGCAATTGTAGGATAGTTCTAATGGACTGTTGGTTTCTATAATGCTCCTGAGAATGCTTTTTACTTTCCAGGATACATTTGTTTATATATAACATATTGTCTTGAAAGAGCAAGAGGAGTTCTAAAAATAGCACAATTCCTGTAATTTACAGTAGTTAAGTGTGTTGTTTCTTTACTCTTTTTAGACAGCCTTCCAGTTCAATCCCGACTGGCTTCCTGTGGTCAAGACAACATGCTGAAAATATGGACTGTCACACTTCATGGAGAATCAGGTACACATTCCCCAACACTAGAAGCTTAATATATAAAAAGAGACATAAATGATTCCTCTGCTATGAATCTAAAATGAGTAATTAAATATGCATCTACAACTATTTCTGATGTACATTGTACACCGCCTATTAAATTTATTGGCTTATAAAGTATGCTTTTGTGACTGTTTATTATTTTATTTTATGATTAAAATATAGTATTGTTTTATACTAAAATGCTACAGGTAAGCCCTGAGCTCAGTGTTCTGCATTAAAACAATATGACATTCAAAAAGCATGAAGAAAACACAAAAATATTGCTGAACAACATGAGTCTGGTGTTTTGTGGTCTGTTATAAAAGTACTCCATTGATATATATAGAGATCATAGAAATGACAGGGCAGCTAATTGTAGCCTGGTTTGGGGCAAACTGTAGGTAATAAAACACTCTTGATTATTATATTCTTTTAGCAGCATTGAAATGAACAGAAAATACTTCATTAGCAGTTTAATGATATATAGCTGCAGGGGGTCACATAAGGCATACTTAATATGATTTCACAATAATCTTTCATTTGTCTTACGGTCACAACTTTTGCGTGTCTCTGTTGGTACAAGACCCCCGTTCACCTCAGGCAATAGAGTTCCATTCTAAATGTCTCACCTTTTTAACAAGCAAAATTAGCAACAAAATTGGAGGTGATAACCAGAATTCTGAAAGTTAATTGCCATTAAAAAATTAAATTGAAATTTTGATCATAGACAATGTATTTTTTTGCACGTACACTGCCTACATGTCAATGTCTAGCATTAAATCTTGTACCATTTAATATCTTCGTTGCTGTGGAAACTGCCATGGCTCTTTGAGGACTGGGTCTTGTGTCACATCCCTGCGGGACTGTTGTTTTGCCTTTGTTTTAATGTTGTTTCCACACAAGAATCCTCCAGACAGCGTGAGCAGGCATGCATAGCAAATACGTGGAACAATCAGAAATACTGAATCCCTGCTCCCCCCTAAAACTGGAAGGGTTGTAGAATTATGTTTCCCCATTCACATTTACTGCATTTGTATAGTAATTAATGTTTTCAGCCTGGTAAATAATCCCCCGCTGTTCTCTTTGTCGATGTCTTTTTGTGCTGGTGTTGTTGTCAAGCTGTTCACGAGTCTGCTTTTCTGAAGGCACAGTTTTAATGTACAGTAGCTCGCATGAAACTTTTCAAGTCAATTGTATGCACAGGACTTGAAGACCGGATTCCAGTCACTGGACACAGCAGTAACACTAGGGCAAACACCTTAATGCAAGGCAAGCGCAAACAAAAGAAACTGATACCTTGGCTTCTTTCAAGAAATGCCTAAATGAAGTCAGAAGAAATGGCTCAAATCAATTCACTGCTGAATACCAAACGAGTTAGATGAGCCACACGGCTTCCTTTGCCTTGCAGACTTCTCATGTTTTTAGTGCTCACAAGCCTTGCGCCAGAAATAAAGATGGCTTTTAAGAAGAAGTAGATGGAAGAAAAGAATAATGGCATTGCTGTTTTGATTTCTGATTGTCTGAGAAAAACAGCATTGTGTATTATTTCTGTTTTTATGACCTCTACTTCCTACAGCTATAGCTCAGGCTGCTGTGAGATGAACCATTCCACCCCCTGTCTTTGAAAGATGTGCACTTCAGCTTCCTGCTGTGGTGACATTCTCTTCTTTCTATTGCTGCAGGATTCAGGAAAAATTAAATGCATTACCAGTGTTTTTATTTCTCTGTTCATAACCATGAAAGCCAGTCAGTGTAGCGTTGTAGTCAAGGCTTTACAACAGCCTTGTAGAGTTCAATAGGCTGGTTTTGCTACATTTCATTTGCCTTCCTACTTTGGCTCTCTTGACACATGGCACTCCCAGGCAGTGACTGCAGCGTTGCCTTTGCCCTTTACCCTGCTTATCAAAATTGAGCCATGCTTTTGACATAGGTCTAAGTCTTTTAAGTATGTCATCCAGGCACATCTTATTCTTGAAGCCAGCCTTATTAATGTAGTGTTATTTACGCTATATGTGTCACTTATGGCTGCTCTGGACTTACTGTTCATTTATCACTTAAAAACTGTACTTAAAAAATGAGAGGTAAAATTATAAATGGATGCGTTGCGGTTAATAAGAGATGTTCCCAGCTTAAAAGAGATTTTATTATGTTCCAAATATACCGTAAGTAATGACAATGAAGGAGAAAAGAGGTGACAAAGGTCTTAGAGTAAATAAGTAGTCGTTAAAACAGCAATGTATTTGCTATAAATCTGTTTTGTATTGATTTACAGGTTGTAAACTTGAGCTGATGTACACATTGAGGGGTCAGAGTGCTCCTGTTCTTTCCTGCATGTTTTCATCAGATGGACAGCTACTAGCATCAGGGTAGGGATTTCTCATTTTTCTTAGTCAAATTTTAACAGCCCTGAATAGGGCTATCCAGCCCCAACTCAAAACCTTCTTTTTGGAGGACTTGTATGAACAGTATCTACATAAGTTAGAGGTGGAGAGCTGTGTCTGTGTGTGAGGTTAAAAAAAACAAGGTTAACTCTGTGTAAAAGTAAAGAGGAAAAAAAAAACATGTTTCAACAGAGGAGCCTTCTTTAGGTGTGTGGGTGGTTGAGGAAGGTGGTTCTGGAACTGTACATAATATTGGTAGTAATACTTATACCATATACATGAATCCTTCTATTCAGGTGTAGACTGTCTTAATCACTCCCTCTGAAAGCATTACAGTAAACGTACATCTTAGAACTCCCCCATAGAGATTCTATGCTTGGAGTAGGCTTTTAGATTGCTGATATCTGAAAAATGTGCTGCAGGTGTGTTATTTCTTTGTTAAGGATATAAGGTAACATAGGTTCCCACAATGAACTGACCCAAACTCAATGTATTATGTAGCTGAATAGGACATATTCCCGTGATATACATGGGATTATGTCCTGTTCAGACTTGCTTAAACTTGAATGTGTGTTTACTTGTCTATACAGTATATGAAGGAGTGGGAGTACCATGTAAGTCACCAGTTTCTGGCTTTATTAAATGCAAAGTCCTTTGTGGACTCATTCTTTCAGTTAGACCTCAAAAGGGTGTTTTCGCACTCTTTGTTATGTACTCTCTGACAGGAAAGCAGTGAAGTATTTACTTACATTATTTGTTGATTATTTCTGAGAGATTAACCGAAGTCTTAGGCTTCTTTTCTGTAATACTGTGCAAGGGGTCCCTGATACGGTATGCTGTGCATTGTGATTAGGTATCAGAATTGGTTTGCTTCTAACAAAATGGCTTATATGGGGGAATTTCTCCCTATAAGAATAATGTAAAAGAGGGCGCACCGGAGCTGTTAGAACTAAGACATTAGACCCTTTTCCCATTAGAAGCAATTGAATATGGTAGGGATGGGGACTGTAACTTTACAACACATGCACATATTTAGAACTCCTCTGGAGTTGTAGGACCTTATTTATAACCTTAGATTTTAAACTACTAAACAATCACACATTTGTAAAGTATTTCTTTAGCAATCAGTTTAAAAGAAATGTATTTTAAATGTACAGAAGTCTATTAAGCAGCATTTTAACATACAGTATCAGTCATTGTTATGATCTTACGTGTTCTGCTCGATTTGCTCACATCAGGCACTAGTTATGTACCATTTGAGATCACCAGTACATGAAAAACCAACTGAGGAAGAGGAGAATCAGACAGGAGGGCGAGTGTGGGAGAACATATAACATATAACAGTATCTAACATATAACATATAACAGTATAGGGGATCCTAGGTCTGTCGGACAGTTTTTGTATATATCAGCCAAGTAGATGTACAGTAGATTTACAGTCATTGTAGGTTTTTTCGTCTTTGGATAGATTGGTAGTTCAAAAGGGGTGTTTATATAGCATAATGTTATGCTGATAAAATCACATGGAGAACCCTATTAAGAGCTTGCCGGAAAATCTGAGACTTACTCACTTTACTTACTTACTCCACTAATATTTAATTCATTTCATTAAATGTTTTAAAGGGAAGAAACAAAAGCATTAAAATTTCAATGTAGATCTTAGCATTTTTCACATTTCACAATTATTCTAAAAGAGGAGGTAAAATGTTTCACTTCATCACCACCAGAGGGATCTGTGCTATTGAACACGAGGACTGCCTAACTTATACTGTACTGTGTGTATTTCTCTTACTGTATGCTTAGACTGTGCAACTTCCTTAACATTTAGTCATTATCTAAAGTCTGTGTCACAAAATTAATTTTGCAGAAGATGGAATATAAACTTAGGCTGTGTAAAATCAGAATTATGATGTTATGCTCTTTGTGCGTTTTCGTCATTATAGTAGAATTATAACTGGCAACTGGTTTTAAGGTGTTATACATTTTGTGTATTAATGTGTCTCTTTTGATACTAATAGCATGGTCACTAAATTGTCGGTCTGTACAAAGTCAGATTACAGTTTGAACAGCTCATATTTTGTAGGATTCTTGTATGAAGTGTTTTTTACATCTTTATTTTATGTGCTCTTTTCATGCAGTTCAGTGGATAAAACTGTGACTATCTATGATGCTGTAAGTAATACATTTTTTTATAAAATGTTGGTTTTATTTAACTTTTTGAATCAAGAATTTTGTATCCATTGCGGTTTAAGGTCGGAATTTGTAGCATTTGTGAATTAAGTTTTTCAAGATGTTGGAAAACCAATAACAACCTGTGCAATGATAAATTATATGATTATAATTTGTGTAATTTTGTGTTTCTTTTTTTAAGAATCAAGGAATCTTGCTTTACACCTTGACCCAACATGAAAGGTAAAGAACTTACATTTTTATAGATAAACTGAAATTTTATTCCCTCAAAACGAGTTCTGAATATAACAACAAAACTCTTATGATGATCTTTCAGATATGTCACAGCCTGTGCCTTCGCACCAAACTTGCCATTAATTGCCACAGGGTCAATGGACAAGACAGTGAATGTTTGGAGGGTGGAAGATGGAGCCAGTCCCTGTGGTTAGTACTGTATTTCACATTTCCGCAAGAGTTTTATATATCTCATTTCTACAACAAACTCAGTAAACTCATGCGCATTTGTCTATTTGCACAACACATTCATGACTTAAAAGTCACAGAAAGTGCCAGAAAAATTTAAATGATGCTGTGATGTGCCTAATTACTGATGTGTGCTATCCTAATACATTATACCAATTTACAATATACAGTAACTAGATTTAGTGATACCCTACATGCATATTACCAACTGTTTTTTAAGATCACTATTTTTGCAATACCTAGTTTGGAATGGTCAGTTGTGTGTTTTACACATCAGGAGAGAATGGGGAAGTCTATGCGGGCTCCTCCAACTCACCCACCTTAGTGCCACGTGCCTTTTACCACATCACGGCCAACTCAGCCCTGAACTGGAAGTTCAGGCCTATACTTGATACCCGTCACTGACAATCACTGACAGCCTGCAAATAGTGGAGGCCACAGGCATCACTGTGTCACTGGGAGCCCCTGGCCAGACTGATAGTGAGGGGGCATGAGCTGAGGAAAAAAATACAATGGCACTAAAACAGTATTAGAAATATTACACAATATATACTGTATATCAAAATCAAGAAAGATAACAACAGTCTGCTTAGATACCATAAAGAAGAAGAAGAGCTTAGAGAGGATTTGGCACTGAAAGTAACTAGTGGTGACAGCAGTAATACCAAAATACTCTTCCAAAAAAGGGTTTAAATGCTTCACCTCCCAATGTGCTACTTTTCTGAACATGTTCTATTACTAACACAACTTGCTAGCTTTTATTAACTGTAGCTTTCTTGAACAGTGTATTGTTGTTATATATCTTGTGTACCATTTGTTGACTTTATTCCTTCTAAATTAATTCCAGGGAAACAAGGAAAGTCTTTACCTGGTAAGTTGGTTCCTCTAACCTTGCTCTTGGGGGACAGTAAACACATTTAGTGCTGGTTTGCTTGTTTCTTTTTGGTGGTGGGTTATTATGAAGAGAATGAAGGCTGAAAGGACAGAACAGCAGCAAAAGCATTGCAACGCATAAGAACGTTTTTACGATGAAGTTCCTACCCACAAAGTAAAAATAATTTCTGTCACCTTTTAATTCTTATTCTTGACAATTCATTGTGTAAGCTGTAATTACAGGTTATTGATATTTGTTTGCACGAAACTCCATGTCCTATTAATTCCTCATTTCCTCATTTTTGTTTTTTTTTTCGTAATTGGGGAGATTTTAAAAATGATAATTGTCCCTTAGCACAGATTACATTTTAATAAATTTAAATAAATTCTAATCGATCAGACAGAATCCCATAACTCTTGGAAGTCAGTGTTATTTATCATGGCAGGGCTTCTCAGAAACTTGTCAGTGTGATTAATTAGCATCTACAATTAGTATAAAGCATTTAGTTCCTAATTCAATGTGCACACAAGGCTTAGGACCATTTAAAATTGATTTGGGAGTTGTTTGTGCTTTTTAGAGGATTAAATGTTCTTTTCTGACCCCTTAGTACGTCAGATCAACTTTAATATGGGTTATAGCATTGAGGTTAAGCCAAATATTATTCATGGTGTAGATTCTTCATGAGCTACAGTTTATACTTAAAAATGACAGCTTTGGTATTATACATTTTATTGTTTTATCTTCTATTGTTTTTTTGCACAGTTTTAGATGATTATATCTCCGCTGTGGAGGTCATAGCCATAAACAAGTCTATTTGTTTTTAAATCTTTATTCTATTTTTTTCTCTTTCCTTTTTAGTTGAACCAATGAGCCATTCACATGTAGGTAAGACGACATGTATTTTACTTCAGTTTTTATTGCTGTTACTCTTAATATTGCATTAAATAAATGAAATGGAGCTTGGCAAGCAATCCTTTATTTTAGTAGTCCCATAGATCCAGTGGCATGTAATTGATTAAATGTCAGGAGGTCTTTGTATATTGAGACATTTCATAGGAGGTGATGATGAAGGAACATGTATGGGGAGATTTTCCGAAAAGCATTAAATCTCAAGGATAGGAGTTTGGCACTGTACTCAAAACCTCATAAATTAGCTCTCCCAAAGGGTATTTGCTTAACCTTGCTAAAGTACAATCAGAATATTCTAGGATTTACAACATAATAGGTCTGCAAGCACCCACAGTCAGTATCTTGAGCATGGAACACTTTGCCTGTTTATGTTACAAAACAAGTATGAATTGTAAGTGAATGTGTAGAAACTATAAGCTAGACCAGAATACATTTTGAGTAAGAAATTGTTTGCCAAATAGCCAAACAGTTGAAGTCAGTGATTTTACTAATTGTTTTCCTAGTGCATTAACCTGAAGTTGTATGTTTGATTTTAGAGCTGTAGGGTCTTTTGTGTACAAGCAACCACAGTAAGTCTGACAATGGTTAGTGAGATCTTTGGAGGCTTAGGTCTACAAGGTTAGAGATTACAGAAGCAGCTATACTGTCTCTTTTGTCTCCAAAGAAAGTTACCTGGATCCGAAAATCCTAAATAAAAATCCTTTAAAATGCCCACTTAGAAATAATCTGTAAGCTTGTGATTTTCGGCTTGTTCAACATGGAGCATCCTGGAAAAAGTCTTAGGGATTTTGAAGCTTTATAATATCGTTAAAAGGGAACAGGGCATCACTGTGGCAGAAAGGCACAAAGGCAGTTTAAGGAACTATAAGAACTACAGTACAGAAGTGGTGGGTATTGGAAGCCCATTTGATAAACAGATCTCAAGAGTGTGACACTATTCTACCATTTGTGATTAAAGAAGAAATTGTATTAGTATTATATTAGCAACACACATCCATCAGTCACTTAAGAAAGTAGTATTAACCACTTAAATGGAAAATTTTACCCATGCATAAAAGGGAGACGAAACTGAGTCAATTACTTACAGACCAGTAAGTTTTACTCCTATTCCATGTAAGATTATGGAAATGATAAGTACATCTAAATGGATATATGGCAATAGGAGTCTAAGTAAAAGCATGGATTTAAGAAAATGTTGTTAGAATTCTTTGATCAAGCAACAGCAGTAATGGATACAAATAAAGTGTATGATACGGTATATATTTTCATTAGGTGTTTGATTCTAATTCTTAGAAAATTATTAAATTATAGCTAAGCGAGTTAATATAAATAATGGTATTGCTCATTGATTAATAAAAAAAAAAGAAAATACAGAGTACAGATATGGGGAAAATTCCCAGACTCGGGAAATGGAATCAGTGGAGTACCACAGGGATTTTAGATCCAGTGATATTCCTGATTTATATCATTTACACAGGTGTAGTTAGTAAACTAGTCAAGTTTGCATATTATATCAAAGTAGGAGAATGAACAAACACTTTAGAATCAACAAATAAAATTCAGTTTAGAGTAAAAACATCTAAGAGATTATGTTTAATCTAGACAACACAGGATATTAAATGCATTTAACAAAACTAAATATAAAATGGAAAACAATGAGTAGCTACCAATGAAATTATATAAAATAATAAGAGGTTATAAAGAATGGTTACATGGAGATGTTTTTTGAAAGAAGCCAGTGATTCAAATTTAACAACATTACGACGTACTGTAGCTTATAGCTTATTGCATACCCCCACAACACTTTGTTAAAGACGTTAATGTTAACCTTTCTGATTCAACAGTGAAATACAAACCAGAGGACACAATAAAACTCTGGAGAAATCTATTTAAAAGAGAACTGGAAGCACTTTTATACACAAAGGGATGTGGGGATCTGAGCCAAGCATCACTTCTTTACAGGAACAGATGAAATCCTCTGGTCAGTTAGCTACTAACTTTCAAATCTAGATGTGTTAAACAGCCTCCTCTCATTTGCAAACATTTTTTAAGAAACTTTACCATTGTGTATTAACATCCTTAGAATCTGTTTTAATTATTCAGAGTTTTCAACACTTATTAAAAATATACAGTTTAAATAAAATAGTGGTATATACTAAACTTTCAACTGGTGAAATAATGGTTTGTGTTATGTATACTTCAGTCTAATGTAAACATAGGCATTGTAAATTATTTCAGGAACAAAAATATCAAAATATGTTTTAATGCAAAAAAAAAAACAGCTTCCCACTTACTGTATGAACCCCAACTTCCTCATTTTGACGGGGTAGCACTGTGGCAGTGTTATTTGTCTGGTTGAAGAAGCAAGCCATAGCTCATGCAAAGTTGGTGGATATGGAAGAGGCTATTCAGTTAAATTAATTTTGAGACATCCTCAGCTCCCATTGCAACCATTCAACAGTATGATGACAGGACATGTAAATGATGGATTTGGAGTGCTGTGTTATTTAGTGGGTTTGGAAACAACACCATAGCTTTATCTGAAAGATGAACGTAAAATGATATACAGTATGTTTCAACAATGTCGTCTGAAGGTTTTCTTTGATCTCAAGTGCACTTCCAAGGGCTGGCACAAAGCTAGCAGAACAAATCCCAGGAGGAGTTTGGATAAACATGCCGAGGACATGGAAACATGATTAAAGCATTATTGATAGAAAAGAATGTACAGTTAGTTGGGTAAACAGATTATGAAACAGTGATCTGCATTCACATCTCTTTTTTTTATCCAAGTTTTAAAAAAAGCACACAGTGAAGTGGAGAAGCATTGTTACTAACTGGAATGTGAATGGAACGTTTTCATGCCATGCTCACAGAAGGGAGTTCTAGATAAGTGAGGTTTGATTATATATGTGAAAGGCTTTATTGAAAGTATCTTCCTGTTTGTGTTCTTCAGGAAGGGAGCTGTCGGGCAGGTTCAAACTGTTGGTTAGTGAGTGGTCGGAGGAAGATGTCATGGCCTGGCTCTGCGAAGAGGGCTTGGAGGAGCTCGTCAAAGTTTTCAAGGCAAACAACATTGATGGCAGCGAGCTTATGAGGTTGAATAAGGAAACTCTTACCACGGAGCTAAATATTGGTAAGGATCACTTAGAACAGGCCCTTGTACCAGAATGATGTAATGTTTAACTTTATGCTGGTTTGAGCTTCCAAATAGTCACCTTTCCTGTTCTGTGATCAAGGACTGAGAGATAAGGACTGATTAAAATCTTGTTTCCAGTTAAGAGTTAAGGTGGTTGTTCTTTTACACTTTGACAGATGATCATTAGATTTACTGTTTCTGGCTTTTCAGAAACGATTAGCATAAAGTCAACAGATGACAGTTTTAAGTTTTGATCTTTTTGATCCCCATTTTCAAGAACCCAGGCAATTTCGACAAAACAAAAAAGATTTCTTACTTTGATTTGTGGATAGCATGACTCATCCTAGACACTATTTTAATTACAGTTCATATCAAGGCCTGTAAAGGATCCAAAGCAAATATATGTCAATAGAAAAAGTTAATCCTGTAGCTTTCAGAATTTCCATTAATGAATGAGTTAAATGAAAGACATACAGTTGAAAAGTATTTGCCTCCTCCTTAACCTACTGCACACAAAAAATGCAATGCAATTAATTTCAAAATTTCTTATTTTGTATAAGAACAATACAACAGTAAAATAACACAGTACTTTAAATGGCAAAATACATTGCAATAACATACATGCATGGAAAAGGTGAATAGTTTTGACTTCTGCAAACAGTTTTACTGGTTTGTACTCATAGTTGTAATTGGCAAGGAATCATTGATACAGACCACAAACTTCCAACTAGCTCTCATATAAGTAGAGACACAGAGTTTGTTAATAAGCCAAGAAAATGTTGTGAACATTAAAACAATTACTTTCACAGCTGGCAGAATTGGAAAGTGTGATATCTAGCCAAAACATCTAGTTATGAAGCTGGATGTGGGGAAAACGTTTTACAGGTCAGATACAAGCAGCTTTCTAAAGGCTAAAAGGCAGATGTAGAAATTTAAAGCATGTGTATACTTTTTGCCATGCATGATATCAGGTTTTGGCAATGTATTTTAATGAATATAGCATGGTGTACACTTTATTTTAATTGCTGTGTTTTCCCTTATATTTCTGATAAGAATATGTTTCAGACTGTTACTGTCTGCAACTTATTTTGCAGTGCATGAATACTTGCTTTTGACTCTGTGTTTGTGATTTTACCACAAAGTAACAATTTATACCTAAAACATAGTGAAACAGTTTTGAAATAGTCTGAAATAGATTTACAGTGTAAAAAGTTAGCTGTATTCTTAGATTGTAGATGGAGATAGAGTTGGATGTACTAGATAAAATCAGTTTAGATCATTTTCAGTAATTAGCAGATGTACATGTTTTTCCACTGCAATACTGTATATTTTTACAAATGGGGGTTCGCAAAACTGGTCAAAATCAGGAATTGACCAAGTGGTTTAGCCTGTAAAATAAAAAAAGTAAAATAAATGTTCATACCCCCAACTTGTAAGTGATTTCTCTAGAATATACCCGAGCGGTTGGTATAATTAAAGGCATGTGAATTCTTTATTCTCTGGCACATCTTTGTTAAAAAGAGTAATAATACAGACACACTTGGTTAAACAAATATTCATTACAAAAGACAAGACAAACACTATGCTACAGACAGCAAAACATACAACACACAAGTTACTAAATTTACAGAATGTACAAACTAGGCCTTCCAGAGGCCTAATATTCTAATCACCCATAATCCCCCAGGTATTAAGTATTAAACTCTTAAATAATGCCTCCAGAGGCCAAATAAGAGATAAGATGCCTTTTTTTATGAATGCAATACAACCTGCACTTAAATCACTCTCTTTGTTAACCCAGGTGACACAAAATAAATGGGAGCCTATCTCCCTATTCTAAATGTGCACACCTAAGATGGAAAGATATCTCTAACTATGGTCTCTATTACCCAGGAATGCAGAATAGCAAGCTCTTTTTAGTAAGGTTCAATTTCTAAGCTCCAGTCAGGTTTTCTTTGGATTATCATGAAGTAGGGTTCTCACCTGGCACAAGCTTCAAGTTCACAACCTTCTCTTGTGGTCTGACTTTCCTTCTCTCCCTATTCTCTTTCTTCTTGTCCTTCTTCTTTGTTATCTCCCCTCTCTATGGTCTTAATATGATCTTTAATGGTGTGTTTTTGTACAGCCCATTGACAATCATTAACTCAAGACATAATCACATAGGTACTGTATATTAAGGTAAACTTGAAAATTCTTTTTGATCAGTGGACTTCCCACAACTCAGCAAAAACATCCCCTCTGCATTGAAGCTAGAAGTGTTTACTCTGCCAGGTGTCACAAACTTTCTTTAAACTCTTAGACACTTCCTAGTCACCTACAGCTGAAACAATATTATTTCTCCAACATAATATATGGCACAATGCTTCTGTTTTTGGTTGTTTATTAATATTAGAAACAGTTGGCATGACCATTTATCTTTTAATTATTGAATGATGCAAACTACCAGATAATCTGCTTTGTGACTTCCAGGATTATCAATTTAATTCAATTTAACTTCAATTGCCCTACAGAACCTTTTCTTCAAAATGTAGAACAAAGTGTGATCTACTGTAAATATTTCCAGTAAATGAATCTGAGAAATGTCACACAGTTTAAATAATCTGCCAGAATGGGATCTGGTCATTTGGATTAATCTCAATCTAATCTTTCATTTGAAGCAACGTGTTTTTAACTTTGATCATGGGAGTAAGTTTAATTTTCAGCTTTTCTAGCGAAAGGTTTAACATAGAAATTTAGAGAGCCTAAATGTTGAAGCAGTCAATGGATCGTAGCCATTATTGTTGTAGACCAGTTTCAGCATGCTGTATTTTTTCTGCTGTCTTTTCATTCTGTTGGCATATTGTGATCTGATTTCCAGGTTATAAATTAGTTCGAGGTTAAGGTCCGTTTTAGAATCTGTTAATCTGAGAGCTACACTGTATCTCTCAATGAGTCAATGTCCCGACTAATACATTCTCATGAAATATGAATGAGTTTTGGTACTTTTGTACAATGAAATATTTATAACACTTACAGTCCATAAACCAGTTTGTCAAACAACACTTCACTCACATTGTTATTTAGTCTTACTAGTAATTATTCATACATTATAAACATAAAAAATATAATTCTGTGCATTTTTACAAAGATAAAGTACACAGATTTTAGATATTTATTTGATTTTTTCAACATTGATTGAACATTCATGACTGACCATAAGACACCCAGGTAACTTTGACTTTTGCATAAGCACTTAAATCTCCTCATTAGTGAGAGAGTCCATTGGCACAGGGGATGGGGTGAATTCTCATTTGAATGTCAAGCCTGGTTAAAATCAAAAAAGGAAAACACGGAAGAATGACTATTCCCTGCTTTAAAAAAACAATGAATATTTTCATTTCTGGCTTGAACACTCACTGTCGCCTGCTGTCCGTGGTGCTCACAGCCAGCAATTTTAACTTGGCAAGACATTGCAGCCACTGTCTGTTATTGATAGATTTATGGTCTGAGAGAACATTCTTGCAAGATGAGGGAGTAGGTTGTGCCATAGATGTCTTACTTGCCAGGCTTGAGCTCTGTTTACCATCTGTGGGGTGAGCCTGATGTGTGGTGTCTAGGGCCAGAGACAGTGAACAGTAACATCCTTGTCTAGGCATTATGAGCATAATGGGACAGTCCTTGTGACTTATAAACAGTAGTAGGCCCCCCACTTGATGGGGATTGCTATAGCTATAAGTGATAAAATTCTTCTGATGCTCAGTATATGTAATCACAAGCAAAAAACAAAGCAAAACTACAGTGACAGCCATGCAGATCTCATGGTTAGACACATCAGGTAAAAAAAATCTAAAATCATTTTCATATTAATTTTAAAATTTCCTTTAAATGTTACAGAAAGTGACAGAACCTCATTTGTAGAATATAGAGATTTTACTTGCTGCTGCCTGTTTTTCGTTTGATTTTCTGAAATTGGGGAATACGGATTATTTTTACTTTGTATACTCCTTAATATGTTAGTATAATACCATCTTTGGAAATTGCATGTCAGTATAATTATTTTACTATTTCAACTCTTTTGATTTTGCAAAAACTGTAAGTGCACAGCATAATCAGGTGGCCACTGCAGAGTAAACCAAGCAAGGTCCTTTTTTTTCCCCTTGAAATCCACTCAATCTAGTTGTGTGCTTCCGATTGGGAGGTCCCGCTCACAGCCAGCAAGAAAGAGTCCATTAAGCTGTGAACCATAAGTTCAACCTCTCCTACACTCGGGCCTTAATAGGTTAAGTCACTCTTAACCTACGCCCACGTCTGCTCACTCATCGAGTCTACAGGTGCTGCAGAATTAATAGGGAAAGGAATCATATTCCAAGTATAAAAATAGATCTTGCCTTATCTTAAACGTGTCTTATAAATCATTTTATGTAATTTATGATAAGATAATGTAGAAAGTCTAGAGTGTCTGCTGTTGTAGACAAGATATCACTCTGTGCAGCCGAGATTGCGTCATGATCAGACTGTGAGATGTCACCTCTCATGCAGTGAGACACCCTTCATATGCAGTACTCATTATGTATTGACACTTTAAAAAAAAAGTTAAAATGGAATTTCATATTAGTGCCTTGTATCCAGTTTTTCTGCAGATAAACCCTTTCTACCGTATTTTGTTCTTATTAGTACATTTAAGATCCTTCCAACAGATTGGTATTCATTACATTAGCAGCAAAGCTGAAGACACATTAATTTCCTTTCACTATCTACATTTTAATTAAGATTGCGCCTGTTGCTTGCCTTGACAGACTCTGCCTCTCCCACAGCCCTGAATTGGATGAGTTGGTTAGAAAATGGTTGGATGGATTCATTTCATTTTAGTTGTCTAGCATTGCTCAATCAGAATTTCCAGTTATTAATGTTTCGGAGGAGAAGGTTGTCCTTGAATAGATGAACATGTCCATTGAGTAGGATTTTGATTGAAGTAACAAGCATTTAGTATCAGGAAAGATGAGTGTGATTTAATTGAAATTACTGTTCTTTGTTTGACAGCTGAAGAGGGTTTTTGTGGCCTCTCTTGTTAGCAGGGATGCCCTGCAGTGTGTAACGAAGACAGGGCTGAAACCCAGTAATTTACTACTTGGGGAGACGAATCAGTTAATATCAATGTGATGCTACTGGATGTGAAAAAAAAGAGAACCCAGAAATTGGTTTCATATTCTGCTAAGTATTATAATAGCTGTGAGTGGAGCACACAGGTGCTTTATATAAATATGGCAGTTTTTCAAATGCTCCTTTTTTTGCTTTAGTAAAAGTAGATGGTAATTAGTAGAACTGTTCTCATTTTCAGTTCTCTTTTCATGGTGTAATGAGAAATAGGCAGTGCCTTTTGATGCTCCATCATAGACAAATACTTGAATCATATAAGGTTCTTTAGATAACTACACTCTTTGTTAAATAGTCCTATACATTAAAAAAACACTGTTATGTGTAAATTGATTTAGCCGTGCTTGTTAGAAGTATACTAGTATATTATAAGTACAAGTGTTGCGCAGTTTTTTTGTACTTTTCAGATATGCCACTTCTATGGATAGTGAAACCCATTCGTGTGACACAGCCTTCATTTCTAACCCACACGTTGTTCTTTCTCATTTGTTTGCCATTGGGAATGTGAATAAGACAGTACCTTGATTTTTTTTCCTTTCAACTTTTTATCTCTGAAACCCAGAAAGGTCCAGTGATAGTGTTATCACATTCTGATAAACAATAGAAGTTGTCATATGCATTGACAATACGATTGTATTACGATGTTCTTGCTTCCATTTCAGCAGCATCAGTACAAAACTGAATCTGAACTGTCTAAAACATGCTGTAACTCTGAAAAGGTTTTCATTTTTTTAAGTTTTTTCATAGTAACGAATTATCCTGTTAATATTCTGCCTCGCATTCATCAGCTCACATTCACACACATTTATAATAGATAATGGTAGAGATGAGGGTATGATTATTAGGATTTTTATAGTTTATTGTTAAGACGATCAGTAATGCAGTAGTGGCAATGTTTTTTAAATTCATTTGGCTTTTTAGGAATACACTCGTTTTATGAATTATATATGTAAATTGCATATTAAGAATTAATTATGTATACATGATCAGCCTTGCTAGAGTTTGGAAAGACCAAAAAATATACATCTCCTCTTTTAAAAGGGATTACAAAGCAATTGGATATTTTTTTTTGCAAAATGGCTTTGCAAACCCAATTCCTTCATTTTTTTAAATCAGAATGTCAGGTATCTGAGGGATATAACTGTACCTCGTTAAATAGTGCCATCTTTAGTTTCTTGATATGCATTGCTTTGGTTTAGTTTGCTGTTCTTAACACAAATGCAATTGCCTAAAGAAAAAAGGCAGCAATAGCTTTCATCCTAAATAAAGTATTGTTTTGTTTCATTTTATTTTGCAACATTGTTAGACTGTTATACCTTTTTTGCCCACAGTTTAGGATACTAGAGGTAAAGGGCATTTGCTTTGCTAAAAATGATGTTTTTCAAAATAACATTTTATTTTTCATGGAAGATACAATAAAAACAGGATGTGTCCCTTTTTGTTAAAAACGCTCTACAAAGTTGCCTTGGAATAGAGTTTGTCAGAATTATATAACAGTTTAGAAACACAGAACTGGAAAATATACTCAAGTTGACATACTGTAGTTGACATTAGATAGTTTCTTTTAATGTAAACGCATATAACTTTCTGAACTACAGTTGTGCATTGGTATTAATCCACATTAACAGTGAAACAAAACATTTTAATGATACTGTAGGCCATACAAATTACAGTGTACATAATAAATACAGAAATCCTGGTGAATGTATCTATCATTAAAAAATCAGCTTGTTTTTAATGTAATATGGCATTTTAACCCATGTCTTAAAAACTACTTTAAAACATAATGGGATAGTTATTGACAAAATTTTAAAACTATGATAAATTACATAGACTCAGTAGTAAAACAATGTAATTCATTATACATTATGTATATCCAACACAATTTTAATTTGATCCACTGTGTATCCATTTATCATGTGTGTGCATTGTTGTACAGTAAAGTCAACATGCTGTATATTTGAAGTGTTTTCCAGATTAAACTAGGGGTATTCAGTAGTGCTCTTAGAGGGCTGGAGAGTCTGCAGAATTTCAAGGTCTCTAATGTAACAGTACTCAAAAGAGCTCAAAGAAGCTGCTAAATGTGTCCAGTTACAAGATGGTTTAGCTCGTTAAGAGACTAATTGGAATGAAAACCCATGGATACACTGGCTCTCCAGAACAGGACTAGACTGTTTTGCTGTTATGAATTTATCCATGAGATGATCATCAAAAGAAAAAATTTCAGGATTCCAAACAGCTTTATATACAGTATCTAGGGAAAAACTATTTTTACATCAAGAACATGAGAGTTAAATAGGTCTGCATTTGATCTGACATTCCAGCACATGACCATAGAGTCCAAAATTGTGCATGCTAGTAAAACCACATTTTTTATGCGCTATTTGACTGTTTATGTTAATCCAGAGCACCTTTCATGTGTATCCGTTTATATATATATATCCCACTGAAACAGTGTGATTTAAGTACCATCTTCAAGGGTATAAGAAGAGGTTACATCCCAAAACCTGAGATCTGAACCTACAACCTTATCGTTAATAAGAGCCTTATCATCTAATCAATACTGCTGCCACTAGAAGAAATACCTTCCTACATGCTCAATTGTAACAAGAAACAGGGTTTTGATTTGGTGCATTGAGTTCACTAATCTGTAATTGATGTCTGGGAATATTAAGAACAAATCAACAATCAATGCACTGATTAATTATTGCACCACAAATCCCTATACACAGGATAAAAAGCTGCTGGCTATATCACAGCAGGCAGGGTCAATAAAAACAACACTTGCTCATCCACAATCAGTAGTGTTGTCCTTTGAAAATATAGGGATCAACACATGTTCTTTAATGTTTAACGTACTTTAATGCGTTTAATGTGTAGAATACCATATGCCCTGAAATCTGCTCTAATGCATGACATGTAAAATGTTTGATCTTGATATGTGATTGCTTCTCTTCTCATGTTTCAGATATGGTATACTGTAGCAAATAGAAGTGTACAAATGTCCGAAATTGGATTTTGAAACCTTGCAAATTATCATTGGATTTCATATTCTGTTCCTTTTTTGTATGGTTTTAGAATCTGTTGGACTGCGTAATAAAGTCATTCGTAAAATTGAGGAGCTGAAGATGGAATCAGTGGCAGGTATTCCAGACGAGTTCCTCTGTCCAATAACCAGGGAGGTTATGCGGGATCCTGTTATCGCTTCAGGTATTTGATTTCTCTTGGACCAACTTTGGAGTTCATAACAAGGCATTTGTGTGGAATTTCTGATCCGTCACATGAAAAAAACAAATGCAGAACAATGTTCAAGAAACCATTTTTGTATCACTGGATTGAAAAGCTACTACAAAGTAGTAGGTAAAAAAGTAAACTACAGTATATGTCATGTTGTGTTGTTTTCCTTCCCTCTTTTCTGTATGCAACCAGCCTTTAGCTTTTTAAAAAAAAATCCTTTCTACCAACATTTTGCATAAGAAATTGCATATTCTGTTTGATGAACAGACTTTCATTGACCTAGGTTGCAGTATGTAGCCTACAACAAGTTACATACAGTATGTGTGATCTTTTCCATATAATCTATGCACCTTTTCAGTCATATGCATCTTCAAGTCCAAGCTCTTGGTCTGCTTTTGAGGACTATACAGAAGTCAGTTTGAATTGGAAGTTCTGTAGGATATATTTAAGAGGATACTCAAGGAGAGGATATTTAAATAATAGAAGTCAAATCGTGTAATGACCACATGCAGAATTACCCCCTGACAAATCTATGAGGATGAAATGTCAAGTTTGAAATCTTGAAATTCGATAGTGAATTTATTCCCAAAGGATCTCAACACATTTTACACACAGCAGGAATTGACTTTATTCACCACTGTAAGTGTGGAGCAGATCAGGTATAGAAGTGAGCAATAACTTCAGTAACTGAATGAAGCTAGTCTAGATTGTGCAAGCACAGAGTGGAATTTAGACAGGGTACCACCCCTTCTCTTACAAACACTGCCATTGGATATTATATGACCAAGTAGTTAGAAACACAGAGTTCACCAGAAGGGTCTGAAATAGTTTGAGTTGGTAAGATTAGTTTAGTCAGTGTTCAGAAATTCACCGTCGATAGGAATCCTCATGGAAAACACCCATTAATGAAAAGGTATAATAATATTAAAGCTATTAAAGTCCATTAAGAATCTAAAGTTCCTTTTGTTTTGTCCTTCTTTAAACAGATGGCTATTCGTATGAGAGGGAAGCGATTGAAAGCTGGATTAGCACAAAGAAGCGGTCAAGCCCCATGACTAATTTGCCTCTGAAATCCACTGTCATGACACCAAACAGGACCCTGAAAATGGCTATTAGTCGCTGGAGAAGCAGCAAGTAGTCAAACACGAACACTCCTCTATTCAAATGCAATCACGTTATTCTAATCAGTTTTGTCTGATTGCTCTGAATGAAGCAAGGGTATGGCTTTTTTTTAAATTCCTCTGAATTTAAATTGCACTTTGGAAATAAAAAGATTGTTTTTAGCTTTAGATAAGAAAATGTCTTCAATGGAACCTTTTTTTGTTTTTGTTTTGTCAAATGTGTATAATGTAAGTATAAAGTGTTTTTGGTTTCTCTGACCTTTCATCAGATTTCTGTATTTTTAAGGTTCAAGTGACCACCATAACATTTCATTATCTCAATGAAAACCAAACTGTTGAGAATTTGGTACACCCTTCTCCATGTTAGTTTAAGCCTTTTTTACTATCCAGATAAAAAGCATTGTACAAAAAACATCATTTTTCAGACACGGCTCCCTGCTGTGACACTGTGTTTAGTTATTTCTTATCAGTGGTGGAAATTCGCCTTTCATAAAATAACCTAACACTACCCTGCCATTCTTAGTGGGACCAACAGCTAAAAACAAATCTAAGCAGGCTCCACAGCCAAAACTTTGTTTTCTTTCTTCTCTTTTCAGCATGGATTAAACCTATTACTTGTTCTTTTGTATATTATTCATGTTTGTTAGTAATTTTCAGGGTGTATGTGTGGGGAGGAGATCAAGAAGATTTGTTGACATTTATTTAAACTAGATATTCAGCATATGACAAGAAGTGTTAATGGTTGAACTGGTCAGAAAGACAAATTTGGAGAATTAAGTTAATTTAGGTGTTCTATTAGATGCAATGAACAATTTTGCATTGTAATTAAGAAATATTAATGGCTTAATAAATCCTTCATGGAGGAAAAGCCTGGGACAATGAAAAATGTCAACTCTACACATGAAACAGTAATGTGAATAGTAATAAAGCAATATTGCACTAAAAACAGTTTTTATAACTTAATGGAGACCCTTTTAGGGTTGCCAATTTTATGAAGGACACTGCTAGCATACTAAAGGCTTTTGTGGAAACCAGTAAGGTAAATGAAAAGCACTTTTTAGTTCATTTCAGGTAGAGAATAAATGCATGCAAAAATATTTCTCACCTTTAGCACCTTAGTAATATTTTTAAGATGATGGGTATTTAAGATTCAGTACATTTTATTATATCATACTTTTCATATCCAGTACCCAGGATACTATGGCTGTTTTATTGGCCTTATTTTCACTTATTTCTTGATTCAACATAAAAAGCAGAATAGTACTATTAGGTGCTTGAAAACTGTCAAGAGATTAGGGTTGTCACCTACTGTGAAAGTAATTTTCAAGAAAAATAAATACACAAACATTGAAATTTTTATATTGCTGCCATTCACGTGTGATTTTATTTCTAAAATATATTTTTTGCTCATTAAGAAAAAAGAATCTTGTTGTCTTTCGGTATTATGCAGGATGGAACATTTATTTACATTAAGGCAAACATTTTTGATAGGGTGGGGATGTATTGCTGGAATTATGTATTTTTAATGTTGATTCTATCAATGAATTACAGCAATTGATTCAGAACCAAACTCCCGGTGAGTGGCAGGACCACAGCTACAGCTGCACTTACCTTGGCATTACTGGGCTTGTGAATTGCACAGTGCAAGACTGCTGTGGTGGCACCACGTGCTTCCAACACAAATCAAGCAAATAAATATCATCTAACGCCAGATCATTTTGTTTTCTCACTGGGAGATTTATTTACCCATTGTTGTTATGGCAGTGAAGTTCTATTACAGTATGTGATAGGTAATACAGCTCACAATACTGAAAACATTTCAAAAACTGCAATTAACATACATATTAAAATATAGCCAATGGATCCCCAACTGTTTGTTTTATAATCTTTATTAGAAACTGAGATTGCAGCATGCACTTAAAACCAAATGTATCCCAACAAAGCTTTTTAAGATCTGAAAACTTCTTAGTAGCTGTGCAAAAATAACTATATAAAATATATTGCTTTTACAAATGATCAAGCGAGAGTAGCTGTAAATAAATTAACCTAGGTGGCAACGACAAGCAGAAACAGGATTCAGTTCAGCGCTACATGGCTATTTATACAGTGTACAAACATGAATGAGTAAAACCCCGATCCTTAAAGTTACTCCCAACCACACTTTGCAGAAAAAAATCCAAATCCGCACAAGTTGAACAATTCAATTACACTGACACAGACCTTCACTTAAAAGAAGGAAATATATATTACAAAATAAGGATTCTCAACATCCTTCTTGAAACACAGGAATGCCCATTCTTTCCCAGTCTTATAATCACTCAATGCCATTTCAGTCTTCCACTCAGCACCACTATCTCTTTATTATGTACTTAGTTAATAATAAGTCTTAGTTATGATAATACATTTTTAATTATATAAGCACCTGAAAGGCATATTTTACGAATAAAGTGCCATCGTTGTTTTGTCTGTGTATAAATGTCGTATTAATTTCTCAGTGCAGTGTCCAGCTTTGCCGAAATGTGGAAAGCATGCAGCTGTGTAACAGAAGCTTAATGGACTTATACACATTTATTAGTAAGAAAGAAAAGAAAAGTACCAATCTAAATACTGTCTGTGGTTATTTACAAGAAAAATACAAATAAAAATATTTAGCTTAATTGTAAAAGATTTAAATCTTAATATTAAGGAAAAGAAAACTTGGGGACTACAATTTTACATTTTTTTTTTACAACCACTTTTTAAAAATGTGAACCAAGGGTTTAAGAAACTGGTTAAATAACTTACACGTTAGACTCTATAAACGATCGCTTTGGTTTCATAGAAGCAGCATGAATGGCAGGATTATCTCTTGCGATGTGAGACTGCTGTTTAGATTTATTATCCGGAAAAGAATGTGGGACTGACACAGCTGGCTTGGGTTCCTTGAAACAGGTGGAAGCTTGGCAGAACTTCTCCCCAAATTCCTTAGAGTGCATTCCATTCAAAAGGCTTCCCATAGCACCCTGAGATGGAGCTTTAATCTGATCGTGGTAAACACTCCCCGTTTTGGCATAAGCTATCTCACAGTTAACAGCCTGCAGTCCTCCAGTGGACATAGTGTTTGTGACTAATCCTTCTGCTGAGTGGCTGTGCCAGCTGCGAGTCTGCTGATGTCCCTGCTGCAGTTGTTGAAACCTGGCTGTCTTATCCATGATCCCCATGAAGGGAGTCGGCCGAGGTTTGTAGTCTGCGGTTGCACTCTGACTCTGCTTGCCCTTGTTGTCCATGGTGGTTTTGATCCGCACATCGGGCCCTTGCAGCTTCCCGCTATCTGAGAGGCTGCTGCTGGAGGCCAGACTGCTGGTTGAACTGGAGATCTTCATGCTGCTGGCCTGGGAGCCTGGGGCAGAGACGGTGCTGGTTGCCGACTCCTTTCTCATCTCCAAGCCAGTCCCTGTTGCTCCTTGGGTGGCCGATGACAGTACGTCCAAAGATGGCACAGAGTGCGCAGACAGCCTCTCGGCAGCTTTTGTGGAGTGGTATGCGGCAGCGTTTTCAGCACTGCAGACGTGGGCGTTTTGTGCCGACGTCAACCTCTCTCCATAGCTGGTTCCTGAATCGTCTGTGCTAGAAGATGCAGAACTGATCTCGATGCCTGGGCCTGGCTTCAGCACACTAGAAAGATGTCTGCTGGGCAGTGGGCTTGGAGGAGGATAATGTGATTGGGGCTTGGTTGCGTACTGGGTGTTTCCAGACCTCCCTCCAGTCTGCAGGGAGTTCATGTGCTGGTTAGTTTTGACAATCTGGGCCTGTTTGGTAGGCTGCATGACCAGTCCTTGCTGGGCCAGTAGGTGTTTGTGCGGCTGTCGGCTCGAAGGAGAGATGGGCCTGGGATTCTGCTGAGAGGCTCCTGCCCCATCGTGAGGTGTCCTGCTCAAAGAGTACAAAGTCTGTGTGCTCTGCGGTCGGGGCTGGGAGCTAGACGCTGCATCGTCCAGTTGGGAAACCTCTTCCTCGTCAATGTCCTTGAGCCCCAGGGTGGACTGGCTCTCCAGGCTTGGTTCGGCGGGCCCATCCTGCTCCTCCTCACGGTCGGAGTCGTTGCTGGGAGGCAGCTGGCCTTGCACGCCCTGTTGTTTCTGCTGGGCTCGCTGCAGCTGCTTGCACTCGTCCTCCACTCGAACCAGCAGTCGCCTGATCTCCCGGTTGTTTGGGCAGAGCTTCGCTGCCTCGTGTAGGTCTGCGAGGGCAGCGGCAAACTGCCTGCGGGAGGACACAGACAAAGAACAGGCTGGGTCAGTGGGCCCCATCAGTAACCGCCGTGCAAAACAAATCCCGCTGAAGCTCCAGCTCGGTAATGAACCTTTAAAGAGTCCTGCAAAGGACACATTATAGGAAATTATATGAAAGGCAACTGAGATTAATTTGTACTGTAACACATTACCTGCTGCTTCTTTTTGCCCTTGCTCTGGCATAATAGGCCTCATATGATTTCGGTTTCAGTTCCAGTGCCTTAGTTGCAAATTCCTCTGCCATGCCAAAGTCCTGCAGGACAAACGGATCAGTGAAATCAGCGGGAACTGTGCTGGATGCAAGTTGCTCTGAGAGGCGTTTTTAGGTATATTAAACTTAAAAATGTAAGGGCAATGATACAATAGCAATCTAGCAGGATATTGCTTTTTAGCTTGGATTGAAATACACAGAGCTGCTCATATCTGGAGACACCAGACTGCAGGTCTCTTGCTATCTGTATTATTGCGAAATTGTTGCAATGTTGAGGATACCAGTTTTTTCTATAATATCATATTATAATTCTATAATAGTATTAATAAGGGTTGTAAATTGAGTGATATACAAACATCCTCTGCTGGTTAGTAAAACAAACATGTAATCTGCAGGACAGGGTTTTAATTAAGAAGCTCTGTTGCTGTTCTCAATTTAATTTGCAGCAGCGAAGCCTGGCAAGTCTATAACATAGCCACAGTATTGAATACATAGACAAAAACTCCAGAACATGTTTTTAATCAATTCCAACCCAGATTAAAATGTGGAAAGGTTCTGATATCAAAATATGCTATACAGTATGTACAATATAAAGTCGTATAATTTAAATTCACGTTTGGAATTTTTCCCCAAATGTAAAATGTCACCAAATACAAAAAGTCCCAATAAAATTTAAATTTGAACTCTAAGTTATGAATCTTTAGTCTTATAAAGGAACAGGGCAACACTGGGATTTAAAGTAAAACTGCAGGAAAGTCATAATGTAGGTACTCAGCAAATATAAGAGGGCTGCAAATTAAATAGCACAAGTGGAACTTCTAATAAAGTAACAGGTCACCCCTAAGCAACACTGCATCACTTGGCTTAACTATCTGCATAAAGCAATAGTGTTGTTGGTGATGGACAACAGCAACAATGTTGCCTAAAAAGACCAGGGGGTCGATGGCCAGTTGATGAAAGTCTGTCCAAAAGATTTTTTTGTGCAACAAATGTGAGTTTTGCACATAGCAGAGTGTGGGAGTTACTTCTATCTTCATGTTTTGACCAGTTCTTCCAACTAAGGTGTTTTCACTTTGTCTGCCATTCCATAGAGAAAACTTGGGCTATTGTGCTGTATTGTATTTCATGACGTAAAAGAATATAAAAATGAATTATGTGAAAAGTTCTAAGAGATATCTAAAGAACAGGTTTATCTGTAATTACATTTTAAATACATTTACTTCTCTATTGTTATTAATGGTCTGCTTTTGCTGCCACAAATACAGGAAACACCAACATAAAGTGCCTTAATAGTGAGTTGGGCCACCACGAGCCACCAGAATAGCTTCAGCACGCCTTGGCTTAGAATCTATAAGTGTCTGGAACTCTTTCTCTTCCGTGAAAGGAACAAGTAAAGGTTTATTCCATGATGAAAAGAAAAACACAATGCGTTTTTCACACGGCTGTGGAGCCTTCTTCGGGTTACCAAAGAACGGCTTTGAATGTATTGGCATTTACCTTGCCCTCTAAAGCCCTCTAAAGGATTCAGTGGGCCTAAGCCACTAAAGGAAAATGCACCCAACCATAACAGAGCTGCCAGAGCCCTTCACCCTGGGAAACAAGCCCTTGAGCCTATAGGCTTCTTTTGGAGTGTGCTATACATATACTTGTCCGCTTGTGGAGAATAGGGTGAAGGATGACTCATCAGAACATATGAATTTTTTCCACTGTTCGGTAGACCACTGCCTGTGTTCCACTGCAACCCGAATATAGTGTCCCTCTCTCGATGGGCTGTACTCAAGGATTATGCGTTTTCGGCCACAGTTGCCTCTAGCTGATGATGTCTTTCCCTCTGACTTCCATGCCAACATCACCTCGGCCACTGCTCCTCATAAAACATAAGCAAGTCAAGCACTGACTTGAATCACTGAAGCACCTGCCAAACATGCCCCCAAATTCGCCCCTCTCTTAAACTCACCGAGATCCTTCTTCTAGCCAGGTTAGCAAAATAATGGGCAACTGGGCCTATTATATACATTATTATACATGGCTCTAAGCATGATGGGGTATTAATTGCTTAATTCACAGGAACCACACCTTTGTGGAAGCACCTGCTTTCAATACACTTTGTATCCCTCATTTATTGTAGTTTGTGCTTTATTTTGGCAGTTACAGTACCTGTATTTAGACTTAACCAACAGTTTTTCTACAATTTTAACTAGACAATGTATGCACTTCTCTACTTTGAATGTACGACACATGTACTGTATGGCACACCTTAAAAGTAACCTTTGTAGAGGTCTTTGAATTTATCAAATGTCAAAAGCCAGATTGTCTGTAAATTGTATGCCACTGTCATTTTCAGGCCCCTCTGCAGTCTTCTATAGTAAGCTACATCTCAAAGACTATAATTACACTCAGACTCTAGCTGTTGATTAAAAATGTGCATTTCTGCTATTATCACAGACATGAATGTTTTCAACCAGTCTGACTTAAGCTGACAGAGCCAAAAGACTTAATCATAGGAAGAAAGCAAAAAAAGCTTTGGCTAACAATAGACGACATAAAAAATGCTGAACTGAAATTTGTTTTTTTCTGTCTTAGAGAACAGCAGGTATTTCTCGTTTTTGGAAGAGTCTGACATTAATTGTTTTTTATTTGTACGTCAATTGCTGCAAGGGTCACACTTGACTGTTAATGCACTGAACCCATTCATTTGTGCTAATGATGTTTCATAAGCAGCTTGACCAGATCCATCCAGAATTACCCCAAAGCAACAGTTCTAGCTGATTTCATTCTTTTTCCCCCTTTTGAACTCTGCTGTTTGATGTCATCTTTACAGGAGTGCAAAACAAGGTTAAAAAACATGACACTAAAGTATTTCAGCAGATGGCTTACGTTTGTTTTCCTGCGACATCTGGAAAGGTTTAAATACAGAGAAACTCTCAGTTCTTTAAAAGCCTTCAGGTCATCCCCAAATCCTTCTCTTGGAAACTTTCTTAGAGCGTACTGGTATCTCTGAGCCGCCTCCTTCATCTTCCCTTTCTGAAAGTTCATGCAAAACCATTGTAAGAGGTGGGAAAACGTGCTGGAATTAAAACTCAAAGTGAAATACCGTCTCTTCCAGTCAGCTGGTGCATTTTTTTCTCAAATACAGTTTGGCCTATTTGTCCTTTCCTCTTCCCCAAAATTCAATTTTTTCTAACATCATAGATCAATAACTTCTCATTTGTGCAAAAAACCCCCCACATAATGTCTAACAATTTATCTTACTTTCACACAGTTTTGAACCAGTAAAAAGGTTATGATATTGATATAACCGTATTTCATAGATACAATCAATATGGCTTGAGAACCATGTTACAACATTTTCAACATCAAAAATTTACATTTGTTACAAAAGGTATGTTGGACTAATAAGTGAAAACACATTAATCAACAATGCATTTCTAAAACCTTCGTTATTACACTGTTTTTATTCAGCAGGTTTCATATTTGTTGACGTGATCTGCTCATTTTTAACACAAAAAAGTCACAGGCTTCTGAAATATACTGTCAAATATATGCAATTAAGTGACTCTAAATATGTTTTAAAACTTAAAGCGATATAAATGCAGATTCTAGGACTAGGGAGACCTGTCTATAAATAAGAAGCTTTCAGCTCTGCAAACTGTTTGTCTCCTAAATCTCCTAATTAACTAGTCACCCTGTGTTCAGAGAGGCTCTCACTGCAACATCTGCCAAATAACATCAGGCACCACATAATTCTGTACGGCCACAAGAGGGCAGTACTGACGGAAATCAAGAGGCAGTCAAACAGCAGCACAGCTGCAAATCCCACCCAACACCAAGGAGGTCAAGGGGTCAGATAACGGCTCAAGCTTCATCTTATTAGTTGAAGCCTGTGTGTCTACAGATCGAGCAGATCTCACGCTGTGATGATCTGGGCAACAGAACGTTCTCACCGGTCTCTGGGCACCTTTAGTTCAAAAACACTTGAAAGATTCAGTTTCTAACAGAGACAGGTATGATTAATACCCCTACCTTGTAGAGCAGATTCCCTTCCTCCATCAGTTTCTGCAGAAGAATGATGAGAATGTCGGGCTTGGACGTTGCCATTGCCCATGCCGCATTCCCTGCAGGGCAATGGAATAGAGAAATAATTGCACAAATTGCCTCTGATTGAAAACCAATATTTGCAATAGAATTGGTACTGAGTAAAGTTACCTAAAGAGAGTACCTGATCGGTCATAAGGAGATGTTCTGTAGCCTTAAGAGGGTATAATTGAAGGCAGTTAAGAGAAAGAAAAGGATGAGACATTACAGAGACAGACAAGAAGTTGTAAAATGCACTAAATGTACATACACAAAAAGACAAATGTCCCTTTACTGAATTCAAAAGCATACTAATACTTTAGAATCTATTCATATTTATGTTACAGTCTTAAAATAGGTTTCTGACTTGCACACTTAATTGTAGAAGGCTTATACCCTAAATAACATACTGTAACTTCACACTTCACATTAACCTGTTTTTTATCAATAAAGTTATAAGAAAGAAATGAACATAAATACAACATCTGAAAAAATAAAAAGAGGGTCTAGGCTTTGATTGGTTTTAAGGTGTCATTTTTCCGTGTCAAATACTCTTACCTTAAGAGGCTTCAGGGAAAGATCAATTTAAATGATTGGAAACTTTAAAGTTTTAAAAACTTGTAAACAAGATTTGAATTATATTTGTTGCAAAGTGTAAAACACTTGTTGATTATCAAGTGTTGATTAACAGATGACTATACTATTCAGTGTAATCAAAATGTTTTGTTACTGTATTTACGAGTGGTTGTTTCCCTGCTGTACCCTGCTGTTATTTTGTCAGCTTTATGTCTCAAGGACTAATAGTGAATATTGAGTGCTAACCAGGGTGAAAGCTTTGCAGGCACCATCAAAGGGGTTAGTGTCTATCTTCTAGTCAAAAACGATTCTGAGATATAGTGTGGAAAAGGGTTAAAAAAAGCAGAGACGCTCAAAAGTAATTCATTCAGAAATGTCACAGGATCTAGAGCTACATATTTTACTGGCTTCCTTTAGTTCTACATATGATAAAATACTTAGCCTCCTAATTAAGATATTTCTTTTTTACCGGCTGATCCAGATCCATTATTTGAATGGCAGAACAAAAGATGCAGCATCAGGGATCTGCGATTTCACTCCTCACTGTCGAAACAGATTTTTATTGTATTGTAGAAGCGCCAGAGCACACACTCACCCAGCTTCGCTCCTTTCTTCAGCAGAGTCACCACCACAGACGTGTTCCGACATCCAATAGCTCTATCCAACGGCCTCATCCCACTGTAGTCGACATGCTCAATCACTGCACCTCTCTCAACCAAGTAATGAACCTGCACACCAGTAAAGACGTTCATGAATGCCTTTTTAGCGAAAGAGCCACAGATGGAACGGCAAAATAGCAACTGAAACGCAGTGTAAGCACACACATTTTTCACAGATACAATAACATTTTCCATGTTAAATGCATAGTATTGATTTTCATACACTGTTATACAAGTTTCTGACTGGCCTTTATATTGACTCCGTAGTTGTACGCATGTACCTGAACACATGGTCATAGAAACTACTGTAAGATATACAGCAAGAAAAAAATCAACTTTAATTTGGAAAACTTTAATTATATCTAAAAAGTTGTAAAAACATCTTAATTGAATGACAACAACAGAGAGACTAAACGGGCACTGAGGCAGGCTGAAGAGACAGTGCTTGAAAGAGACATAAACGATAAGAATCCTCTGTACAATAGTTATGTCAAATTAGTTATGGCTTTACTCACAATCTCAGCATCCCCATAGAAAGCAGCTAAGTCCAAAGGGGTTCTTCCATTCTTATCCGTGTGATCTATGACTGCGCCTTTCTCCACTAAAAACTGCACCACAGCCTTGTGTCCTTTCAAACAAGCCCAGCTCAACGGCGTTAATCCTTCCTTGTCCATGGAGACTAAAGAAGCACCTGCAGAGAAATGAAGATAGCTTGAAAAATGCTCTTTATCTCCTTATTGACTTGTTCCTTGCTGAAATGGCATTTAGAAAATCGGTAATGGTTTCCGCAGGGTAATCTGGGCAAATGAATACAGATGCATTAAGAAATGCAGAGTGCTGGGATGGCAATGGACTCACCTTTCGAAAGCAGGAATTCCACAGTGCTCAAGTGTCCTTCACAGGAAGCCACCATTAGCAGAGTTCGTCCCTGCTTGTCACTGACGTTTACATCCGCACCATGCTGTAGCAAAAGGTCAGCAATCTGAAACAGAGAGAGTGTCAGAACACGGCTCACCATATTACCTGGCTCGTTTGTTTGAAATTCATCGCCTAATTGCCTAATAAAATCCACCCTATATTAATTTTACTCAAAGCAATAACAGGTGCCAATAACACCCCTGTGCCCAGGAAGATCAGTAAAACTGTCCTCTATTTCTCCACTGTGGATTCCTAGATGTACTGCTTTGTCTTGTTACTGGTCTGCAATTTTGCAGTATAACAATGCTTATAAAAGCAATTAAAATTATTTGTTCCTCACGAGACACCACAAATGCGATTAGGATGTCTTGTTTGGTACCGTTAACAGTGAGACAGGATTAACGACAAGGGACAGTCTGATTTATCACACATTATCTCCTTATCCATACCCCCTTTCTTCTTCAGCTATAAAGGTTGAAGATGAATTTGGAGATCATAAGCATTGAGATCGGCAGTTTGTTCACCTATGTTGAAGTCTAAAGAGTCAAATACAACAAAAGCATAAAGACTGAGTGTAACTAAATCCATCGAGACAGGTTTACAATTAGACTTCATGCGAATGAAAATAAAAATTCAAACGCACTTCTAAGTCTTTTCATGTGTGTTCCTTGCTAGTCCTGTGGCAAACTCAATCCCTTCAGCACTTACAAGGCTTGACACCACAGTACCTGTCTGACTTACTATCATTCTACTCCCCACCTCACAACCCTTCGTTAGTCTAATTCTGGTCTCCGGTTTATCCCCCAAGCCCGTCTACAAACTATGGGTGACAGGGCCTTCTCCTGCTGCACCCTGAAGCTCTGGAATTCTATCCCTAAGGATATCGGAGAGTCACCTTCCCTGAGCGGTTTCAAATCAAGACACAAAACCTTCTTCTTTAGTAGAGCTTTTATTTGACTGGTTCTATGTCTGCCCGTTTGCTTTTCAGCCCACACTGTCTGTCTCTGCCTGCCTGATTAGTGAAAGATATCCGTTACCTGCCAGTGGCCCTGTCTCACTGCACAGAACAGAGGAGACACTGCCCTGCGGTTCCCCTGATGTACCACCGCGCCCTTCTCCAGGAGGAACCTGCACACCTCCATCTTCCCCCGGCCGGCCGCTGCTGTCAGAGCTGTGGGAGAGAGATCACTGGTCAAGGGCAAGAAGTTCACTACGGCCCCCCTTCTAATGGAGCACTTGAGAAGTTGAGAAACCTCAGGTGGCGTCTCCAGGACAATGGAAAGCTAAACACTACCCATCACGTTATATAAAGAATCATTACGTATTAATCAGATTATGCAAGAGGTCACCTTCTTCGAACACACTGTGTTTGGTCTCTGCTAAAAAGAGCACCTTGTTGTGACTGAACAAGGGTCTTGTAACTGAAATAAACATCAGTTCAAATTCCAAAGAGCTTCCTCTCCTACATTCCAGCACAAAACTGATCGGAAAGTTCAGCAGAGAAGGGAACCCCCGCCCAAGTCTACAACTGACCAATAAAAAAACCTGCGCAATGGATTCTTAGCAATATGAATGAACTGCACATTGGTCAAGAAGCAGATTTTGTGCTTGTTTGCCGATCTGCACTTGTAGGAAAGGAGCCTGATAGACTTGTGTGGTAAAAATATTATCAGGCAAGTCAAACCGTGGGCAGGAATTCCGGTCATTCAACCAAGGCTGGCCTGAGATCTTCCTGATACTCCAGGCCAGGGGCCTGCCCCCTTTGTCTCGAACCCCTAAAACAGAACCCTACCGCACGGCTTGAACAGGCATCTGACGCCAGGTGGAAAATATGAGAATAGCCCATTAAGGGGAAGGAAAGCTAAAAATGTTTGTGGGACTTCTGACTCCTGTCCAACAAACCGAAAAGGAAATAACTGCTAAGAAAGGGATGTGATAATGGACTTTGTGGCTGAATGAAACCAGAGCAGCAAATAACTTTCAGCTCTCTGGGAAAACAACGGTGAGACCGAAGAGAGCTATTTTAGGTGATCCTATGTCATGTTGAACTCTGATATGAACTGACTGATCGCCAAAAGAGGGGTCGGAGTTCATTTTATTTCCCGATGCATAATCGTGGTTGAGTCCATTATACCAAATGTATGTGGCAAAAGAGAGAACGAATGTTATTTGTTTGGAATGAAGAGCCACAGTAAAATAAAGAGAGTAACACATGTTACAAAAGTGCAAAAGTTTTCTTAAAAAATACTCAGTTACCTTCAATTGCTATAATCACTCAGCACTGATAACACTTTTCTATTTTTAAATTTGAGCTTTTCATCCAAAAGACAGCATACTGCGAGAAAAGATCATGAAGCTAAAATGCGGGGTATCACATAAGACATTTAAATGACCTCATCTCAAAGTCAAACATTCCTATCACAGTGTTCATATTCCATTTGTAAAGAACAAACCCACAAGAAAACATGAGCTCAGTTCTTCTCAAAGGCAGGAGATATTCCGGGATGGGTATTATGTCTTTAATCTTTAATAATGCTTTCAAAGCCTTTCACTTTTCTTCTGAAATTTCAAGACCGCTATCTTGTTTTTCTAAACCCTTGCACATCTCATTCTCATCCAAACCCCTCTCCTCATCTCTGGCCTCAACCTGCCTTTTCTGACCCTGTGGATCAAGCAAATCAACTGGTTTTGTCCTTCTGCTGTCTAGTCGTGTATAAATCACTCACAAAACAATGTAAATAAACCCCACTGAGAAAAACGGAAGGCATAGACATAACACTGACTCACAGTATTTTTACATGACAAAAAAAAACGACATCAAAAAAAGAAATTGAAGTTTAACTGTGCCTTTAGGTTTATAAAGATCTTACTTTAATTTTCAGAATCACTTGCAAAGTATGCTGACAAAGACTAAATATAAGGAGTCATAATAATACTAAATATAAGGAATTTAGTTTCAAATGTATACTTTTTTACTTTTAAATCCCCCCAAAAAGGGTATTTTTAAAAGCTTGACTGAAAGCAAACTTAGAGAGTGGTATTTATGTAAACAAAAATGACTGTAATCTGTGTTAAATACATAGCAGAATACAAAACTACCCTTCTTATCACAAGTACTGTACAAGAGTGTTACAGAGGGCAAACAGAATGGAACGCAGTGTGGAAATCAATGTGTGAATAAAGGATAAAAAATCCTGATGTCAGGCTGGTACAGCGCAGGCTATTTATCAAGTTGAAGACTGCTTCTTGCAGCTAGTGACAAAAGGCCTGCTTCTTCATTAATATAGGTCTAGGTCACTACATGTTTAAAACTGAACTCCAGACAGCCTCAATGCAGGATGACTACAGCTTCCTAAATGTCTACTCACTACCTAAAACAGACTTCTATGTATTGATCTGAACGTGGCTTCATTGATATGTGACATCAAACTATTGTCAAACCTAATATCAAACAAAATATCGATTACAAAATCTCTATAAAAGTTGACCAAACTGTACAGTATCCTAGTACATTTAACCACTGCCCATATTTTAATAATGGTTACTGCAATTAAAAGAATTTCCAGGCTTTATGGCTTAAATGTAACTTTACATGATTTGCATACTGTGCTTGTTTATCGGGAATACATCCCATGGGCAAAGTACATTTTTTTATTTCAGTTTTTCTTTATAGCACCACTTTCCAATATAACTCTGAACCAATCTAGTCCTTTTTTCTAGGCTCTTAAAACAATTGGAACAAACATTTTCTAACATCTATTCACCTTTAAATAGCTGCATGTTTAAAAGAGGTCAAATAATTTCTAGGGACTTTATGTGGTTTTGCGTCACATGGGTCACAGCTCCTAACTTTCAGATTCCTATTCAAATTCATCAGAAAGCTGCAGTCTCAAAAAATCGTTGCAAGAATGGAAATACCTTACAGTTTCATCCACATAAACCGTCAGCAAAGAATGCATATTAGATTAAGATTTGTTTGCTAAAGCCACATTCCTCAGAATAAATTAAAGCAACAGTGCCAACATAAAGTAATTCAATTTTCTTTAAATATGAATATACTGCATAGCACCACTTAAAATTCAGAAGTTAATCTTCTCATCCACAATGAAACAAATCACGCTTATGAGACAGGTTATCAACAAAACAAATGGCGTTCAGGGATAGGCAAATAAAGTTAATATGCAGGCATCTTTCATACAGCTTTTTGTACTTCTCTTTGTTTTTTTCCGTTAATACCTTATGACTGCATGACATCAAAAATAATTGATCATTGAAAGTTCCATGATAACATTTTCATTAAAAAGCTCTCGCATTTGTGAATCTCAAAAAGTGACCTAAAGGTAAATTATATGAGATGATACGTATTATTCAACATTTGCTCTGCACTGCTGCTTGCTGAGGGTTGATGTGCAGCACCCAATATCCGTGCTGAAATAGTCTCTTTTTATACAACAAGAAATTATTCTTTCTGACTCGTTTCTTCATACGAAATTAAATTATGTCCTTGACTGTGGGAGGGTATCACACATGGCTTCAAAGAACCAACAGCTTTAGGAGCTGCTCTGAGACAGGTGAAGCAACAGGTGAAGAATGAATGGTTGAGCACTTATTTAGAGATGGCTGAATTATGGAGAATGTTTTGTTCCTGTTTTATTCCCTTGAATGGAAAACGTCTTTATTTCCTTGTATCTGTGCCAGCAGTAAGCAATTACATTTCAATGTGCATTCACTACTCAGACTATTATGTGATGGGTTACTTTTCCTAACCCATTAAGATACTGCCAGCTCTCAATAAATTTCTGATGTTTTATAATGTGAACATGGGCAAACAAGGCTGTAACAGCTACTGTACCTATTACTTTTACTAATAGGAAAACCTATTAGTAATTAACTTATCGCCAGTACCTGAGTTTGGAGATGCACACTTATTTTTGTGGGGAATCTGATCTATTTTTCACATGATGCAACAGTTCTACACAATAAAGTATTTATTTAGTTTAGTTTTTTATTAAGTTTAGTATTTCCCATTTAAACATTATTTCTGGTTATTATTAACATTTTACAATATCTACTAGGTAGATGCCCATTTTGGGGTACTAAAACACAAGGTGAAATGCATATCTATAAATCTGTTAGTCATTTAATAGTTAATACAGCATAAGACTGTAAAGTCAGTATCTGGACTCTCAGCAGTGTTCAGACTCCCTAAAGACTCCTTCAGGTAGTGTATTTGGCTGAGACAGTGGTTGGAACCTGGAATATGCTACACATGTACAATCTGCATACAATATGGACAGATAAAAGTACTTTAAGAGGAAAGAGTACTCTGTATTTGGCCAGAAAACAAGGAGTAAAATAATTGGCATTATTAAACTGATATAGCAACAGTTATTGCATCTGCAATGTTTAATAGTTCACAAAATAAAGCTGGTGGCTGAGGAAGATGATAATTATTTCCTGTTAATCCAGATATCAGAAGGCAAGGAGACACATAAGATAAGATAAGATCACTTTATTGACCATATAAAATTTCTTGTATTATGTTTTTTCGCATACCCCAACTTGCTCTCCATGAGACACACAGACAGGGAGAGAAGCTTTGGGGTCAGAACGGTGGGTCAGCCATTTATATGGCACCCCTGGAGCAGTTGGGGTGAAGGACCTTGCTCCTTAGCCACAGAGCTACCACACCACCCCATGAGCCATTAGTTCAAGAAGAGTGAATGTGTGACAAGAAACTTAAGTCTCTGATGAAAAACAGTATAAGACCTATAAGGGTCTAAGAGTCCATTCTTAAGGAGAGAATAGGACTGCTGCCACTTCTGCGTTGGCCTCAATCCATATTTAACATAGGATCTTAAGCAGAGATCAAATAGAGTCAGTGATATTATGAAAGCACTTTTCTAAAATAAATTTTACAAAAACCTACAGCTTTGCTTTCTGGGCTACAATAGCCCCATAGGCCTTCTGTGCACTTCCCAGAAATACATCTACGCTGTAACAAGTCAGGCCTGGTTGAAGACAGCTCCTCCTAATGGACTGACCTACATCCCAGAGAGTCATTTATAACTGGGATGGTACGTAATATACAATGCCTTCATTGTTCACCTCTAAATGAAGAGTTTGTTCATTGTTCACCTCCAATATTTAGAAGGCTCATTTATACATTTTCCTAAAGAATGTCAACTAGTTAATTAGTTTTCTGTTAGTTATATGTGCAGATGTGCTGTCAATGTGATAACAACCCTTCTTAAGAAAGCAGGTAGAAAATGGTTCAAATGATCCTGTGTTAAGGAGGCTATATTGTTGTAATTGTATCTGTTGTCATTTTAATTACTTTATACAAATACAGTATATGCTGTTTTGGTTCTTTTGTTGCCTTGTCACAATATTTACATTAAATACTGGTACTCCTGAGACCAATATTTTTATTACAACTCCACAGTGGAAGGTGGCAACAGTTTTTAAAAGAAAAAAGAACTATGTATATATTTTTCTAGAGTTTAAAGACTGATAAAGTTTCTCTTATGTTTATCTTACAGCAGCAGTAATCATTTTTAGAACTGGCAAAAAAAGTCTGCAATAACCAAACTGTTTTTAAATGTCAGATGAAACCACACGTAAAGATTTTTCAACTGAAGTATGTTTATTAACAATCCAAAAACATCTCTCATGCAAGGAGCTGCAAAATATCTTACGGCAAGTTTTTTTTTAGGATAGAGGAAAATCTTTGTACCAGGAAAGTGTATGTTAAACTCCTCTCTAAAGAGCTTTCTTTATCCTTCAGATTCCATCTGGCTGATTCTGAATATGCACCCAAAAATCACAGAGGTGCTTCCCAGAGAAAAAGCAATATAAAAAGCAGAACTGGTTGTATGTACACTCTGTACTCCAAGATAAAGAATTAAATTATACAACAGTCAATGTTTCAGCATAAAAACCTTTATCATAATACGATATGCTACATCCTGATGACTTATTTACTATACCGCATATAAGAGTTCCTCAATCATTCATGAAAGAAATACCCTTTGTTTTAAAATGGAAGAATCATAACTGATTAAACAGAGCCATCTGATTATATAGCAATTGCAATATATTCAAGCATCATCAAAGTGCTGCACTTTTTCATGAACCAAATATTCATTTAATATTGGTTTAGAGTGCATTTCATATACTTTCCTTACCAACTGACACCCAAGTAATCCAGAAACACTATCTCCATAAAACGTTTTTAAGACTCTCAGTATGGGAAAAATAGTGCTAGGTTTTCAGTTCGCTGCTCAAATCGCTTTGAAACACTTGCGAACATTGACAATTTCCTTTCAAAATATTCCTTTAAAAAAAACTGGTCTTGCCTTTATATTTGGAGCTGGTATATTTTCTGCTTTTTGCTTTCAGCTCAGTTCTGTGCTCCATTCTTAAGCCACTTTGACCTGCCATTAACAGCAACTGCCTCCCACTGAGGATCCCTGCCAGCTTGGCAGCTCATCTCCCTCTCCCTCCAGCTCCTATTCTCAATACATGCAGCCTGGCCTCTCCATCAATTTCTGAAAAACTCAAGCGAAAACTATTATCTCTGTGTTTTGAGTGCAATTTTCTCCAAAATGCACTACTTTCAATACGATTAAAAACCAGGCTGCTTTCACTGCTTATAATGCAAGCACACTAGCTTTCTGCTTCGTAACCCCCAAGCAGTGTGTATAGCCAAACTGGCTCCTATACAGAGTTTATAAAAAAACGAGTATAAACCTTTTACTATTATATGGGTACTTGTGTTGATAAAAAGCTCTAATCTGATTTTAAACTGAAAATCTTGCTCAAACAAGGTAACCAGTGGTCATTACTTAGACACCAGCAGCACTGCTCAGACCAGTCCAACCACCAGTCACATTTGCAGAGAACTGGTAAAACACTTACTTATTGATGAAGAGCCCTATGCAAATCTATGCAACAATAAAAAAAAACAGCACGGTCAGATCAGGGTATGGGGGAGGGAGCTGTAAAAACTGATTTTGAGAAGTGATTGAAGGCAGCTGATAAGTGTGAATGTACAGGAATCACATTTAGCTAAAACAAACAAGAGCTGGGCACCATATTGAAAAAGGACAGGATGTAGGAGTAGTCACAGATTATTCACTTAAGCCAGTACAAGGAATTGTTAAGAAAACACTCCATTCCTTCCCCAGAACTACTTATTGAGTTATGCTTCTGAACATGCAGCATTTTTTTAACAATGGAAGTGCAGTCAAACAAAGGGGACCGCATTGTAAGGCAGGCTGTAAATGAAAACATGCGTCTACACAATAGCAAATAGGAAACAAGCATGAAGGTTTTTTTTTTGTCTGAACCTGAAATATACTGAAAAATAAATGTCTCTTTTGTTGACAATCTTACATTAGAGGAGTGGAGGAGCTTGTAAAATTAAATTCTTTATAGAAGCTTTCAATATGGTTTCTTTGATTTCAAAACCAAACGTGAATATCAGCTGTACTAAGGACGGCAAATGTTTCCTCAATCAACAGCAAAAAGAAAGAAATGTGTTTCTGCTTTTTCTTTCACTTAATATAAAAAACATATCACAAGTAGCTGTTTTTTTTTAGTTCAGTTTCAGGCCATGTCTGTAGTATTGAAAACCCATTATTTAAATGTATTATTAAGAAGGGTAAATCTGTGCTTGAGAATATAGTTACACAATGTGGCCAACATTGAGTACTATAATTTGCCAGTGGGACATGCAGAAGGACTGTTCTATATTACTCACAGAATTCAGAGACATCTCACCTGCCAGTGAACACTCTATGAGCCAATTAAATAGAGCTAAATCGCCACCTGTGATTAAACAGTTCACTCTCCAGCTGGAGAGCTTGACGATGAAAAATAAAAATTACATTCTTCATGGTGTTTATGTGACAAAGCAGTCCCCAGGATCAGTTAATGAATACAGTAAAACATAAAGCTGCATAGAAGTGTTCCCTGAATATATAACTAAGGCAACATTTCCTCCCGGAATTCAATTGTTTCTATTCAAATTGACTTTCATTTGTGTACATTTATGCAGCTGAGCATTTTACTGAAGAAATGCGTTACTCTAGCAAGCAACAGCACCCAGGAATTCCTTGAATTCTGAACTTAAGCCCCAACCTCTATTCCATACAGCTGTCACTGATGCTTCCATGGAAGTAAAGGCATTTTAAATTATCCTGATAAAAAAAAACAACCAGTCCCTACACAGAAATAATTACAAAATTCATGTAAAAGCATGTTATATTTAAAGAGCTGAGTAATGCACGTGTTGTAAGTAAAAAACACATCATAACTGGAATGCCTAGATTGGAAGTCAGTATTTAAAAGAGACGTACACCTACATGGCAAACACTGAATTTAAACAGCTTATGAGAAGAATAAAAAGTAAATAGTAAAAACAACTCAGAATTTGGATTTCGCACCCCAAAAACTTCTGTAAAACCAAAGCCTACGAAGACGCTACCTGTTTCTCCCCAAAGCGTGTCATGTCCGTCAAGTTGCACTGCATATTCATTATCCAAAGAAAGCAAACTTCTAACAACCTGTCGGAAAAAAAAGATTGCACAACATGAGGAAAGAGAATAACCACATTTCTAGCTATATGAAGATTGAAAAAAAAATAACATGTATAATACATGTGAGACATACATGCTGCTTCGAATTGACTTCTGCAATTCTGTCAATCACATTCCAACATTCAATGATATATTCATCACTTAAGACTACCAATGTTCTGATTCCTATACTGAGCAAATGCACCATATGACTCCCTTCTGAATTAGATTAATCTAGTTTTACTAATACGCCAATGTTTAGCCTTTACAAGCTTTTTACAGCCATTCTCTCTTACACAGAAAAGAGAAAAAAAAACAACAACCTTACAGCAAACCCTGACCTGTACAAATGTAGTCAACGAGGCTGACAAACACCTTGTACCAGACAACCGCACACTGCTGGGACTGTGTACTAAAATTGCTGAATATCTTATAATTTGCTATTTAAACACAGACATGAAATAAAGGGCACATTATACATGTTAAAGGTGAAAGATGATGGTCTGTAGTTTCACCATAAACTTCTGGACGAATCACTGATTTCTGATAAGTCAAAGATCTGACAATTCTTTTAGCACTTGCCTACATCAAATGAGGTCTTCACCCCATCTCCAACAGCCTAGAAAAAGTCAAATAATTGGGATACACAAACACCCAAGTACCAAAGCCTAATTTTAAATTATGAAATCAGGTAAATACGGCATTTACCCAGAACCCTTGGAGAAACTAGATTCTACAGGCTTTTGTCTTGAGGTGCATTCACCTGATTTACCTAAAAAACATACACGATCTGGTCCTCGAAAGCAGCCACTCAAATGTAATTCTCAGGACACCGTTTAAAAATAACCTTAAAAACTCAGGATATACTGTTTGTACAAATGAGTTTGAATCAAATAAATTAGCTCTACCAATCAACGCTGAAGAGCCTGGTTTGGGGAGACAGCTCCTTGTGAATATAGTATAGAGAATATCATATAAAACCATTTCCTTTGCTTTGCTCAAATGATTGACGCCACATTTTCACTCACACTTTACCTTTACCGTGCTTTTACCGCAGCATAGCTCAATACACTTCTGAAACGGCTAGCTCAATAACTTTAAGTATTTAACTCTTCAAACTGCTACACAAATTCTGAAACTCCACAGAAGAGCAGAGCCTTGGCATGTAGCACTACGACAAGCTTAAAACTGAACAGTACAGCAAATGCATTGGTAACAAGCGTCATTTAGCACCTGGGTGTGCCCCATACTGGAGGCTGCAATCAAAGCTTGTTGAAGAGCTTTGTTTTTCACATGTGTGTCCTGCTGCTGGCTCTCAGGCGTCCACTCCAGCTTCAGCAGAGACTCGATGATGTCTGGGTATCCTCTCAAGGCAGCATGGACTAAGGCACACTGACCGCTTTTGTCTACGTGATCGATCTGGGTGGGAAAGCAATCAATTATTAGACACTGCAAAATAAACATACAGGGATCTGAAGAAGAAATATACAGTGTAACGGTCATGTACAACTGGAAAAAAAAACACACAGCAGAACACCTTTTAGAAAAGAATATAAGAAAGGTTACAGAACAAAAAATCTAGCTTGTTCAGTTGCTAGGGGCACATCCCACTGTTTCTTGACGGAAGAGAGGGCAGTGGCTTCTTCAGCATGATACAAAGATCATAATCAAAGATAAAAACACCTGCAGAAACTATAGAGTGAGTTGAGAGGTCATTTAGTATAGTAAAAATAAATAAAAGGTGGCTTGCTTTAGCTTATTCCTACAAGCAGGTACTATAACATGCCCCAGGCATATTCCTCTACGGGTTTCAAAGCAGCCCTGTTGGATCTGGAAATCACAGATCAGGTTTTATGATGTGCTTTTCCAAATTCCTATCTGACAGCACTATACTCTAAAGGTAAATAGGTACAACAGAGTGTCAGAAGCTATATCAATTAAACATACAACCTGTATAAATAACAAGAATTAAATCATATCATTTTGTGGTTAAGCATACAGTAGGCCACATCAATAAGTAATCCTGTTAAAGTTTCAGGCATAAAAGTCCTCCTTGAATTGTATTTACAATACTACAGCCTCAGTGCACTCATCCAATCTGCACAGAATCCTATCTTTTTCAAGTTTTTCTTAAAGTGTAATTTTAATATCTCCTTGAGATATAACAGTACAGATAATCTCAAGGATCTCAAGCTGTGTTCCTGGTCTTTTTGTTTTCTACTTTCTCTTCTAAAGAAATTATATTCACTCAGTTTCTAAAAATAATTAGATGCAGTGCTAAGTAGTACTAGATCTACTGCACTGCTAAGAAACTGAACAAAGTCTTCATCACAAAAGATTAATGACTCAGTACCTGGGTTTAGAGTTTCAAAAACTGTAAATCCACTGAAATTTAGGCAGATTCAATGACAAAAGGCAACATTCTCACAGGCCCAAAACCTCTCAGACCCTCCAATGCTCACTTCAAAATTCCCACGCCTTTTCCCCTATATTACCCATCATGTCTCTCTCCCACTTCATCACATCTTCCAGAATATTACTGTGCTCAATAACCATAAACATACATGGTTTCTGCTAATTTTAATCAGGGTCCTTTTTATAAACGTAAACAGTATAGTACTGTATTTTGTGTCACTTGCTTTTATTACTTATAATATTCATGTTGATTTGTATGGTGTATTGGGCATACCCATGGTATAAATATGGTGTAGGAGAGCCTTTTCCCAGTGTATATATTTTTCCTTATCTGCCAACAAATCAGGAATGTATCCCTGAACGTACCCCCATGAATAATATCGCTAGCAGCTATATCATGCCACAACTCACAACTGGCAGCCCACTGAAGTTCAGCAGGTGTGAGCCTGGCCAGCACCTCCTGGATGGGAGACCACCTGTGAAAGCTAAGGCTGCTACTGGAAGAGGTGTTAGTGGGGCCAGCAGGGGGGGCCCACCATGCCATCTGTGTGGGTCCTAATGCCCCAGTAGAGTAATGGGGACACTATACTGTAAAAAGGATGAGACGTAAAACTGAGGTCTTAACTCTCCATGGTCATTAATAAAATTATCAAAAAAAGTAGGGGTGTTACCCTGGCATCCTGGCCACATTTCCCATTGGTCTTTACCAATCATGGCCTCTAAATAATCCCCATCTATAAATTGGCTTCATCACTCTCCTCCCCACTGATGGCTGACATGTGGGTTGCAAATTGACTGTATAAGTGTAAGGATTATTATAAAGAGGACTGGGCAGATATCCCCCACACCCAAGCCCACCGTGTCTGGCCTTATACAGCCTTTGATGAAAGGTGTAACTGCCTAAACCCTAGAAACTGCCTTCAAACAGGACTTTGTGAAGGAAAAAAAAATTGCACCATAGAATAATACGACAACACTGACTTTAGCTCCCTTCTTGCAGAGCAGGACCACAAGACTGAGGTGCCCTGAGGCTGCAGCAAAGCACACAGGGGTCATGCCATTGTCTGAGACGCCGTCCACAGCAGCTCCAAACTCCAGCAACAGGCTGGCCATCTCTAGATGCCCCAGGTGCGACTGAACACACAGAACAGGAGCATTGTTCAGCACCTCCGTCCGGTAGTTCACATTGGCTCCCCCCAGCATTAATAAACGACTGACCTTGAGGGAAGAGAGAGAAAATAACTGTAATCAAAAAAATTAATTACATGGATTCAAATCTAGTATGTTATATGATATTTAATGCACAGAACAGAACCATATTATACCGTAAGCACCACATAGTACATTTATGAGTACTATGCAGACAAAAAGAATTCCAAAAAATTGATTTTACTTTGATCTAGAAAAGTTCTGGGGTGGTATTTCTGTCAAATATATCAAATCAACCCCCCAGAAAGAGTTAAATCAAATGTTCCTATTGACAGATGTGGCTCAGGCATATTTATCAGTAATTCAGTGGTGGGTTCCTGGCCTTGCTGAGTTGCTGCTGTTGATGAAAATTATCCTTAGGAAGGAGAAGCTTATTCCTGCCCTTCAGCACCAGTCATCCTCTTTGCAGGTCAGTGATTATGGAACGCTGACCTTTATACACAGACTTGTAGCTCCCTCCAGATTTGGGCTTCACCACTACCATCCGTCTGGAATGATCTAATCTCATCACACTGACAGACAGCACTATTCAATTTCCTGTACCATCAACAACAACAAAAATCCAGCTCTTCCAGAACAAGCTGTCACTTTCTTTACAGGTGAAGGGCTTCCACTTAAAAATAGAAACAAATTAGCGTGCTGTTTTTTCAGTGAATAGACTTTACTTTCAAGTTCATGTCGCTAAAAAATGTATTTTAGTACATCATCTGAACATCCCAATTGCAATTTACTAATTAATTAAATGCTAGATTGAACAGCTTTATGATGGTCTACACTACATCCTGATAAGGAAACTAATGATAGAAAGCTGTTTAATAAGAAGGGACTCTGATGCAAACGGTTTTAACAGGGCAATGGAACTTATTATTTACAAATATATCGCTAGAGCAAATGAACCACCATATTTCCCAGAGGCATTGAAGACAATGAGCTAATTTGCTTGCTACAGTCTCTTACTTCAGCTAACATTGGTTAACTCATTACAGACTGCAACACACATCAATGGTGGAAAGCTATTTAATGCTTGTAAAAAAAACAAAGGCAAAACATTCATATCTTTTTGAAAGAGCAAGATTTTAAAACACATCTGACACTGCCAAGACCCTTTCATCTTAAAACAAAAATACATTGATTTTTTTTAACTTTCATTTATAATGCAGTATTCAGACGTGCTTTGCCTGAACCAGCACACATGAACATAAAAAAATCATTTAGCTGCCTCTGTGATTAACGTGACCTTTTGTTTATTAAATTACTAATAATCTAGCAAGCCACCATAATTACTTATAATGGCATGAATTACTACAAAATGTAGCTGAAATGGCAATGGATCAAATTAATGATAAAACTCAACCAGCATCAAGATGAAGCTGGAGAAATCTTCCTCGTATTTTCAATGACATCATTTATCACTAATGGGCTCAAGCTTATGATATAATAAATGAACATTTTATGCAAATAGTTCAATGTAGTAAAAAGCAAAGTTAAAACAGACTGTAAGAAAACTGTCAGAATGGTTTATGAACATCATATGTGAATTATCTAAGTAAGCACTTTGTTTACTGATAATCACTGCTTTACATAAAATCATCAACACTATCAACAAGTGTATGATTTTAAAAAGGAAAAAAAATAACACATATTAAAGCCCCCAACTGTGATGTTCTATACAATAATTCAACACTGAAATAAAGCAGCAACACCATCAATGGTAACAAGAAATGTAATAAAGTGTTTCAATATTTGTTCATATCATATAAAGAATACAATTTTTATTATTTATAATGAAATATGTAACAAACAAAATTGTTAACAAGAGCTCCATAATGCATTAATATTAATGTCTCTAAATTTAGGCTTGAGATACTGGCTACAGTTGAGAAACTCCGCTTTAAAAGAAAACAGAAAAGGTCAGAAACGAAAGTTTGGCAAGCTTATCCTGTTTTTTAGAAATCAAACCAAAAAGAATGGAAAAAAAATCTATAAATAATACAAATTAATGGAAATACGTTCTCACTTCTGGGTGACCGTTTACGACAGCCTTGATAAAACGCAATTCAGGCGACATAAATCAGACATTCTTAATGGGGTCTGACAGTACAGCTGCAAACAGTCCAACTCCACCTTCAAGTGGCTCTACCTTAAGTTCAAATAGTAAAAGTGTTATTAGTCATGTAAGATTTAAGATGGAGAATTCCCAAAGAGACACCAGCTAAATAGGGCTCTCCAGTAAGATAAGACAGGCAGAAATGGCTGTGGGATACAGCAGACTTGTACGTTTTTAACATCTTTCTTATTGTTAAAAAAGAACAATATTATTGGTTGAGGGCAGGCTCCAAAGGAAGTAGAGTGCTTACTTTCACATTCGGGGTGTACAAGTTCCTTAAAGAAGCCAGGGCAGCTGACAGGCCGTCCGTACTGTAACTGATCCATAACGCCTGGAGGACACTTGAGGAGATGCCCGTTCTCTTGCTCTGACCCTGGACAGAAAAGACAGGATGGAATGCGTGGAATGCATAACAACAATCGGAAATGGGCTGGCAACAGGCATCTGAACTTACCTTGAAAATGTGAGCTTTTAAGATGTGATGCCCAAGTTCCATTGTCTGCTGGCGGTTTAATTTGCCTTCCTGGCGGGAAAGCATGAAAGCCATGAGGGCGTGACCACTCCTGCGAAAAGCAACAGTGAAACAGACTCAGAACTGTCAAACCAGCAGACCAACGTCCATCCGCCCATTTCCTAAATTCTTCTTCCAATTCAGGGCAATGGGCTGGAGCCCATTCTGGCAAGCAACAGGTACAAAGCAGGTTACACCCCAGATGGGACGCCAATCCATTGCAAGGCCACAGAGCAACGTTTTCTAAGTAAATTATGCTAAAGCATAAGGCTGTTTGGATTTCTGAATGACTCGTTTCAGCACAGCTTGGGTGAAATGATCTTGATTCATGCCCTTTGATGCAATCATTTCTCTTACAGCTATATCTCGGGCTAAATCAAAGGCATTTTTTTTTTACACAGCAGCATACACTTTTTAACGTTTTTAAAGAAAAATGTTAGTTCAAATTCGGGCATTAACAAAAAACAGCATTTCATTGGAAAGTATAATTGAAAGTATGTATTGAGTTCATATAAAGTACAAAGCTTTTATGTGTAAAACCAATGGTTTTCTTTGCACAACAAATTACCGTTTTGTGTATGGACATTTTTTGTAACTGTCTTAAACAATGGGAGATGTTTCGATCTAAGGTGTTAATAATTTAATAGAATGACAAGTATTTTAGTATCTACCTTTTCCATTTGGCATTTGTATTTGTACTCAACAATTTGTGAGCTACTGATCATTAATCAACTTTGAATGCATGAAACAAACTAGTACTACAGATGATAAATACTAACACCATCAATATTATATCATTAAATGATGAAGCTGCATACTGTACATCCAATGCATCATTAGTTTCAATATCGAGGTGCTATTCAGCCCAATATATACATTTTCCAAAAAAAATCCTAATTTTAAAACCAAACAAACTTTATGTTGAACTTTGGTGAATCAATTAATGCAACATGATAAAAGCAGTTTTTGTCTTGTTTTTCAGCAAAATAACTAAAATAACTAAGAATAAATAACCCTGTAAAAATGAAACAGATAAATCCAAAACCAAGAAGCACAAGCTATCAAGGCCTTGGCACTTTTAGCCAAATTTTGTGCTCGTTAAATTATCAGTGCACTAATGTACTCAATTCGACACCTTAGCAAATCTGTTGCTCCATCACTTTTTTAATAAAACCAGTAAGCTTTTGTCTCCACCGTACAGCTTTTAATTTGATAATTTAGACATCGATCATGAAGATATTAATTTTTTAGCTATAAACTTTGCTGACTATTGGATCCATCAAGATCAGTGCATTACCACATCCATTACTCAGCATGTCTCACTCATCATCTGATTAAAACGGTGTTTAATGCTGTCTAGACTGTCTTCTTATTCTGATCCAGGCGACATTCTGAGTGAATACCGCTACTGTGTTATTCCTCGATCAATAATGCAAGTTCGGGTGTTAATTAACGGAGAACTTCATTAAAAGGCCACGCATGAATGCCATTTCTTTGATCTGGACCAAACTATTTTCATTAAAATATTGACTGTTCATGCTTCACTCTCAAATTAAAAATAACAAGGTAGTGATTTTTTTTTACTCAGTCTTTTCCTTTCTTTTTAATCACTGTACATGAGAAGGTTTGATACTCATTGAAATGTCTGGAACATCACTGAAGTGGGTATTGAAAAGCGGGTCACTCTTCAACTGCAAAGGGCAGTGACATCACAAAGAGCCCGCAGGCAATGCTGTCTAATAATCACATAAGTTAAAACTAATAAGAGTTTCTGAGAAACACAATTAAAATTAGGTGCTGGCAAGTCTAGAGGAAAAAAAACTCTTCTCAAAAATGTTTATTTCACGCAAAACAGACTTTAAAAGAACAAAACACAATATATATTAAAAAAATCCGTAATGAAGTAGAACACAGCAGATTACTTTTTAATATTTCAAGTGACTGCATACATATTTAATATACTGAGGACTGTTTTGCCTTTAAAGAATGTCCGACTCCAAACTGTCACGTGTGAGTTTGCAGACATTTTCAAGACAACTGCTATAAAACAAATCGTAGCATCCACACTGGATGACGCTATTTTAAAAATATTCGAATTTTTTAAAATTGCTGTCTTCTCCAAGTTGCTTGATGTTCAAGGCTGGCTAGGCAGAAGTGCCATCAACTGCGGTTGTGTCAAGTGTATGGGACTAAACTGCACGTTCCGCCACTTTTCAGCTGAAATCTAGGGATTCTTCTGCGTGAAGGCAATGAAAGTCTGTCTCATAAAAATCAAGTCAACCACACATTGCACCCTGAGTGCAGTTGATTTATCTTGAGCTGCCTCAATTGCTTAATGTCTATTATTATTTATTAGTATTTTAGAAATGAGACTGTAGTTGATATGTTGATGACTACTTTTGAGACCACTTTTCACTGAAGTGCTTTGATTGACATCTCAAGATTTCAGTGTAAAACGATTAGCTTGGGTAAAATTCAGCCATGAATATTAAGGGAGCTTTTCTATAACATACAAAAGACAAACACGATCCATAAAATGCTCGTAAGCATCCAAAGCTGTCATTGCTACAAGATTCATTAAAACACATTTACAGATCAAATGATGGCAAGATTTCAGACTGATGTTGTAGAAAAGCCCGAGCTAGGGTTAGGGTTAGTTTCCTGTAAAACCTTAACATTGTTTATGCCTTAGCTGTGTTTTGGTATGTAGGTTTCTCATAAAGAAAATAAACCCCATTTGATGCTCTCTCGCAACATTATGTCTTAAATTTCTGAGTATTTTCTGGTTCCTGCTTCTTGCCAGAGTCAGTGAGTTTGCAGTGTTGTCAAAAAGAACTATATCACTTCTCTTCTCAGCTGTAACTATCTTTCAAAGGAAAGTGTGGTTGATTCTTAACTCTCTCGAGCATGAATGAGTTTAACAGAAGTGGAATAGATTACAAATACTCAATTCCAAAGTAGAACAGTAAAAAATACTTATTTAACATGTCTAATTTGTTAAGGTCACTACAAGACAGCTTTGCAACTCATTTTAAACAAGGCTGTATTCTTGGTTAAGGAGAAGGTACAGTACACAGGTAAAAGTCAAGTGAGTTTGTCCGTTTAATTTTTGTTTTTGTGAACTTAAATGTACAAAAATTGCAATAAAGGTCAAAGACTGGACATGAAATGATCACGCCTTAAAGGGTTGTGGGAGCATGGGACAAGCTAATCTGCTATTATGCTGAAGCTGATACCCTGTTTTTTTCAAGATAAGATCCTAGGATCAATCAGGTAATCGGTTTGGAACTACTAAATGACCTCTGATTTGTAACTGTTCTTATGTTCTTAATGTTAAAGCTGCCCACTCATACAGAGCTCCAAAGAAACTTGAGTTTCACAGACAGGCATTTACAAACCTCATTATTACTGTAACGCTTGAAATGCAGAATCAAAATATTGGTCCACAATAATTGCTGTATATTGGAGCAATTGTTTTGTAATTGCTGATTGGGGCATTAACTTCTAAAAAGAAGCTTTTTTCATCCTGTTCTCTTTGCAGAACATGACATGGTCACTGAGTTTTAAGCTTAAACTTTGTTCAAATCAGATTTCTATTTGACATTTAAACGTTTTCAAACAGCAGGTTCTACAGACCTTTGTCTACAGTCTATATTCTATATTCAAATTCAGGAAATGCATAAACCAAAATCAAGACATTTTCTGAGAGATCGACTTCCAGTGTGAAACCTTATTTCCCTGTTAAATAATTACAAGTAGGACCTACACATTTATTCATAATAATTAACTAATTACACAGAAAAGCAGCTGGATGAAGACTGTTCTAATAAACAATTGAATTTAAAAATGCAAACCACAGTAAAAACTAGAGAGATCTTAATCTTAATGTTCATGACATGATTTGTCTGAATGGGCAGAAAAAGAATAAAACAACTGTAATAAATGATTGGCATTGCTCTTCAGTACTGAAAAGGTAAATAACAGCTTACAAGCAGAACACCACACCTCAGAGTCCTTGAAATCTTCTCCTTTGTTCAAGGTAGCTTCTTACTCAGAGTTCTGTACTGTATTGTAAAGCACTGAACAAATGGTTGGTATGGATACAAACTGACATTCCTGTGGGAAGTTTATTTAAGTTTATTCAGATTCGTGAAAGGAGCAGACCTTTTAAATATTCTGCGAGAATATGAAAAAAGGCTGGACTCGATGCATGCATCTATTCTCTCTGCAGCAGCTTCATTTACAGTGCTGGCGCACAGCAGGACCTGCTCACATTCTACAGATAACTATTAAATTAGTCTCTGAATAATGTTTGATAGAAATGGCCTCATCTGTAAACACCAGCATTCAGAGGCTGCACTGAAATCAATTTTGTTGCACAGCACTGTATGCATAGGATTGTATTCATGGCTGAAGCCTCTTTGTTTTAAATCTGATCTGACTGAACCATGTTAAAAAGAACTGACAGGTATTGGCGCTGATGATTATAAAGACAATCCTATTGTTTTGCTTCTAGACAAGATGTACTCTATCTGCTGGATTCCTCCCTGGAATTTAGTTTAAGAGTGACAGGGATGGAAAAAAATATCTCTTGGATTCAGTTTTCACAACCTTTCCACTCCCACAAGAACCTGAAATTTGTGAAAGAGGCAGACAGTCTTACAAAGCACACATCGCCTGGCAGGATAATAACCATTCCAGTTTTTAAAGGAAACTAAAACAAAAAATGTCCAGTTTCAAAATGCATTACGTCACCTTTAATCTCAAATACATTGAAATGACCGAAGACTATAGTGATCTTTTTCTAAATAAAGAAGGGGGAGCTGCAAAATATTTTACGAAGGAAGAATCTCATAACGTTCTCCCTTTTGTTGATCAGACGTGCGTTTTAAAATGTGTCTCCTGGAAGTTTATTTTATCTTCAAACTTGTTTATTGTTGTTGCAATGAAAACATGGCTGCCGGCCTCTCTCTTGGGCCCTAATTTATTAGGAAAAAATAGGAAATCAAGGGCTAGAGCTTGAATTCAGAACAACACTGTTTTTTTTTTTGCTTGGACGCTAATGTAAACAAAGGCCTGCCCGGGACTTTACCGCTCAGCGCATGCCAAGTATTTACTGCTTGTCTGTTGATTTGTTTCTGCTCCACTTCAATATTCCTAGTTTGCAATAACATCTGCAAGCCTTCAGAAAACACTTACCGTGGGTCACAGAGGAAGTCTGTGCTCTCGCCATCCGCTCGCCACACCAGCCACTCCCTGAACGAAGGGTGGCAGAACATGCGCGTCTTGTCCCTTCGCTTGATCAGAAAGCAAGACAGTCCCTCCATTCTCTGCTGGAAGTCCTCCCAGTCTAGCTCGCCAGTCAAGCTGCCCGCATTGATGGCTTGGAAAATCTGCTCATCTGTCAGTGGGTGTAGGGAGGCCAAGGTCACATTCAAGATAGGTAGAGTCCTCTCAAAGGCAGAGTTGGTGATGAACTTCATGTTGCACTGAAGCAGATACAGCTCCGACAGGGAAACAGGCACGACTTTGTAGCTGGCACTTTTGATAACCAGGTGTCCCTTTTCAAAAAGGTCCAGGGTCAGTTTTAAATACAGATAGGATCCCTGGCTGCGCATGCTCAAGTGGTTGCTCACTTTGCCGACAACGAGAGGGTCGGCTTTGCCATTGAGGGAGATGTTGTTCAGGATTTCCTTACTGCTGTTGATTCTGTACTGGATGTAGGCATTGAGGTCGCTGTTAATGTCTTTGTTCTCGGGGAAGTCGTCGAGAGAAATCTTGGAGAATGGCAGCAAACTGGTAATTTCCTGTAGGGAAAAAAGAAACAAAAACGATAAGGCAGGCGGGCTTTTGGTTGAAGCAGAAAAGACGCTCATCGCTCCCATCACATAATCTGGGTGACATGAGATCGAGCCTGGGCCTCGTTCACTAGCTGACTATCTGACTATGACTGGGACTCCCTAATTGGTGTTGCACTATTCCCTCAGCACAGCCAGGGTAGGGTTGCGATTAGTCATCCAGGGTGTTTTCTGCTCCCAAAGGCAATGGCAACCCTTGCAACATACTGGACTCCTGCAGGCTTGAGAAGACATCTCAAACTGGCACTGAATATCCTGTACATTGTTACAGCGCTTGTAAGATGTCAAGCGACGAATAACAAAATGGCGAGCCGGTGAGAGAAGCCTGTCTGCTCTTCCTCATTCTTTTCATGTGGGTACACAGGATATTGCTGTGAACTAGGATGTAAAGACCGAATGGCAACTCCATTTTGTGTGCATATAAAATTAAAAATAATGAAGCTGCATACTGTATATAGCCATTTGTAAATGGAACACAAAGTAGAAGTTCAAAAGCCTGTGGAAAATCACTAATGATAAATTCCTCTGGGAGGACTGGATTAAGGTCAGATTACTTTTTCACTGTGAAAACCTACATACCGATAACTGCTTGGCGTCATAATGCCTTATTTCACATTTTCCAAGCAATTCCAAATGTATTAAAAACAGGTGCTTAAACTTATCCATATCTTAGACAGTTTTTGCACACTTGCTTTATCTGCATAAAAATGGAGCAAAAAATGAAAGAGCTTGCTATATGAAAATCTGTATATGTCAGAGAATGTATACATCTATAGTACAGTAGCTTAACAATGATACTGAAAAAGAAGAATAGCTTGAACTGCTAGTTAGGTTAAACTAAAGCTGATTACAGAGCATACTGACTGAAAGGTTATGACCTAGAACACCAAACTCGACCACGGCCAAGCCACTGCTACCTTTAAGGATTCAACTTGGAATTAGCTAAAAACAGTCTCCAACACAAGACTTTTGTAGCAGATGGAAGTAAAAAACATCTAAAAAACACACTGTAGGTAAAGTGCATTGTTTTTTTGTGTGGGTTAACATTGTAAAAATAAAGTGTTTAATAATACTTCAGAAAAAGGTACTGGAAAAAACTGATGACACTAAGTTACTAAAAAACTAAATTCTGCTACCTACGATTGCATACAGTACCCAATATTACTAACAATGAGTAAAAGGAGAAAAATACTGCTATGAATTCAGTTCTCTGATTTTATTCCTCTTCATTTATGGCTAATGTTTAGGCACAAGGCCTCCCTCCTACAAGCAATTTCCTTTTGTTGGCAGCATGCTGTGTGAAGACTAATCCATCACTTTGAGGTATCACACTTTTTTTTTCCAATGAATACAGCAATTTTGAGGAGACAGGCTTGCAGTGCCTGTTTGCCAGACTCCTCCCGACTCCATGATAACGAGAGTCAGCTAGATGCTCCAATATGCCAACACTGCCTAACATATCCGCACTGTATCGGTGAGTATTTAAAAAGATTTAATAAAATAGCTTTGAGTGATGAGGTTGAAAGACCAAGTGAATCTCCTAAAAAGTCTGACATGTTGCAACTGACTCAGTTTTGTTTATCGACAGGAGGGACTGAGCCAGAACCCCCCCCACACCAAAGACAAGACAAAACACAAACTGCTAAACAAATTGAGGCCGGTCCTTTCCTCATTATTTCTCTACAAAACTCTCATCTTATATAACTACTGATTACCAAACCCATTAAAATGCTTTAATAAATGGAATTAAACAAATATCTGTCAGTCAACTTTCAGATTATCCCTGCACACATACAGCACTCGCCAACACAGATAAAACATTGCTTCCATTGTAATCCACTGACCTTAGCTGATCTCAGATTCTTATTTAAACAGATGAATAAATATTTCACATAGGGAAGGACTGCAATCGCATTTTTCCCCAGACAGGATATTAAATTATAGAAATTTGAATAATACTCTTGAATCTAACCATTTTAATAAGTATATTATGCAGTGTCCTTGGTTTCCTTTCAATTTATAGTCTATAGCATCTTCTGCCTCTTCTGACAAAAAGCATACTGTGAGGCAAACAATGTTGGACAGAAAGTAAGTGCTTTTTTTCCCCCAATATTTTAAGTTTGCTATTCTAATTTGCTTTTCTTTAGTATATGAAAATGGAATATAATATTCTATGCCACAAAAGTCCACTATATTGACTCTATTAAACATAAGTTAACTTCAATCATGACTAGCAATGCATACAGAAGCCTTTTAATGAAAAGGCCTTTTTAATTGCATTCTTCAGGGTATAACAGATATTATATTTTAAAACAAGCCAATCTTTGAATATTTCTGGGAGTCCTTTATTAAACTATAAACAAACATTCTTGTGTTTCCAGTATTTACTTTGAGGAAATGATAAAATATTAAAACCACTAAGCCGAATACCTACCGCACAGAGAAAATTAGTACTATTGTGCAAAGCAACTGTTTTTCAGCATATCAGTTCAACCAACATCAGTGTTAAATATGTGCAGGATGGCTGTCAAGCAAGATGCCACTCGTTATAAAGAAATACATTTTTCACAAATGTTTTCTTTACCTCAAAGTTAATACAGTAAATCTACATTTTTGATACTGCATCTTGAGAAACATGGTGGCTAAGAATGATTCAAATGCTTTTTTTGAAATTTCCTACTAGCAGCACCCCTGCTTCATATAATTTCATCTCTCCTGCTCAAAAAGAAATATCTAGTTCATGTGTAGTCAAGTCCATTCCATTAAAAGTCTTTGGTACAGTTCTTTAATCATGCTGTTCTGTGCACCTAAAATGTAAAGAGCTGGTTTATACCAAACTCCAGACTGGTATCCATGGTTTGGATGGATTCTGACTATCCTAGTAATTCACATATACAACGTTCCACAGCAAGCACTATGGCAGAAATTCAAAATCATGACTTATCCCTTTAGAAAAAAAACTACAAGGTCTACAAGCAAAAGTGATGGATCACCTGGAAGAAGTGAATTCCAGGGAACAGCACTTAAAATCAGATAGATGTGTTTAAACTAGAACACCAAAGTCACTTGAGTTGCAGCGCACACATCAGTAGCACACGATTCAACACCTCATTAATTAACTTTCATTAAAGTATAGGAGATGACTCAGAAATGATGCATATCTTATGTGCCAAGAAGCATTTGAAGCATGTTACCATGTTGAAAATACCTGCTGTTAAGGAGTGATATGCTTGATGACAGACAACACAAATGAAAATGCAAGAATTAAAAAAAATAGCACATATTCAGTGTCTGCTGAAGAAAAATAAGTCACATGTACAATGAGAAATATTCAGGAACACAGAAAAATTGCTCTTACCAGAAGATTGACTCGAACAGTTACTATCAATTTCAGCCACACAGGAAACTTAGAAATTATTTTGGTGATGAAGGATGCAATTGTATCACCATAGTCTGGTTTATGAAATTCTGCCTCATTCAAGCCATCAATTAGAATGATATGGTCTTCTTCAGGAATTTTTCTCTCTGGAAAACACATACAACACCCAAAGAAATTAAGATCAAATTAAATTTTATCCCACTGACTGTAGGAGTTTAAGAAAACTGCAAGTCATTATTTCTGGAGAATATGAAATATGAACTATAAAATGTTTGTTTCTAAAACCTGGCAGATAAAAGTTGATTAGTGATAACCTGTAATAATAATCAAGTTATCAATTAAATTATGATATGCAGCTAAACAGTTCACTAGAACACATCTGCACTAAGTTTGAGGCAAACTCTTCCATATTAAAGAGGCATTTGATTTTTAAGGTTTTGAAAGTTTCAAGATCTTCACACTTCTTCCTCTGATTTCACTGAAGCCGAGAAAGAATCTTTGATTTTCTCTTTCAAATAAAACTGGAGAAAAGAGAATAAGTGTATTTTATTTGAGCGATTCAACTGTAATAGAAAAAATAATCAGCAGGGGAACTGTTCCATGATTCCTCTCCTTGAGATGCAGTTCTATTTGCACATTAAAGTAATTTGAGAAGTTTTAAAAAATTCATTAAAGAAAAACTTGTGGAATTCCAAATGCCCCACTCTCAAATGGAGTATAAATTGGATTTTACTGAGAAAACAGTTATATCAGATCACAAATCCTGAATCTCATTCATGCTTCAAGAACATGCTTAGGACAAAGTGTTCAAGACATGTTTTGTTGTCAATCTTTTCTACAACTTTGTGCTTGTGCCTTTTCATTTGTAGTATATAAATATGTTTGATTTTGTACCTCACCACGTATAAAAAAACATTAATTTTAACAACAAAAGAAAATACAAGAACACTTAAGATTTATCAGGTTACATACACACTATCAAACTTAAGTGCTTCACATGCTTGCTGCCTTTCCACCTTTTTAATTAAAGGAATCTTTTTGGATCTCAGCTGGCTGTCATCTAAAAAAATATTGATCCAATGTAACAAAAAACATCTGCTTAAAGAAGCATGTCTATCCACGATGACCTTGAAGTTCTCAGACCAAGGCTCTTTGAGAACATACACAAAGTTTGTGAGCCTGCATTGGACAAAAAACTGCTTTCATCTTTGGTGTGTTGAGTTTTGAAAAAAATGTTCTATTGTGGAAGAGATTAATTATTGTTAATCCCTTTTTTATACTCACATAAATGCAGATATATAGGATATATGCTTTAGCCATCAAAATTATGAACAATACCATTCAAAATGGCAGACTAATCTTATGTTTTAAGGAGAGGAAACAAACTGAACGAAATTCTTAATGTCAATTAACTGCTTGGGAGTGCAATTTAAATGATTTTCATTAATTCCTCCGTTAAAATCTAAATATGATATTTGTGTAAAATAAGTGCATCATTTCACTTAGAATCTTGGTTCTCCAGAAGGTAGCCTCCTTTTATTTTTCTTATATCCTAGAGGTTCATGTTTAAAACTTTGTCAGTGCAAGAAAGACTTCTGATTTACAGTGCATTGCCTGCACAGCATTGAGAAAATGTAATACATTATACAATGGATTTCACAAAACACCAAACTTGTTCACAAAAAGACAGCAAGAAAGGGACTTTTATAGTGCTGAAGAGCTCAACTGGCCAACCATGTACAGTATTTGTAAAAGGTTACTACCAATAACGAGGTGCACTTAAATTTAGGCTTTCAAATAATGGGAAGATGTAACACGGACGATTGCAATAAAAAGCATACCTTTCCTCAGGTTAACGAGGGGCTCCAGCACTCCTCTTCTGAAGGCAGCCATGGGGTCCTGGACGCAGGACCGGAGACTGAGCATGCTCTGTAGGTGTGGCTCCTTCAGCAGCAGCTCTCTGTAGGCAGACAGCTGGTGCGCTCGGCACAGCAGGGCGGCGATGCTGTGCACAAACTCCGGCACCAGGCACGTGTAGGTGTTGTCCGCCTGGCAGTAATGGTAAGCCACAACCTGAAAGGGCAGAGGGGGAACGAAAGCTTCAGAGCCCATTTAAAACAAAGCGCACGCAAAACAGGTACTGCCATGGTTCTGCCTGTACTGCATCAAAATCCCCAAAAGCCGAGGGCTAAGGTGTAAGTATGAAACACTTTCAGTCTAAATGTTTCTATACAGTTTATTAAAAAAAACAACAGAATAACACCTAGTACATATATGCATGTGAAGGAGTCCTGATCTGAGCAATCCCAAAGCACTCAAAGGAAACAACTTTTTTATTGGATTTCTTTTCTTTTGGCGACACCACTCTATGTGTCATTTGTTAAATTAGGAAAAAGTAATGTTCTCAATTCAGCAGCCTTCCATAAATAAAGGACTGCAATAAAAGCCTGAACAACTTAGTCTCTGAAAAACAGGATTTGTACTGTATATCCATTTTACCTTAGACATCAGATATAGAGTAAAATATTTTATCAGTTTTATATTATGTTATACATTAAAAACCTTCCCCACAGATATAATTTACAACCCATAAGAGTTAAAAACTCAAATCTCGAGTACCATACCACCGAGCTCATAATATTTTACTATTTGACTAACTCACAAACTTAATATCAATGCTTTCTTTCATCCTCTTGCTTATACTTATATAGCGCTTTTCTGGACACTCCACTCAAAGTGCTTTACAGGTAATGGGGACTCCCTTCTACCACCCCACCTGGATGATGCGACGGCAGCCATAGTGCGCCAGATTGCTCACCACACATCAGCTATCAGTGGGGAGGAGAGCAGAGTAATGAAGCCAATTCATAGATGGGGATTATTAGGACGACATGATTGGCAAGGGCCAATGGGAAATTCGGCCAGGACGCCAGGGTTATACCCCTACTCTTTTCGAGACACACCCTGGGATTTTTAATGGTAAGGTACTAATGGGCAGGTACTGACCAGCCTCACACCTGCTTAGCTTCAGTGGGTTGCCAGTTGTGAGTTGCAGAGTAATATGGCTGCTGGCGTGTTTAACCATTTGCTTTTCAAAATGAGGAAGTTAAAACAGAAACAAAACACTAGGGAAGAAAATGTATTTTTCTAAAACATCTCAAGTGGAACTTCTCTCGAAAACTAGGATGTCGAACCTGCTTGGAACATTAGCTGCCCTTGCGAGGTGGAAGTGAGCCCTGGAGAGTTCGTATTATCTCTGTCCTAATTACAGGCTGCCTGGAGGAGCTGACACAGATTCACTCCGTAAAGGGGAATCAGGTGCCTCTGTCTGCATTTCGAGCTGTGCCTTTTAGAAAGAGCCCACATCAAAAGCACCACGCTTAAAATGTTAAAACAAAGTTTAAAACATTTTAAAATGGTTAAAACAATAATTGTTAAAATAAAGGATTCCCACAATTTGCTCACAGACAGTTCTTTGAGGAAATCTTTGAAACAAATCTATCAAACTTGGATGAGATCCCCAAATGCCCTGATTATATTAGATAAACTGGAATTCTATAATAATTCATCCTGTAACTAAGTAATAATTTTAGGTATTCTGCCTTGGTACTATAAAGTACTTTCTCTCAAAAAACTAAAAGGGGAGATGTGTTAGTATATCACAGGAAGCTGGACAATCCTTTAGGCATGTGCTTTGGATGCATAGAAATTTCAGATGATGCATTGTTAATGCTTTTTTCTTCTTATTTTTTAAAGGAGTCCGCTACTTTCCATGTGACAGATGGGGTTAATAGAACAGAATTGCTTTCCACCTGAGGGTACACGTTCTGACCCAATTGAGACAGATACAGACTTCACCAATGCTGTGCAAGCTGATGGTATCAATCCACAGTGCCTGTAGTAGTACAGACATTCAGGAAGGTCTTATACCATTAAGGTGATAAAGTAACTTGAACTGCACTGCCAGGCAGACCACAACAGTTCTCCTTCCTGAGATTAATCTCACTCCATTTCATTTTAACCCTTCATAATCATAACTGTACCAAGAAACTGGCACAAAAAGGAATCTCGAATGCAACTACTTGCATGGAAGAAAATCTAGGTTTAAACAAAAGCCAAAAGGCTGAAATCACCATCATTTAGTGCCAAGTTTCTTTCTAAAGAATTTAATTTGTACAATAACGCAGCCGCATTTGAGTCTGGATGTATGGGATTGTCCAATGTTCTGTTTAAACGCTTCAGAATTTGAAAACACAAAATTAAATTCCAAAATCTTTCCCATGTGCCCTTGGAGTTGCTTCATGGTAACCTGGAAGAATTGATTTTAATAGTGAAACACTTCGCTTCACAGATGTAGCCACACTAAATCGCTGAGGGATAATTTCACAAGGGAATATGAAATAATCAGACAGCTATTTCATCAAAGGGAAAGTATTTGGGCTATGCATTAAGGCAGACATCTGTTGATTGGCAGGTTATTCAAGCACTAAACCTGTATGGACGGCTGGTGTTAACCTGCAAGGTGTGGATTAGAAGCCAACACTAGGATAAGCTTGTAAATGTAGCTGTGCTTGTTAGTTGAACCAAAAATACCTTAGATGTTTTCAGAGATCCACATTTGGTGATTGTAAAAGTAGAAAGGTATCAAGTTCTGTGATTTTCTTTTCTAGTTCAACTGGCAGTGCTCATCTATTTCCATAAACTATTACGTAAACCATAAATCTGTAAATCCTGTGCGTACTGAGACAATTCTCCAGGAACAAATCACACCTTTGTACCAAGCCATTAAAAACTAAAACATAAAATTTAAAGTTTATGGGATAATTGGTGAGAGAAATACTCTATGCTCTGTTAAGTAAATATCCAATCTGCTTTCAAAAAGGCAATGTCTTGAATACATGGCATGTACTACTAAACAGCAGTTCCACTGCACCGCAGTTCTCAATTCTTGTGGATAGTTATCCGTGAGCATTTAGCAGGCATCCAAGTGTATTAAAATCAAGCATGTTTTCTGTAAACAGCAGGTTTTAGCAGTTATTTAAAACACATTCCATAAGAATGTCTAGCAACATTCCTGAAATAAAAAGGAAACAAAAAACATTTACACAAGCAAAACAGACAAAATGTCTATTTCCTTAAAACAACATTAGATCTATGCATGTATCTATGTATATAATTGTCGGTGTCACAGGACAGAAACCATTTTCCACATTTACATGACTGTTGTTTATATTCTTTCATGGTTTTATGCCTTTCGAGTCAGAATTCTTTATTATCAGTGACAGTTCTTTTTGTTTGGGTTTTTGTCAATACACTATTCAGAACCTAATGTGCTTTACAGAATTCAGAATAACTGATTCCCTTACATAAGAGGTGATAGTGAGTTTTTTTAACCAGTAGAACTCTAAAGCATAAAATGAGTTGCTAAATGACAGACAGTTAATTAAGTAGCTGTGAGTAGGAAAATTGCTCAAATGGAACATTTAGAAGGCAAAGATGTAAACTGCGAAAGCACAAAACAGAACCCAGCTGATAGCTGAAATGAATTTAAATGTAAAAAGGACCAATATGCTAGCTTAATAGTTCCAATATGATTTTATTTTAAAAATCTCTCTGAAGCTAGGAAGATAACATGCATAAAAAATCCCAATAAGTATGTCCCTTAAAGTTTAGAAATTAGAGTAAAATGTAATTAAATAAGAACATAAACAAATACATGAATAAACATCTGTCAAGAATTTCAATACACTGCTTAAAATATAAACACTGTCATAGAATGTACATATGTGCTATGAAAAAACTTGATTTTGAGAAGGTAGCCGATATCTGCGATAGTCACTGCTTTGGGCCACAACACTGTGATTTTGGCAATTTGCTGTACCTGAGGCAGCTCCGACCACCCTCCTAACATGTTCCCTTGGCAACACATAGCTGAGTCCTCAGGACAGATCTGTCTCATACATCATTTACTTCTTTCAGTGAGAACAGCACATAAGATATCAGATAGCACATAATAAGCTAGCCAAAAGCCTGTTTTTATGTTCTATTTAAGCTACTGAAGCTCAAAAAAAGAGACCTTTAAGAGGTTTTAAAAGCTGAACAGTTCACGACTTTCAGATCAATTATAGCACAAAAAGTTATAGTCCTGTCTTTTCTACTGTCAATAAAGCAGCTATCCACTCTAAATAAACAAAAATTTTAAGAGCACAATCTGTTCTCCTTCATCCACTGATACACAACCTGGACATTGAAGCCTTAAATGTAAATAAAATCTAGTTGCATGTAAACATGGAGAACACAGAAAACCACAGAAGTAGCTAACTACAGCTGAATTGTCCTGGACGTATTTAGACTACATTTTTTAACAATGGTAGACTACCAATATGTGAAGATCACACATAATCAAAATCACATACTCATACTATGTTATCTAAAAAATATTGTGCCAATTTATTAAAATATAACAATTTACAGAGAACATCACAGCAAGCAAGCATCTCTCAAAGCACATCCCCCTAACAGGAAAGTAATGTGGTGTTGATTAAGCCCTTAATTAAAGGAACAGGACACAAACCTCAGGGGACAACAGAGTCAGTGGACAAGAAGTAAAAGCCCACAGTAACTTCTAACAATTTCGTGCACCGAAAAGTATTCTGAAACAAAGCATTTTTCATTAAAAGAAAAAAAAAAGCTTTCTGAATTATCATGGTATAAACACGCAATCCACAGCCAATTAACTTACAATAAATCATTTATAATATATACATATTCCAAACAGCCATGAAGAAGGATGAATATTTTTATGTCAAAGCCAAGTTCTTCACCATCAATCTCAAACCCCTTACAAATAGAGTATACATCTATGTCTGTCAGACATGCTCATGACAGAGGCATTACTGAGAGGCATTAAAACATGGTCATCATGTTTTACATACTGAGAGCCATTAAAAACACAAGTGAGTATTGGAATCGATAACACTCAATACATTTCCCATGCCTCGCAGTTCTTGAGCGACCTTAAGAAGGGTTCCACAAATTCTAGAATGGAACTCGCACACCTGAGGAGCACTGAGGTGTGAATGCACACTCAAGACTATGTGGCTGGTATGACATTCAGCATAACCAGTCCCGGGATGTACCTTTGTCGCCAGGTGTTTCACCGCCTCCTCCCTGCGTCTCTGCAGCTCAGGGGTGCTGGGGCAGCTCCCATTCCTCATGGTGTTGGTCGCGCTGGGCGGGGGTGTGGGCTGTGGTGGTTGACTCAGCGGGAGATCACCGCTGGCATCCCCACCTGCAGAAACACAAAGGTAAACCATTTCACTATCTGTCCACAATAAGAGACCATCTTAGGCTGAGCTGTCCATACATCTTTCACAGTTCTGTCGATAGGGTATGGGAGCAGGAAAATTCTTAATGTAAAGGTGAGTACTATACTGTGACTTGCAAATTCTTAGAAACTCAGAGCTGTACAGTTACAGAACATCTAACCCTGACAAAAAATGCTTACAATAATTATTCTCTTGCAGTATTCTTTTACTTGGCTTTTTTAGACTCAAGTGCAGTGCCTGTCACTCAGAAACTGTCTCACATGTGAAGGGACTCAATTTTCCAGCGTGTTGTGTTTTAGTTCAGTCCACGGGACTCTTTCTCCAGAAAATAACTGATGCAAAAATGAAAGCCTTGAATGCAACCAAGGCTCTTTTTATGATCTCTTCAAAGCAGCTTTGTATCTAAAGCTCTGAAGGTCCTCTACCATTCTAAGGCATTCGTTTTCTATTAAAGACCTTGGTTTTGGATGCACGGCAATTTCAATCTGGCATTTTACTTCTGAAACTCCATTAAAAACTCCTACGAACAAGTCAGAATTTCCAAAGACAGCCTACATTATTTCAATCACATTTTGTAAGCTGTTCCTGTAGCTCTGGTAGGCCCCATTTACACACGACTGAATTCCTTATGATAAATGTTAAAACGCATGGCGATTGGGTCACACGTGGCCTTTGGAGGATTAACAGGTTTAAAAGTTATTTCACAATGAGACTCTAATCCTATTGTCAATGCTGCATTAGTGTTCTAAGACCAACAACACACTGGGATTATCTCACTTTTCGGGGACGCGCTGGGGCTGTTGGAAGCGATTTGCCTCATTCGGCCTCCATGACAGCTCAGCGCCACCAGCCGGGAAATGACGGCCGTCTTGCCAAAGCCGACGCTGCCCACGATGACCGCGCCTCTGTTCTCGCTCGAGTCTCCCCTCTTCAGGTTGTCCTCAATCAGCTGGAAGAGCCAGTCCCTCCCGATGAACACCGAGTCCGTGGTTATGCTTGGCACTTCAAAGAGCAGAGGCTTGAGCATGATATCAGCTGGCTTGTAGGGAGCAAACCGGGCTGTTGGACGAGTGGGGAAAAAAAGGTTTTACTCCCCACGGGTCTGAAAAGCTGGTTGGATTTAAAGCACTGTCACTTTTGTGCCTTCTTTAAGATGCTTGCATGTAAACTGCATTGTTTTAAACTAGGAGCTCCCAGTCCTGGTCCTGGTGCCCCTGATTTTTGTTTCAGCCGAGCTCTCAGTTACACAACCAAACCCTTCATTGACAGAAGGAGCAGAAGAAGGATTTGAACTTTTATTTGCTCTGAAACATGCTGGAGATTTAATTGTAGTATTTTGCAAGGGAAATAAAATCCCAAACTTGTTAGTACAAACAAAATGTAAATATTCCAATAAAGACACTTAGATCATTTACGGCTTCGATTATCTAATTGAGGTTGGGTAGAATAAAAACCCGCAGGTGTGTAGGTCACCATGACCAAGATTGGTGGAACCAATGCAGGACTGACTGTAAATGAAAATGAACTTAAACTGCTGGTTCAGTACAAATATCTCAAGTTAAATTAAGTTCGTCACAATTTTCTTGCACTTAGGTTTATATTATTCTGAGCCCTGGGGCTGCAAGACACCTTTGTTTTATGAACTGCTATACCAATTTCCCTAGGGAGTTGGTAGCTCTTTTACAGACCACAAGTTAACACAGAGGTCTGAACTTGACTCCACTGGGAGCAGGTTTCGATCCTCAGGATATGTGTCTCATACAACAGTGACCAAACCCTCCTCCAAAATGAAATAATAAGAAAATAAAATAATCGAACAGAAAAAAAAACACTTGACGTTTAATAGCTTAATTCCAAGTTTGGGCAAATTCAATACAATAATATTTTACCTAATTTAATTTCTTTATGTTACTCTTCTCACTGCGTCAAAGATTATTTGGGGAATAAATGAATTCCGTAGTTTGACAAGACACTTAATCAGAAAGGAAAAGCACTGCCCTCCGTCCTCAGCTGTACTAATGATAACTGGTAGCCAGAGATGATAAATATCTGCTCCAGGCTACATATGTTTTTGAGGCTGAAAAAGCAAGAAAATTATTTAAGTTACTGCAGTAGACAGTGCCTGCAGACATAATTGAGCTGGAGAAATTGAGTGTGCAATTGCTCTTCTTGATGTTTACATTTTTTAAAATGCAGTACTTCTGTTTTGATTTAAGGCCAAACACATTTGTTTGTACTTTACACTCTTTCCCATTGTATCTGCTAACCTCTGTGTTTCAGAGTGCAAGACAGTGACCTTCCTATCCTTACCTACAATGCTATTTGTGAATGATGTTACAAGGAGGAGTACAGCCACTGAGCAATTTGCTGCATTAGTATTCTTTGTTTTACTTTCTGTGGGCATAAAGAGGCAGTGGGAACACTAAAGCAGAATGCATTGAAGAATTTCCTATGAGCAAAATAAACAATCTGCCCCTCTTTTTGTGGGGAATTAATGTGAATAATCACATGCCTTCCAAGAGGAACTCTGCATCCAAAAAAACTAGCAAAGACAGCAAGAATATCCACAATAATGTAAAATAATATTCGGAGATGTCAATCCCTGTACCTTTTGTATCCTGCAGTACCCTGCCTCCTGCTGTGTTGTGCCAGGGCAGTCGAATGGAGGTCCGTAGTGGAGTGTTACGCTGTTCATCAAGATAGCTCAGGTCTTCCAGCTTTGTTGAACTTGTTGCTGTAGGAAGAAGGCGGAAGGACAAACACCTGACAAATCAGTGTTAACAAAAAAAGGCACGAAGAAGACTAGACAGTTTTACTCAAGTTTCCATGAAGGCAGTCTGGACAGGTATATGTGGCAGTACGGGTGAGTGGAATAGAAACCACTGAGACCCCCCCCCCGCCTCCCCACACCCAATGCACACCTGCAAGGCATTAACCATCCGCAGCTCTAATTCAAACTGGCATCGATACAGATTGTTGCACAGTGTTCACGGTACACTCTTCCCTTAGCAATACAAATACACTGAGTGGTAAGGTGAGCAAGACCATTAAGACAACTGACAGCAAAAGCCAGAAGAGATTTAAGAAACAAATTAAGAGTAAAATCAAGGTAAGGAAATATTCTTTTTAAAAAAAGAAGCAAAAAAATGTGCACTACGCTTCACTGACCTTACTAGAAAGCAAAGGGATACTTGAACACAGCAGTGTTTTGGCAAATTAATCATCTTTTTTTTTATGGTTCTCATTGGAGGGACTAAAATCAATCAATCCACATTCACCTCCTTCAGTGACCGAAATCAATCAATCTGCATTTACGTAACTTTTTCTTTTAACCTTGAAGTGGCAATGCATTGTGAAAGGCATTAATTGTTGCGAAGGCTGAATTTAAAATTCCACTGAACAGCATTCGTACAAACACATTCTCACTAAAGCTGAAAGACCTTGCTCCTCTTTAATGAGCAAAAATAAATGTTTAATCACCCAAAGCTCTCTCAGCATACCGGCAACCTGTTTGCTGAGGTCACCTCCCTTCTCTAGGAAAACACAAGAGATTTAGCTACTTACAGTCTTTAGAAGAGGCAGGGAGGTAGGAATGGAAGCAATCAATATGCAAGACACTTTAAAATATCCTTCATTACAAGGACGAGGAAGCTAGACAGCACTTTGTAAACATCAGGCAAATACCTAGTAAAAGCTCATCAAGATACCTAAATGAATCTTCTGCACCGCTGCTTCAATCCATGCCCGTTGTGACAGTATTCAACTTGTAATTAGACTTGGCAGTTACTATACACGGATGTCACAGTGTCCATAACATTAACATTCAGCAAATGAACTGCCGAGGACTGATTTCATTTCTTCCCAGACAGGAGAGGACCCTTTGGTTTGAGAAAATGATATTAAAAAAAAAAAGAGATCAGAAGAAGAACATGCAGAAAGGTAGTGTAGCTGCTCCAGTGTGGCTGAATACAGTTTGCACTGGGCTGCCTGAGAGGAATTAATCAATGGTTCTCCCAGCACAGTCACACTCCCTCTTCCCACATTGCTACAGAAAGAGAGAGGGGGGAGACGGAGAGAGAGAAAGAGAGGGAGAGAGATGGGGCGAGGAGAGAGAAAGGGGATGAGAGAGACGGAGGGAGGGATGAGGAGAGGGGGAGAGAGGGGGCTAGCAAAGCAGGAGAAATAAAGTAGAAAGTACGTGCAGAGAGCCTGCTCATACACATCAGTCAAGCACCACGCTGACAACATCAGTTGGCTACAATGAAGATTGCTCTCGTCTCGGCGCGGACTCAATGAAACCGCTATCTTCTCCAAATCAGCCTGTGCACAAGTATAATACAGTATAAATCTTTTGCTTCGAGTCAGATCACATTAAGTCTTACAAGAAATGTGTTTAAAATTAAAAGGAAATGAGGATAAGTATGAGTGGAATCATTCAAATTTGTATTCTGTCGTAGGGACATTTGCCATCTAGAAATGCATTAAAAGATTAAATGGTATTTAATTTCTTTGTTTATACTGAGCTCATTTTAAAGTATTAACATTTTTGTACCACACAAAAAAGATGAAATCCCTGAATGAAAAAATGCTTTGCTGTTCTGCAGCTCTTCTTGTTTTTCCAATTTCTTTTAAGCTCCAAATTATCCCCAGGGCACATTTTTTTTCCTACACAAGATTTCTCTTATTTGATAGTGCACAAATACTGTATGTGATACCTTAAAGTCTCCATGTTTCAAAGTACTTTGAAGATACCCTGATAGGTTAAAATTATTTTAAAAAATCTTTATTTTTAAAGCCTGTCCTTTATAGCTGTTGACTTTCTTGTCTCCCAAGCAGTGTACTATGATGCTTTTACTGCTGAACTTCAGTGGTGCAGCTTTCTATAGTACTAGTATTAACAGGTAGTTTCCAATATAAACAAAATTCATAACCTGGCAATCTGGATACAAAATCCTTGACTTACCCTGCATCTCAGAATATTCTCAGATGGAAAGAAAAACTACAAAATCTAACTGAAGTTAAATTAAATTCCATTTTGGCATATAACCAACTAACCAGATTAAACCTGATACGTATTGCACTTGCACAGAACAGACAATTTGCATATTCATTAAATAATCAGGGTCTACTTGTTCTATATCTTATACTGTAATTCTTTATTTCAACACTTAATAAATCCAAATCACTAATCTTTAAGCCCATGTTATTTCCGGCATACAGGAATAATACAGTTACGAGTGTCAAACAGGTGTCAAAGTGAAACACTAGATGCACCACATGCTAGGTTTCAGACTCTGACATGCAATGTTGCCTACTCTGATCGGATCAAAGCACTCCCAGTATTGTGCAGCATTACAGGCCTTGGGTATATAAACAGCAGGTTAGTCTGAAATCAGCACAGCGAGTGTTGTAAACACTGCATGGATACAGAACAGCTTTGCAGTCTGCAGCTTCCCCTGTGCATGTAAATGTGGGATGAGACAGTAGCTTGGCTAACTCTCACGGTCACTGTGACACAGAGCCAGCTGCCCTTTCAGCTGCACAGCACAACCAAAACCACAAGAGGGGCGACAAGGCAGCTCGTTGTATAGTAAAAACATCAGAGTCCGGTTATACGGGTTTAGTCAGTGACGATTGTTGGCTTATCAAATCTGTTGCACCATTTTAGTTACAATTATGTCACTAAAACATATAAATCCTTCATAAAATTAATTTCTATGAATTCCATTTAGACTTTCCAGCTGCACTTCTGAGATAATAATATTAAAACATACAAATAAATAAGCTGTAATATCTGCTACTCTGATGTTACAATTTGCCCAATCAATACCCCAATAGCCATAATAAGGCAAACAAATGTTAAAGATGTAATCAGTAATAATGTATGATTAATCTAAATCAAAACAGCCCCATACCAGTGTATATCATGGAGCAAAAAATAAATAATGCTAAAAGATACTATACCATTGCTGTACAAATTGGTTTTCTACTGCACAGATCTTTTAACATATATATTACATAGATGACAGGTAAGCCAGCTACAGTAGCTCCAAGAATTACAGTCCAATTGGTTGAAAACTGTATGGTCCTGAGAGGAACTATTCTTTTATTGCTTCACCATTCAGTCTTTGGCCACTGTTTTCAAGAACATAAACACCAATGGAAGAAAGTTTTTATTCTAAGAACCAGAAGTTAAAAACTATGTGCAATCGTGCACAAGTGGGATCAGTTGGGATAACCACAACTTTTAATACAAAGCAGTGACAATCACTCCTACAAGCGTGTGAATGTGTTGCTGCATTTAAATAAGGAAAACAGCTTCAACACAAAGCATTAAATACAGCTTTAATTTGCAGACTGGAGCAAACAGGCACACAAAAAATATACTGAGAGGCATTAAAATGCAACACATGATTACTGGAACTAATGGCATGTTACAGTTTTAATGCTCTCAGTAGAAACACGCAAACGTGTTACAAAACTTTAAACGCATAGAACTAACGTAAACAGGTCAAATATCAGATGCAGCGTTCTTTATTAATGAAGAGAGACAAAAACATTGCAGGACGTTAGTTACTAACAAGTTTCCCCATTCTGATATGCTAGATTATACAAACTGATTTGTATAACTACATCAGCACAACAAAAAATAAAATGAAGAGAAAACTGGCATTCCATTCAGTAACAGACCATATTCCACCTTTGTGCACAGAAAATGGGAAAACACTAAGGCTGCTGACTCCTAAACACTGAGCAGATTAACACCTAGACTTTAACCACAGAACGGCCAACAGAGATCACACTGATGTAGTCTCCAGTAAAGACACAAAAAATCAAAAATCTATCGGTAGCTAAAAAAACAGAGCACCCCCATCTTCAGTCTATCACTAGTCAGTATTTGTAAAGTTAAGCTTACGTCTACATATGGGGACAAGTGATAGAAAAATGTTTATCTCAGGCAGTAATAAACCAGCGTTATGTCCTTCAGAAATACTGTGATTTAACAAAAAGGGGTTATTTATTCTAAAGTCTACAGAGCAGAAACCAAAGAAGGGGGTATAAATTATGATTACTGAGCACTAACCAGAAAAAAAACACACACACAAACTGCAAAGACCATGGAAATGAAGAAGCATTTGAACCCAAGAGGTTCTTTGCTCTTTTTGTATTTAGATCATTTTATATTCTGTAACTCTATCGGCAAATCACATCTTATTTTTTAAATGCATTACTGTATCCATAAACACATGTAATTTCATGCCTTTAATAAAATAAAACAAAACCCAAGCTCGGCACAAAACAAAAGTCTTTGCGACTCTGACCAGCATGTAAATAAACCTATTGTCAGTCAGGAAACCTATTGAGAATTACCACAGCTGCAGGCAGTGTTTGGTTTTCTAACCTTGAAGCTACCACACTTGGGGTTTTGCTTAACAATTCCTTTATAAATAGAGGTTGAACAATGGCAACCAATAAACATAAGTACAAACTTGAAGCCCTGGGAGATATCGGCAGAAAGGAAGTGTTCCAGAAAACACAATGGAGAACCAATTACTGCATCCAACCCTCTTAATTAGACTTAGACTGCAGAACACACAAAACAGCAACATGAAAAAATAACACCTGCAAATCCCTAAAGACCTTCAGACAGTGTGGTAAGCCATTCTGTATGCAATGCAATTCTCACCCCAAAGCAGAAACACTCCTAGAAACAGTGAAGGTAAAATGCTTTGT